ATACTGTGGCCACCTCATGAGAAGAGAAGACTTAGTTGTTTAGTCATGTTCGTAGCTTCGAGAATACTGTCCAACCATCTCATCCTCTGTCGTCCCCTTCTCCTTGTGCCCTCCATCTTTCCCAACATCAGGGAGTCTTCTCTTCTCATGAGGTGGCCACAGTATTGGAGCCTCAGATTCAGGATCTTTGTCGGCAAGGTGATGAAGGAAAACTCTGATCCTAAACCTCCACTGCCTTGCGGGAGATCTTCAGAAGAAGAAAAGGGTAAGGAGTAAACCCTACACTAATCCAGAATGGAGTTCTTAAGGCAGTTGGATGGTGTCTTGTACGCCTCCTTCCAGCAACTCCTGCAGCCAAGCTGGGGCCAGACATCTTGCTCTGCTTTCCTTTCACATCAGTGAGGCCAAGAGGGGAGTCTTGTCATCTGGGCAGCCCTGGACCTCCATACACACTGCCCCGCCTTGTGCATGAGGGAAGTCACATTAGTGCTGCTAATGCAGTGATTTGACTTCACCCCTGGAGGCGCACTCCCTTGTCCCTCAATACAGACAGATGCCAATAACAACCATGAGATCACTTCTGCAAACACTGTAAATCACCCAAGCTTAGACCATGCTTGTGTGCACATTTATTTTTCATAATGGCATGCAAGGTTGCCTTGAAAGGAATGAGTAACTGCAACCCAAAGTCTGCTTCCATGCTAGTTCACTAATTAAGTCCCTAATAAAGCGCTATCTGGGGAGGAAAATAAATTATGTTTGCAAGCACAAGGAAATCTCATTTATAAAAAATAAAATGGCAAAAGACACAACTTAATGAGAACAAGACAACTCTTGAAATGCTGATCACCATAAGAAAAGAGATTTGTTAGATTTTATTGGTGTGGAATATAATGCTGCAAGCCTAGAGAGGGATACAAAATGTTGTTATTAGCTACCTGCCCTTCACCCTAAGGTCCCAGGGGGGTTTAAAGCGTTAAAACACTATTAAAAACAGTTTAAAACAACATTTCCCATGGTTTCAGCGTGATTCCAGGCAGCCCCTTAAAGTAACAAACAAGTGTGTGCCACATCAATTTTTCGAAGGAATGAGCCATCAGTGTAAGAAGCATATAATGCATTTTTATCCTGTGATAACTTAGCATTTGGCATATCAAAAGGGGACTGAGGCAGAAGGAAAATCAGGTAATGCAACATGTTTTTTAAATTGATTTCATGATCAACAACGTAAAAGCAAATTAAGCATCAATACAGTGGTACCTCGGGTTAAGTACTTGATTCATTCCGGAGGTCTGTTCTTAACCTGAAACTGTTCTTAACCTGAAGCACCACTTTAGCTAATGGGGCCCCCTGCTGCCGCCGCGCCGCCGGAGCACGATTTCTGTCTTTATCCTGAAGCAAAGTTCTTTACCCGATGTACTATTTCTGGGTTAGCGGAGTCTGTACCCTGAAGCGTCTGTAACCTGAGGTACCACTGTATAGGATTGCAGCCTAATGACACAACCCTAGGCTTACCTCATCAGACATAAATCACCTTGAATTCAGTGGGACTTGTTCGCACTGTTAGACTTGCTGGGCAAAGGAGGGATAAGCAGCGCACACTCACCTGCTGGCCACATGAGGGATAAGCGGCAGAACTCAGATGGATACCAAGCAGCATAAGCGCCAGCAATCATTCCGCCCATGGACATGCCAACCAGGTGGAAAGGCTTTTGGTTCAGACCAATGCACTCAACAAAATGAAAGAAGACACACAGGTGGAGATGTTGTGCGGTCTTCCAGCTTTCCAGTACTCTTTGTAGGTCATTTCCCAAGACGACTTGGGGCTCTTGTCACAGGTGACATAAGATGGGTTGAGAAAGCGTGGGAGATCCTACTGGGAGATCCTACTGTTGCCTCTACTGCTTTTCCCAGGATGCCAAAGGGAGAGCAGAAGTGGTGGCACTCAAAGGGCTGCTGCACAATACTGCTTGCTCCCCACATAAACAAAAACCAGTTTTTAAATTCACCTTGGTGATGAAGGGCAGGTGAGAAACAAAATTAAATAAAAATAACATATCTACAGTGTTACCTCGGATTAAGTACTTAATTCGTTCCGGAGGTGCATTCTTAACCTGAAACTGTTCTTAACCTGAGGTACCACTTTAGCTAATGGGGCCTCCCGCTGCCGCCATGCCACCGGAGCACGATTTCTGTTCTCATCCTGAAGCAAAGTTCTTAACCCGAGGTAATATTTCTGGGTTAGCGGAGTCTGTAACATGAAGCATATGTAACCTGAAGCATATGTAACCCGAGGTACCACTGTACTTAGGTTTCTAAGTGTCTGCTAATACAGTCGTACCTTGGAAGTCGAACAGAATCCGTTCCGGAAGTCCACACGTCTTCCAAAATGTATGGAAACCCCAGTGCAGCTTCTGATTGGCTGCAGGAAGCCCCATCAGACGTTCGGGTTCCAAAGAACATTCGCAAACCGGAAAACTCACTTTCGGGTTTGTGGTGTTCTGGAGCCAAAACATCTGAGTACCAAGGCGTATGAGATCCAAAGTACGACTGTATACCAAATGAACCTCTTTCTGAGCTATAGAAGCACAGGTGTGTCTTGTTGAACTGGCCTGGAAATCTCCCCTCCTGCCAGTCCCTACCAGAGACCTACCGCCCAAGCTGCTTCTCACTTCTCCCCTCAGTCCTGCGGGCAGGTTCTCTCCCTTTATCTCCTCAGATTCAGCTATGACCACCAAGCCTTTGCCCACCAAGCCATTCCACCAGTCTTTGTGTTTTTAGGAAATAGGGATTATTTGCAACCTGAATCCCTTCATTTCACCTCAAGAGAACATTGACCTCAAAAGTGTCTCGTGTTGCTTCTCCCATAACTTCAGCAAGCTTCGTCCAGAGCAGCCCTGATCCCTGAGGGGATCTCAGTGCAGCCCCCACCCCACCCCCAGCCAGCAACCATGGCGTTCTCCCTACATCCTGCTCCTTCTTCCCAGAAAACCTTGTCAAACACAACTCCCTCTTCCGTTTACATCAGGCATAGGCAAACTCGGCCCTCCAGCTGTTTTGGGACTACAGCCAGGGTCATCTTAAGCATATCCGGTGCCGTGGTGCAAAAATCCCTGTCCCAGAGCTTTTTTTAGGGCTGGAGGAGGTGGGCAGTGGCTGGAGGGCGGTTCCTCCGGTGGGGAAGAGGCAGAGGCTGGACGCGTTGCCTCCTGGCTCAGCTGGCTGCTTTGTGCCGCAGTGTAGGAATCTTTTCCCAAAGTGGGTCTTGAACCCACAACACTGAGATTAATAATAATAATAATTTATTAATTGTACCAACTGACTGGGTTGCCCCAGCCACTCTGGCTTCCAATAGAATATAAGAGAACACACCAAACGTCAGACATTATGGGACTATGGGCTGCTGGCTTGGGTTTGTGGTGTTTTTTTGTTTTGGTTTTAATGTGAGCTTCTGAGTTCTTTGTAGAACTCGTAAGCCACCTTGGGAATTATTAGATGGGAAGGTGAGGTATTAGCCTTCAAAATTAGAGTGGTATCTCAGATTAAGAACTTAATTTGTTCCGGAGGTCCGTTCTTAACCTGAAACTGTTCTTAACCTGAGGTACTACTTTAGCTAATGGGGCCTCCCACTGCTGCCGCGCGATTTCTGTTCTCATCCTGAAGCAAAGTTCTTAACCCGAGGTACTATTTCTGGGTTAGCAGAGTCTGTAACCTGAAGCTTCTGTAACCCGAGGTACCACTGTTATGTGTTTGTTTTTTCCTGTTATAGGTAGCACTTTTGTCCTGGGGGAAGGGAACACTGTGTTTTGTGAACCTAGAAGTCCTCCCTCCAAAGTCTTTCCCTTTTTTTCATATATATTTTTATTAGTTTTACATAAAAGTTGTACACAACAAACATAACATTTTCAAAAATAAAATAAAATTTAAGGGTTCTTTCGAACCTTCAGACCTCCTTCCTTCCCTTCATGGGTTCCATTTTTAAATTTTATTCCTCACCTTCTACTGTAATCTATCTAGTGTATAATCATAGGATCCACAATTCATGTTACTTTACATGTGTCATTGTAGATCAATTGAATAAATAAAAATAAACATTTCTGTAGTGATTATGATATATAGGCACAACTTTGTTAACATATTCAGAAACGTTTATCTGAGCGTATACTTTTTTTTTTGCTTCACCTCGTTTTATGCAACTGTTGCCTGTTGTAGGTCTAAATGTAATTAAAATTTTTAAAAAATAAACATCGGGATATTTTATTTAATTAAAAAATAAAAATAGAAGATTTGTTTTCAATCCCAGTGTGAGGGATTTACATCAGGAAACCACTGGGGGGGCAGAGGAGGTGGTAACTGGGCTCTGGATATTGCCTTAAGATTCCCCCCCCCCCCAAGTTTCAAAAAGAAAAAAAAAACATTTTTTTACACACACACACACACACACAGAGAGAGAGAGAGAGAGAGGGAGGGAGGTTGGTTTACATTAAACCATAGTACCTTTATGTGGTTCCCTGAACCCCCAGACTTCCCACCACCCCTCCTTTGGCTTCCAAAATTTATCTTCCTTTTTTAACTGCGTCTAATTGCATTTATCCAAATTATTGTCCTTCATTGGAAGACCAGGCACCGAGAGGATAACAAATTTAATAGAGAATGGCGTAACTTTATAGACTATATTAAAGAACACTGTAGAACTCTAAAAACGTTTGCAGGATTGACATAGCACAAAGGATAAAAATGCCAGAGATTCTTTGAATAGGAAAGGTCGAAATGTTAGATCAGCAAGAAGAGTTATATTGGTCCATTGGAAAGATGGATTGGGCTCAAACAACCGCGTGTTATTTCCTCCTTCGGGTAGTGATAAAGCGGGATATCAAATCCAAACTCTTCTTCTTCACCTGTGCTTCGAAATACCTAGAGGATTCAAGTGTCTCTGAACTATGAAGGGGGCTAGGTGTTGTTTTCTAATGCCAATAATGGGTTCCAGTTCTCTACTGACAGGAGACCTTTTTGGAGACATGAATCTCCAAAAGGAACGTGCAAGGGAACTGGGTGTGGAGAGTGCAGCTGAATGAGGCACAACTGTGAGCAGCGAGAAAATGATGACCCCCGTGAATCTGATTTCTTTGACGGCTCCACCCTTTCCAGCAATGCAGAAGTGAACCTGAAAGCAGAATCGCTCTGCCCGTTCATCCTCAAGCGGCGCCTTGCGCAAAAGTGCCTTACGACCGGGGATCATGGCTTCCAGCCTGGTGGACGATCTGGTGTGCTCCGTCTGCCTCTCCCTCTTCCGCGATCCCCACGTACTGGATTGCGGCCACAACTTCTGCCTGGGTTGCCTGAAGAGCTGCGCTCGCGATGGCTGGGGCAGAGGGATTTGCCCGGAGTGCCGCTGCCCTTTCAGACTGCGGGAGGTCAGGCGCCACAGGGTTCTGGACAACCTCGCGGAAAAAGCGCGCAAGCTCCAGCTGGACGAGGAGCCCCAGGCAAGGGCCAGCTCGGCGGGCTCCTGCGAGGAGCACGAGGAGCCGCTCAAGCTCTTCTGTCGCCAGGATCGCGTCCCCATCTGCGTGATCTGCCGGGATCAGCCCGCGCATCGGGGCCACGAGTTCCTGCCGACCAAAGATGCTGTGAAATGCGCGCAGGTCAGTGGCAAGATTTCTGCTTTGGGGTTGGGTGGGCTGCGGGGAGCGGTGGGTGATCATCATGTGAGGACAGCCTTACAAAACCACAGGCTCGGTTTGACCTCGTTCAGCCCAGGCAGGCAAAGTGATTTGCAAGGGATGTTGGCTCAGAAAAATCAGACCAGGAATTCACAACCGCGCAGGTCTGCTAAGGATTCTAACAGGCTTTGAAAACGTAGTTTTTGCGCTGCTTCAGAGCTGCGACAGCTTCACTGCTGCTTAACTGGATCGTGTTAGGGTAGTCCTTTTTTTATATATAAAAAAGGTACATATAAAAGTACATATAAAAAGTACGTATAAAATAAATTTTATTATAAAAATCCAATATAAGCCACATTTTATCAATACCAAATTACAATTAAAATATCAATCAATTAAAAAGCCAATTACACATTTTACATGGAAACCCCCCCCCCCCCGCTAAATTTCAAGGAATGATAGTTTCATTTACAGTCATAGCACGGGTTACAGACGCTTCAGGTTGCATTTTTTCGTACTGGAACAGCTTACTTCCGGGTTTCGGCAGTCGCGCATGCGCAGGAGGGTTAAATCACGCTTTGCGCATGCCCAGAAGCGCTGGATTGCAACCCGCGCGTGCGCAGAAGCGCCGCTGCATGTTGCAAACATGCATCCCACACGGATCACGTTCACAACCTGAGCGTCCACTGTAATTCTGCTTCATTTCAGTCTTAATCATAATCCTTTATACTGAGGGAAAAATTAAGTAACCCTTCTCTAAGAAGAGGGACGTGGGTGGTGCTGTGGGTTAAACCACAGAGCCTAGGACTTGCTGATCAGAAGGTCGGCGGTTCAAATCCCCGCCACAGTGTGAGCTCCCGTTGCTCGGTCCCTGCTCCTGCCAACCTAGCAGTTCGAAAGCATGTCAAAGTGCAAGTAGATAAATAGGTACCGCTCCAGTGGGAAGGTAAACGGCATTTCCGTGTGGTGCTCTGGTTCACCAGAAGCGGCTTAGTCATGCTGGCCACATGACCCGGAAGCTGTACGCCGGCTCCCTCGGCCAATAAAGAGAGATGAGCGCCGCAACCCCAGATTTGGCCATGACTGGACCTAATGGTCAGGGGTCCTTTACCTTTACTGCTCTAAGAAGAGCAGAAGATATTGTAAGAGCCACCCCAACTCATGGTGGGTGAGTCACCAGGGTTGGGCTAACTCAAGTTAGCAGAATAGTGCAGGAATTAGGAACTGAGGACTGAAGAAAATCTGCTTGCCTCAGCAGTCCTTGACACCAAAAAGCAGTCTGAACATCTGCAGGCTGAAGCCACAAGACAACGCCTTCTTGCCTCATCAGAAATTGCAGAAGTCAGCAGAAAGGGAAGGGAGACTGTCGTCTGCTTGCTTGCAAAATTGTGTGATCACACTCTGCACATGCTCTGGTGCCATGGAGGTTTGTTTGTGACATGGTATCAAAAGCAGCTCCAATCTGAGTTCAGGGCCCAGCCTTTGAGAGTTATCTCGCTGAAGCCAGCTGCGCGGCTTAATAAAACAAGACTTTTCTCAAAGAACCCGTGTCTGCCTCATTGACTGGGGAAAAACCTGCAACAATGCAACAGCTACAACGTTTTTAACTTCCATTCATATTAATACATTTAATAATTTATATTTCTGCAAGTGAAGTTCTGTGTCCTTTATTATTTCTGTGCGTGATATTTATTTTAGATTTGTGTTCCTTTGTTTTGTACATATTGTTTCTTGTTTGTCCTTATAAAACTTTATATCCAGCGCTTTTTTTTCCTGGGGGGGACGCAGGGGTATGCATACCTCTAAACAGTTTGTGAATCTTTGTACTTTTGTCCATTTGCTTTAGTTATTTTCCCCTGATTTGAACTATAAAATGATGATTTTCTTGAGTCAAAATGAGACTATCCCTAAACATTTTTCAAGGGGGGGAAAGCACTGATTATCATATTTTTTGCTCTATAAGACTCACTTTTTCCCTCCTAAAAAGTAAGGGGAAATGTCTGTGCGTCTTATGGAGCGAGTGCAGGCTGCGCAGCTATCCCAGAAGCCAGAACAGCAAGAGGGATCGCCGCTTTTGCTGCGCAGCGATCCCTCTTGTTGTTCTGGCTTCTGAGATTCAGAATATTTTTTTTCTTGTTTTCCTCCTCCAAAAACTAGGTGCGTCTTATGGTCTGGTGCTCCTAGCCTTGGCCCCACCTGGCGGAGCTAAGCAGCAGTTCCACCTGGCCACATATTCCTCCTTGCTTCTGAAGCCTTCCTTCCTTCTTAACCTCTGTTGATTTCTCTGCTGCACAGATGGAGCTGAAGCCATACCTAAAGCCTCTGAAGGAGCGTCTAAAGGAGGCCAAAGAGGAGAAAATACACCAGAAGGAGGCAATTGGAGAGCTAAAGGTAAAGGAAAAGCAGTAAGGGATTGTGGAACTCCGCTTCCCCACACTTTTTGTGGTTTAAAGAGCATGCATTAATGTCCTTGTTTATACCCCGCCCTTGAAATTCACTGTTGCCTACAATAAAGTATAGAAAGCACAATAGAACAACTAATGCATTACAATTGTTTGTTTGTTTGTTTGTTTGTTTGTTTGTTTATACCCTGCCCACTCTGGGTGGCTCAGACCAGAGTATTAAAAACACGATAAAAGATCAAACATTAAAAACTTCCCTAAACAGGGCTGCCTTCAGATGTCTTCTAAAAGTCAGATAGTTGTTTATTTATTTGACATCTGATGGCATGGCCACCACCGAGAAGGCCCTCTGACTGGTTCCATGTAGCTTCACTTCTTGCAGTGTGGGAACCGCCAGAAGGCCCTCAATGCTGGACCTCTGTGTCCGGGCTGGATGATGGGGGTGGAGACACTCCTTCAGGTATACTGGGCCGAGGCCATTTGGGGCCTTAAAGGTCAGCACCAACACTTTGAATTGTGTTCGGAAATAAGCCAAAAACAAACAAACCTGAAATCTGTGAAGACAACCTGAAAATGGTATCGAAAGAGTGCAGGTGAAGCAGATCAGCATAAGCTTGGCCTGGGAAATTTTAAAAAAGGTCTTCATCTGGCACTGGAAAGACACTGGACTCTAGGTGCCAGGACCAGGCAAGCTTTTGTGGGGAAGTGTGTCAAAGCCAGGGCACCACCACTGAAAAGGCCCTGTCCCTGATAATCACAAGGTGCCCTGATCTCAGGCTATGAAGGTTAAATTTCCGTTTTTATGTTTCATAATATCCAGGCACAAGTTCTCCTGAGTAATACCGCCAGATGGGCGGGGTATAAATTAATTATTATCATCATCATCATTATTATTACTTTCCATAGGAACTTTTCTAATTCAAAATCTTCTTGATGGGACAAATCACCCTTTCGTTATGTTTGATTTTTGTTGCCTTGAATGCGTATCTGCTTTGTTTCTCGCTAAAACTAAAAATGAAATTAATTCGTTTGTGTGTGTGTGTTTTTCTCCCCACCACTTGCAGAGTTGTACTGAAGATATCATAAATCACATTTCCACAGGATTTGAATCCCTTCACCAGATCTTGGATGAGAAGGAGAAGGCTATTATGAAGACTGTCCAGGAGAAAAGGAAGAAGAACTTGGAGGAAATGCAAAATGCCTTTTCATGCCTGAAAAACGACATTTCTTCCCTGACTGAGATTATTAACAAGGTTAAAGCAGCGTTAGAAAGTACAGACCACGTGGCCTTTCTGAAGGTGAGACCAGCTCCGATCAGAGGCATACCTGCAAAACACCATGCGGTCCAGTGGATGTGTGTGGTGATGTAGGACTGAAAGTTCTTGGCCAAATAACAATATTTGATTCAATTTGGCTGGACTAGATCAGATTTAATATGGCTGCAGTTCCCAGAATTCATTGGGAAGAGGGGTTGATTGTGCTTTGTGCTACTTTGTGAGGGGAATAGGAGACTCTTAACAACTCTTCCAACTCGGGTGTTGGGCTCCATCCACAACAGCACTGTGGGTGGGATTCAATGAATGAGTCCCACTCCTGGAAGCCCGGGACGCGGGTGGCGCTGTGGGTTAAACCACAGAGCCTAGGACTTGCCGATCAGAAGGCTGTTGGTTCGAATCCCCACAATGGGGTGAGCTCCTGTTGCTCGGTCCCTGCTCCTGCCAACCTAGCAGTTCAAAAGCACGTCAAAGTGCAAGTAGATAAATAGGTACCGCTCCAGCAGGAAGGTAAACGGCATTTCCGTGCGCTGCTCTGGTTTGCCAGAAGCAGCTTAGTCATGCTGGCAACATGACCCAGAAGCTTTACGCCAGCTCCCTCGGCCAGTAAAGTGAGAGGAGCACCGCAACCCCAGAGTCATCCGCAACTGGACCTAATGGTCAGGGGTCCCTTTACCTTTACCTGGAAGCTCAGATAAGGACTCTTGCTGGTGCAAGAGGGCTTTCTCCCATGCGCCCTCTAAAAATGACTTGGGTGGTCAGGGGGAACCCCGGAATAGCACATGGGAGAAGGGGAGGGCAGATCGTTCATCTGTCACGCTAAAATGCTTGCGCTGACGGAACTGTCGCCTTAGCGCAATGTTGAATTCTTCCTTGTGCCTATCTGTTTGCTAGTGCCAAAATTGTTTGGCTCCTTGAGAGCGAAGCGGGGGGTGGGGAGGCAGAAGGAAACCTCTTGGAGGGTGGCTGAGGCCCACACACTGAGATTAGATATAAGTACAGGAGTCCCAGATCATGAAGGTCAAAAATCAGCCCTTTGAACTGAGTCCAGAAACCGAATGGAAGCCAGAGAAGGCAAGAGAATGAGGTGCTTATACCATCCGAACGCAGCAGACATGCTTGTCCTCACATTCCAGTTGTTTCCAGACCACCTTTAAGGGCATGTCCACGTATGAGGCACTTGACTACAGTAACCCAAACAGGATGTCGCCAAACCCTGGATCACTTCTTGCCAAACCGTGAGGAGTTCCTTGCAAAAACCAGGGTCTCTTTTTAACCATTTTCAGTTTATGCTTTTTTTGCCAGTTAGATGTTGTTTGAGGAAATTAAAACAATAGCCATATTTTATGGTGGTGGTGGTGACCTGGCTGCCACATTTATTTCTTAATTATTTTCTTTAGAGCACTTGTACCCTGCTCTTCAGCCAAGAAGGCTGCCAGAGGAGTTTACATAGTCAAAACAAAACTGTCCCTACCCACAACACACAAGGAAAAAGGGATAGGGAGGGAAGAGGAGAATAAAAAGCAAAACGCAGGCGCCTATTTCCAAACGGTTGTTCCTATAATGACCAGCTGGCACAGTTCCGGGGCAGGAGATTCCGGGTGGAGCTGGGCTTCCAGCAAATCTTCCAATGTCTCCTGCTGAGGCAGTCTGATCAAACAGCTGCTCCCAGATGACATCTGAAGCGAGAGGAAGCCCTTTCTAGTCATTCTTTCAAATTGACTGTGAAGACGCTGTAATCAATACACTAAACTTGTTTATCTTTCATGTAGGACTTCCAGGAGCTGATGAAGCAGTAAGTGTCTGGAATTCATTCTTGTGTGGCACCTCTGTAGTTCCCTTCTTTGACATCCCTTGTGTCCTTGGTTTCACCTGGTGGCAGGTGTGGGTGTGTGGCTTTTTCAGCCCAAGAGCAACATTCATTTTGGGGCAACCGTCTGTGGCCACATCCCAGTGACAGGCAGAGCCAGAGGCAAAATCAGACAGGGCAGAAATAAATGCAAAATGACCTCCAGGGCTGAGGTTTCCCACCTCTGGTTTGGCCCCTTAGTCCTCATCCCCAACTGAATGCAGCTCAGTTTTTTAAAAAGACCATTTTCCTGCATTCACATTACTCTCCCATCTACATAGTCTATTGGGCGGAATCATTGCTTTTCCACAATCGGGTGGGCATGAAATTAAAATGGCGGCTCCATGCAGCACTTAACATAGCTCTAACATAATGTCAAGTACCTTCCACGTGGCCAAAATCCTCCTTTCATATTTATTCTGATGGAACACCTGTCAAGCCACAAACGTTGATCTTCCAGGTTGCTCTGGCTTAGTTGAAAAATGTGGTTTCTCTTTGAAAGTTAGTGGCCTCTCCCACCAGTTGTAGGACTTGCCACAGATCAGCCTGGCCTCATTTTTTGGGCGGGGGGCAACATCCTGTTAGGAGCAACAAGCAGGGGCAGTGGGGCAGATCATCCTTTCCCAGTAAACAGGCGCTTCTTGTTTTCTCAGAGCCAAAGACTCAATAGAGGAGGAGGAAAACAAAGATGACAAGAATGCAGCTGAAGAGAAAGATCAGAAGGCTGATGAAGAACAGGGTGAACAGGGTGAAAGTAGTGAAAGTAGTGAAGAGAAGGAGGAGGATTCTGGAGACAATGAGAAAAATGTGGTGCCAGTGTTTTCATCTCTCAAGAAATTCAAAGTGGCATTGGATTTTGAAGCTTGGGGGAAACTGTTGCAAGGTATCGAACCCCAGGAAGAGAACTGATCTTACTCTGCATTTTCACACTACAGAGTGTACCGTTTTCTCACTCTGCCTTTACGCATTATACTCAGAGGGAGGGAGATGTACCATACTGCATAGGGCAGCATAAGGGAGAGGGTGTCCCAGCTGTGTATTTAGAGGGGGAAAGACTTTGTGTGGTTTTTAAACATATTTTTTATTAGTTTTCCATTTAATAATATATAATCACATCATTGCTATCCACTTTACCTCTCCGGCTCTTTTGAGCCTATAGACTTCCTTCCCTCCCAGCTCACGGCTTTCAAAGTAAACCTTTATATCATTGCATTTTATACATTTCCCAGTTCCGATTAGCTCATTACAAAAGTCGAAAATTGTTGTTCTTCATCCACTGCAGTTGTCGCACCCTGTACCCTTGCTCTATGGGAATAAAAGTGACCAAACCGCCGCTAGGTCGGCCACGGTTATTTAGTTTTTTCGCAGGGGTAGCAAAGCCGCATAGCCCTGTAAGTAAGGGGGATGAGAGTCTAGGCACCAGGTCTCTTGTAGACAAATAATCTGGAATTTTGAGAGAAAATCCAGAAAATCAGCAGCGCCCTGCTTAGACAGCCAGCCCGCCACATTCCACGATAAGATGTGAAAATATGGTGGTGAGGGGAACAAAGGTAGACTTCTCCGTTTGTTCTTTAGGATGATGGAATGAATGTTTTTGTAGAGGTGGAGTGAGCTGTTGGTATCCTTTCTGGTAGGTACTAACCTAGTGAGTTTTGTTTCACTGGCGTGGTGTCCCCTCGCTGTATCTGTCTTTCAGTCCTCCACCTGAATGCCATCTAAGGATCCTGAGGCATCCACAAAGATTGAACCGTTCCTACTCATCGGCATGGCAAGGTCTACCTGGTGCGTTGTTGTTTGAGGTGTTAAGGGTTGTGTGGGAGAACCCACTTCTTCGGGGGACAGGAACCGGCACTGCGTCCAGTCTTCGTTGGATAAGGGCTTTGTTGTATTAGTAGCAAAATTAAATTCCAAAGGAGCAGAAAAACCTTGGCGGGATAAGGATTTTTTAATGGTTTGTAACCTAGCTATTAACGCATCCTGGGACTGTTGGATTTGCTCAAGGGAGGCTAGAAAGAGCATCTCCTTTTCATTTAAGATATCTTTTTTGGGTTCATTGGAAGGGAGTAAAGTTTTTTGGAGCTTAGCCTTCTGTTTGGAAATTTTGACTGCCTCCGGTTGACCTTGTTTGCAGTTATTGAAATTTATGTTAAAATAAAAAGGGAGAAAATTCTTCATTATGAGTCTTCAAACAACCCTGCTAGTGATGGTAATTGCTTACAGTAATCTTTCAGATACCGTATAAATTTACTCCCGTCCTTTAGGAATACTTGATCTTGCTGGTTTCGGATTCTTCCTGTCAGCTTCGCCAATTCCACAAAGTCCATCATCTGCCACTCTTCTTTTGTTGGCAGAACTTGTTGTTTCCATTTTGGGGATAGGAGAATTCTTGCCGCTGTTGTTGCCTACATAAACAGTCTTTTATCTTCCTTTGGTATCTCTCTTCACCCACTGAACCAGAAAATAAAACTTTTGAACTCTCATTCTTGTTCTGGTTATATGTCCATATATTTACTTGCAAAAAGAAAAAGAAGACCACAAGCTGTTTCTTGGGGCTTTCCACCTTGGCGCACACACCACAGGGCTGTTGTTTAAAGTTCACAAACCAGTTCCGATCCCCAAACCAGGGCCTAACACGCACACATGTAACCCTGCTGATACTGCTGCTGTAAACTGTTTATAGTGATTCAGTTTTCAGTATTAAGCACTACTGTATACAAATGGATTTGGGATAGACAAAAGAAAGCACCAGGGCTTTTTTCCCCCAGGGGGAACTCACCGGAACTCACTCCCGACACCTCTCAGGTGAGCACCATTACCATTCTTAGAGAACGAGGGAGGTGTTCATGGTGAGTTGCGGCACCTCTTTTTCTAGAAAAAAATAGCACTGCACAGCATGTAGTTAAACAGAGTTCCTGATGGGCCACCCATGTGGATGGCTTTAAAAGAAGATTAGGTGGACTCATTGGGAGAAGAAGGCGATCAGTGGCTACAGGTAACGACAACTGTGTTTTTCCTTCAGTGCTGGAGGCAGTACACATCTGAACACCAGCTGCCAGGAAACACAAGTGTAACTTAAGCAATAACAGGCAACAGTGGCTAATAATATACTAACAAAATCAATATTGTATGAACAAAATTAGAGAAGGTAGTCAGTCAATATCACAGAGGCAAACAAGCCTTTCAATAGTCCCGATCCTGTAATCATGCGATATTAGAAGCTCCAAGCGTAGCAAATCTTAAACAGAGAATATGTAATGGAAACACAGAAAATAAACATCTATCATTGTTGCATGAACAAAATTAGACAATATAGTCCATTGGTATTGAAAGAGGCAAAAAAAGTAGAATGGTCGTAACAGGTACATCAAGTAGCATAAGATCAGCACTCACTAAGAAGCATAGAAAGCTGATACTGGGGGCCGAATCCTAGAAGATGAAGAAGAGAAGCATTTGGATTTGATATCCCGCTTTATCACTACCCGAAGGAGTCTCAAAGTGGCTAACATTCTCCTTTCCCTTCCTCCCCCACAACAAACAATCTGTGAGGTGAGTGGGGCTGAGAGACTTCAGAGAAGTGTGACTGGCCCAAGGTCACCCAGCAGCTGCATGTGGAGGAGCGGAGACGTGAACCCGGTTCCCCAGATTATGAGTCCACCGCTCTTAGACACTACACCACACTGGCCCCACTACACCACCACAGAGGCATTAAATAGGCCATCCCAAGAGCGCTGAGTCATGTACAAATTCAGGAAATTTAAAGATACAGAATCCAACAATTAATGCAGTGGAAACAAAGTCTAATTCCATGTTCAAACCCCCAGGATACAGGGATTTGAATAAGAAAAATTATTTTAGTTTCTTGTTGGTGTAGCAATCTTACGTAATCTCTCCTCATCCCTAGTTGTTTCTGATTTACCCAAAGAACCAAGTAAAGAAGGTCCATGTCTCTCTGCTGGTGTGTCACAAAATGCTCTATGAGTGGTGCATCCATAACCCGATTTCTAATGCGGGAACGATGCTCCCCTATCTGAATGCTGACTGCTCATGTGGTTGATTCAATATAGAGTACGGTAGATTGCACAGGCATCTTCTTAGATATACCGGTACAACATCTTTAGTCTGGCAGGTGCTGAAATGACGGAAACACAAGTGGGCAGAGTGGTGAAGTTGCATTTGGTCCCTGCTCAAAGGCTTCTCCATCTGGCTGGCCACTGTGAGAACAGAGTGCTATGCTAGACAGGCCATTGGCCATTGAACCAGCAGTGTTCCTCCTTAGGTTCTTATGACCTCTCAAGCACCACTAGCCTCCATGGGTAAGATGGCCCTAACTACAGCTCCCATCATCCCTAGCTAACAGGACCAGTGGTCAGGGATGATGGGAGTTGTAGTCCCAAAACACCTGGAGGGCCGAGTTTGCCTATGCCTGGTTTACATCACCACCCCTTGTCACCCTCTGTTTCAAAAGGCCCTTTTCCCTGTGGTGTCATCGTGCCCCCTGTAACCCTGACAACCCCCACTTCACAGATTCAATGACCTTCCCTTGAGGGGCTCATGACTGGCCCTCAGCACCATTGGTTCTTCAACGACTCGCCCCCCCCCCAAGTAAACCATCACCAGACTAGCCTCCTAAGAACAGCTAAATTCAGGAATTTATCCCTTAATTTCTAATCCTTTACTGAATCTAAGTGTTTGGGAGCTCTTGCCCCCCTGCTCCAAACGACCCTATAACAATATTTTACAGTAATATGTACTGCTGAATTTTGTTACTCAAAATGTGGAGTTTTATCATTACATTCAGTGTGGAATTTGTATCTTTGTGCCATTGGCCATTGAACCAGCAGTGTTCTTCCTTAGGTTCTTACGACCTCTCAAGCCAGGCTTGAGGATTGGCAATGTCGGCTGCCTGCCAAGGCCTCCTAGCCCTGGCTGTGCAGCTTCCCCACTTGTGCTCACCTGCTCAGCTTGTGTCCTACTCTCGTGTAGGACCCTGGCAGAGACACATGCCCAACTGGCATGTTCTCTCCCTCCTGGTCGATCGATTGGGAGCTTCAAAAGCTTTCTTCAGCCCGAATGTCACAGCGACTGATACCAAGAAGCATCAGCACACTCAGGGATCCACAGAGTATTTGCAGTTTGCGTAACAGAACTCAGTAGCTCTGCATTTTGGCTAATCTGCGTTTATTTACATATAATACACTCGGAGCATTCTGACTTAGCTCCTTCTTCTTTCTCATCAGACAGCAAAGAGAGAGAGAACAAAGGACAATAGTGCCACTTCACAGAACACAATAACATAAGCATCCTGTCTCCGTCATTTCCCACACTGTGGAATGAAAACATACACCGTCATGTGATAGACAACAATCTCATGACTGCAAACACGGAACAGGAATCCCAACAGCCTTCTCCCTTCCACCCTCAGCAACACTGGACACCTAGACCCAGAGCGAGAGGGCAAGCAAGCAAGCATGCGCCCGCTGTGGATTCTTTGAGGGGGAGTTCATAACTGCCAAGAGTGCTTCAAACGTCTGTGGTGGACATTATTGATACTATAATCAATATGGGAAAATGTGCAAGTGAAAACGTCCGTCCCCCCCGTCAACAAGAACCTGGGGAGCTGTAGTTTGTTAAGGATGCTAAGGGTTGTTAGGAGACCGTTAATGAACTACGATGCTAAATGCAGGAATATCCAGAGCACCGGTCTCCCCCAACAGATAGATGTCTTATCTTGAATGACTCTTGGGACAGCTCAGTCACGAGACTCTTAATCACAGGTTCGTGAGTTCAAGCCCCATACAGGGCAAAAGATTCCAGGACTTTTTTCTTTCTTTCAAAAACCAGCACTGGTTCTCTGCTTGAAATCCTTCACCAAGAGTGTCTACCGCCCCTTTAAGTACAACTGGCTCCATTGCTGAACTGCTGTTGCAATCGATCAAGGGGGTTCTTCCCCTGGTTCTCCCCCCACCCCAAATCTACCATCCAGAAGCTGCAGATTCCACACAGCTAAAATGAAACTGAATGTTCTAAGGCAGTGTTCCAGAATCTGATGCTTATCAGATGCTATGGACTACAGTTCCCATCAGCCCCTGCCAGCAGTGCAGTGGGAGGCCCCCAGGCTAAGGAAGGCTCACCTTTACTCTGAGGTAAGCCCTACTGGAGTCCATAGGATTGACTCTGGAAGAAGAGCGGTTAGGACAGCAGCCTTAACATTAAAAAGAGATGTTTTGCAAACTGCTTACATGCCTATTCTGACATTAAGCCGGAGATCTTCAATGCATAGGGTTGGGCAATAAGCCACAATGTGTTAGCGTTTAAAGTTTCGCTCCTTTCCCTTGTTATTTTAGCTTTAGGTTTTTTTATTTGGGTTTGGGGGGGTATTAATAGTTTATTTAAAAGATTTCAGTTAAAAAGAAATAAAGTGATGCAAAGGGAAAGAGAAAAAGAAAAGAAAAACGAAAAGGCCCCAAAAATTGTAGGAAAAAGGGCCAATATATGAAAATATACAACATACGAAAAATATTTTAGCCTTGGTGACCTTGCCTTATTTGAGAAAAATGATCTCTACGAAATGGTCAGCCGGCTCGCTGGTCGGAGCAACGGAATGTTGCCAAATGCAAACGGAGACAGGGCTCCTGCGCCTTTAAAAGTTCCCACGAAGAAGGAATTTCATACGCTTCACCTGCTGGGCTGGTGGAAGGGGCTATTAATTAAGAGCACAAGGGGCCTCTGCTTCAGCTGGTCGTGCGCGCTCTTGGCTACTCCAGTTCCCTTTGCGTTTTTGCGCTCCACGCACCTCTTTCCGGAGAAAGAAGAATCGAAAGACTGCGGATCCACTGAGCCGGCGTCGGGCGGGCAGAAGCGCTTCGAAGCAAGGCGCTGCGCGGGTGGGCGCACCTCTTCTTCCCGTTTGAAAGGGCGCTCGCAGCTGCTCCCGGGGACCATGGCGTCCAACCTGGCTGAGGACCTGCTGTGTCCGATCTGCCTCTCCGCCTTGCAAGAGCCCCACCTGCTGGGCTGCGGCCACAGCTTCTGCCCGTTGTGCATCAAAAGCTGCGTCCCCGTCGGGCAGGGCGCGGGGAGCTGCCCGGAGTGCCGCCGCCCCTTCGAGCTGCAGGAGCTGGCGTCCAACGTGGCCCAGAAAGTGCAGCGCCTGGAGCTCGACGGCGAGCCGCTGCCTGCAGCCGCCCGCGACTTCTGCGAGGAGCACGAGGAGCCGCTGGAGCTCTTCTGTCAGCAGCATCGCGTCCCCATCTGCGTGATCTGCCGGGATCTGCCACGCCACCGGGGCCACGAGTTCCTGCCGATCGAAAATGCTGTGGAGGACGCGCAGGTCAGTTGCAAGGCCTCTGCGTATTTTGCCGTCGAATACGCGCAGGTAGCCGAAGGCAAGGCTTCTTTCTCTGTTCGGAGCCCGGGAAGGGCTGTAGCAGTGGTGACACGCGGGTCGGGTTCAGACGTTCGGTCCAATCCCGTGCGTGCCTTCTCCACCCCCTCACAGAAGTCGGCTTCGCTTGGGTTCAATAGGGATTACTTCCCAGGTTGCTGCTGCTTTCTTGGCGATCACTCATAGCCGAGTAAGATTGTCTTCCATGAACACGGTCTTAACAATGACTGTGGAGGCCAATTCTGGTACCGCACGTCCTTCCACAATGGGAACAAAGGTTTCCGGGTGGAAGTTGATCACAGTGTGGAATTGCCAAGGGTGCCTTCCTCTTAGGGCGTTTCTCCCTTGTGTCCTGAGTTTGAGTGTCTTCAAAGCCCATGACACCTTTGGTAAAGGCTGTTCTCTAGTTGGAGCGCTCGCAGGCCAGTGTTTTCCAGGTGTCAGTGTTTATCCTACATTTTTTAAGATTTGCCTTGCTATAGTCTTTAAACCTCTTTTGTTGACCACCAGCATTACGTTTTCCATTTTTAAAATGAAGGCATTGCCCCAAGGGGGATTTTGCAACACCAAGGAAAACGTCACAAAAACCTTGTGCAAACTTTCCGGTTCTGCATACCTCTCTTATATCAGGACAAGAAGTTAAAAAATGGGAGAGGGGAAGGTTGGCTGATGGTAAAACCATCTGGTCAGAGGCTAATACTGGGGTGTGGGAAAATGCAATAGGATATGTTATTTTTATTTAATTTTGTTTCTCACCTGCCCTTCATCAACAAGGTGAATTTAAAAACTGGTTTTTGTGTATATGTTTATGCTCTTTTAAATGTGGCATCCATTATGTCACACACAGCACAGCACAGCACCTATTTGTGACTAGCCCCCGACCTGCATAACTTTCTCAAAATTCCAGGTTTGCCCAGTGTCCCAGATGGACTAGCAACCCCTGCTGTAACATCTCTCACTTCTTTTCCCCATAGTCCAACGCTCCTGTTAAACTAATTTACCCCTCCATTATACTCTTCTAGCCCTATATTTCTGGCCAACCTAGCAGTTCGAAAGCATGCCAAAAAGTGCAAGTAGATAAATAGCTACGGCTCCAGCGGGAAGGTAAATGGCATTTCCGTGCGCTGCTCTGGTTTCACCAGAAGCGGCTTAGTCATGCTGGCCACATGACCCGGGGAAAAACTGTCTGCGGACAATGCCGGCTCCCTCAGACTGTAAAGCAAGATGAGTGCCGCAACCCCAGAGTCATCTGCGACTGGACTTAACTGTCAGGGGTCCTTTACCTTTTCGTTTAGTCGTTTAGTCGTGTCCGACTCTTCGTGACCCCATGGACCAGAGCACGCCAGGCACTCCTGTCTTCCACTGCCTCCCGCAGTTTGGTCAAACTCATGCTGGTAGCTTCGAGAACACTGTCCAATCATCTCGTCCTCTGTCGTCCCCTTCTCCTTGTGCCCTCCATCTTTCCCAACATCAGGGTCTTTTCCAAGGAGTCTTCTCTCATGAGGTGGCCACAGTATTGGAGCCTCAGATTCAGGATCTGTCCTTCCAGTGAGCACTCAGGGCTGATTTCCTTAAGGGAGAGGTTTGATCTTCTTTCAGTCCATGGGACTCTCAAGAGTCTCCTCCAGCACCATAATTCAAAAGCCTCAATTCTTCAGCGATCAGCCTTCTTTATGGTCCAGCTCTTACTTCCGTACATCACTACTGGGAAAACCATAGCTTTAACTATACGGACCTTTCTCGGCAAGGTGATGTCTCTGCTTTTTAAGATGCTGTCTAGGTTTGTCATTGCTTTTCTCCCAAGAAGCAGGCGTCTTTTAATTTCATGACTGCTGTCACCATCTGCAGTGATCATGGAGTCCAAGAAAGTAAAATCTCTCACTGCCTCCATTTCTTCCCCTTCTATTTGCCAGGAGGTGATGGGACCAGTTGCCATGATCTTCGTTTTTTTGATGTTGAGCTTCAAACCATATTTTGTGCTCTCTTCTTTCACCCTCATTAAAAGGTTCTTTAATTCCTCCTCACTTTCTGCCATCAAGGTTGTGTCATCTGCATATCTGAGGTTGTTGATATTTCTTCCGGCAATCTTAATTCCGGCTTGGGATTCATTCAGCCCAGCCTTCCGCATGATGAATTCTGCATATAAGTTAAATAAGCAAGGATACAATATACAGTCTTGTCATACTCATTTTTAGCCCTGTAATATACCTTTTTAGCCTGTATTATATTACTATTTTCATTTATATACCACTTGGTATTTTAAGAGATCTTAAAGCAATTTACAATATAAAAATGTGTGCGTGTACATGCACATACACACACACACACACACACACACACACACACACAAATAAGTACACATTAACACCATATCACAAACGTATTTCTAGAGTTTCCTATAGCTACCCTTTCTCTCGCCCCACCCACCCACCATGGCCTTCAACCCCCCATGGCAAGGATCCTGATGATTTTTTTTTTAATGGTTATATGATTTAGTGTATTTTCAATATGTGTAACAAGTGTTGCCTCTCCTGTTTTGATAAACGAAAAATAGACATGTTTTATGCTCAATGTCTCTGGCTTTCTCTGCTACACAGTGGGAATTGGAGACATTTCTTAGAAAACTGGAGAATTTCCTAAAGACCACTGGTGACGCCGAATCTTTACAGCTACAAGAAATGTCAGAGATGGAGGTAAATGATACACATCACACAGACCTGTACTTGGAGCAAGTAAAAGATTTCAGTTGTAGGAATGGGGCAAGATGGGTAGGCCAGTTCAAAGGTCTACTCCAAGATAGGTTCAAGGTTGAATTCCTTATGCCAATTTCTATCTCTTGGCCTGTGTGAAAGTAGAGGAATGGTGGAGAATGATATTGGCCATCCTGAATTTGTTGCTGGAAAGGTAGGATAAAAATATAATAAACTAGCTGTCTTGTACCCAGCATTGCTCAGGAATGCTAAGAATCAAACAAACAAAAATTGGTGCAGCTTTGAAATTGGTGGGTAAAGTTACTGCAGGCTTGAAAGGACCAGTCCACCATCTTGATTCAAAATTGGAGTCCAATTGTATCCAAACATAGACCAAAAAACCTGCTCTTTCAACTGGGGAATAATCGTGAAACATTTGCTTACAATATCTTTAGAGATACCCAAATACATCTATTAGATAACTGAAATACAAAACCAGCCCTGTATTTAAATAGCATTTGTTATCATTCTCTATTTACAGTATACCTCATGATATCATGAGGTATAAGTGCACCAGGCGAATAAGTTAGCAATACAGTGGTACCTCGGGTTAAGTACTTAATTTGTTCCGGAGGTCCGTTCTTAACCTGAAACTGTTCTTAACCTGAAGCACCACTTTAGCTAATGGGGCCTCCTGCAGCTGCCGCACCACTGGAGCACTATTTCTGTTCTCATCCTGAAGCAAAGTTCTTAACCTGAAGCACTATTTCTGGGTTAGCGGAGTCTGTAACCTGAGGCGTATGTAACCTGAAGCATATGTAGCCTGAGGTACCACTATATTAGATAACTGAAATACAAAACCAGCCCTGTATTTAAATAGCATTTGTTATGATTCCCTATTTACAGTATACCTCATGATATCATGAGGTATAAGTTAGCAATAATCTGGAAAGTGTTGGTTTCTTGAGACTCTAGAAGACAACAATACGTGGCTAGCAGTCTGCTTCTGGCTGGTGGGTCTCCTGTTTGCAGGTCTGACTAAAATCAAGCAAAAAGGAAAGAGCTTCAGTCTTGGCTAAACCACCTCAACAGCTGCTTCCTCCATGAAAAACTTGTGAGTCCAGAATGACTCTCAGGCTGTGCACCTGGTCTTTCAGGGACACAGTTACCCCATTCAGGACCAGCAAACACATATCTTTCAATTAGGCCCATAATTTTTGAGGGAGTGCCATGTTCCAAATGGCTATCTGAATCACCCCTGTGGATCCGTATATGGCGTTGTAACAACTACCATCCTCAGTTGCCCCATCTGTGCTTGAGTGAGCCTGATCCCCAGTTGCAATAATAAAGCGTGTAGCAGCTGCAATTTAGAAGCTGAATATATTCAACAATTTCCATTGTACATTTTAAAAACGGATTTCGTAAATCGGAAGGTATTTGCTGCACGGCTGTTGTTTTTCTCTTTAAGATTAAAAAAATCTCTCCTTGCTTCTTCGGTTTTTCTACCACTTGCAGAATTGCACTAAAGACACCTTGAGCCACATTTCCAGAGAGTTTGAGGCTCTCCACCAGATCTTGCATGAGAAGGAAGAAAGGTTTAAGAACAGAGTCCAGAAGATAAGCAAGAGGAACCTGAAGGATATGCAGAATGCCGTAATACATCTGAAAGACGAAGCATCTTCGTATACAAAGATGATTGCCAGGATTAAAGCAGCATTAGAAACCACAGACCATGTGGCCTTCCTGAAGGTAAGAGCAGGTTTTTATGAATGGTTTACCTTAAAAGACTGGATGAGATTTTCAGAGCCAGGGAAGAGCATGGAATCCATTGGGTTCCACAAGTAGGTTAAGTGGATTCTTTGGGCATGAGCTGATATGGGGAAAGTGGGTGAGGGGAACATACCGTATTTACTCGAGTCTAACGCACCATCAAATCTAATGCACACCTCAATTTTCAAAACCTTGAAACAAAACAAAAAAAGCATTTTATGGCAAATGTAAATGCTCCATCGAATCTAATGCACACCTTAATTTTCACAACATAGCTGGGCCCAAAAAAGGTGAGCATTAGATTTGAGTGAATACGGTAGTTTGGCCAGATAATGATAGCTAGCTTTAAGCAATACGGCTAGACTAGATCTGATTTAATATGGCTGCCAATTTGCTTTTCTCATCACTCTTAACCATGGGTAGGCAAAGTAAAGCCCGGGGGCCGGATGCGGCCCAATCGCCTTCTAAATCCGACCCGCGGACAGTCCGGGAATCAGTGTGTTTTTCCATGAGTAGAATGTGTGCTTTTATTTAAAATGCATCTCTGGATTATTTGTGGGGCATAGGAATTCTCACACACACACACCAAAATAGTCCGCGCCCCCCAAGGTCTGAGGGACAGTGGACTGGCCCCCTGCTGAAAAAGTTTGCTGACCCCTGCTCTTAATTCACATATTCGGTTGTTATCAAGCCCTAAGGCTGGGCTTTCCAAACTTTTCATGTCGGTGACACACTTTTTAGCCTTGCGACAAAGTAATTCAGTTTTACTAGCAAATTGGAGGTTAAACTAACCCCTTTCCAGCCCTGGGAGGAGTATGGGAAGCGTTTGAGCAACACACCTACACATTGCAACTGACACACTAACGTGTCGTGACACACAGTTTGGAAAGCTCTGCTCTAAGGTTGCCTTTCTTTATATGTGCACAATATATAGAATTGTAGAGTTGGAAGGGACTGTGAGGATCATCTAGTCCAGGGGTCAGCAAAACTTGTCCACTGTCCCTCAGACCTTGTGCGGGGCTGGACTATATTTTTTGGGGGGTGAACGAATTCCTATGCCCTACAAATACCCAGAGATGCATTTTAAATAAAAGGACACATTCTACTCATGTAAAAACATGCTGATTCCCAGACTGTCCACGGGCCGGATTTAGAAGGCGATTGGGCCGGATCCAGCCCCCGGGCCTTAGGTTGCCTTCCCATGATCTAGTCCAACCCCCTGCAATGCAGGAATATGCAGGTGTCCCATACGGGGATCGAACCTGCAACCTTGGCATTATCAGCACCACACTCTAACCAACTGAGTTATCAATCTGACCCAAGGTTTATCCCGGGGGGTGGGGAATACTGTAACCCAGCCTTTCCCAACTTTTGGGCCTCAACACAACATTTGGATACAACATTTAAGACATAGAACAATGATTAAAATGAACAGTAAGCTTTAAAAAACCAAAAACAGATTCAGTTACATGTCAATGCCACCCGTATCTGGGTAGGCCTGCATAAACAAAAATCTTTTTATTTGGCGCCAAAAGGAGTACAGTGGTACCTCAGGTTAAGTACTTAATTCATTCCGGAGGTCCGTTCTTAACCTGAAACTGTTCTTAACCTGAAGCACCACTTTAGCTAATGGGGCCTCCCGCTGTCACGATTTCTGTTCTCATCCTGGAGCAAAGTTCTTAACCTGAGGTACTATTTCTGGGTTAGCGGAGCTGTAACCTGAAGCGTCTGTAACCTGAAGCGTATGTAACCCGAGGTACCACTGTACAATGAAGGTGCCTCCATCACTGATTTCTTAATACGTGGCACCTGTAACAAGGCCAGTTCCATCTGCCTCGGGCAGCCTAGCCAATGACTAAGGATGATGGGAGTTGTAGTCCAACAGTGTTTGAGGATACCGGTCTTCTCATTTACTATGTATGAGCAATAAGCTTTCTTACAGGCAATCACAAGACTTTGTTTATGCCTGTATCATTTTACACTTGCTTGTATTTTTCTTTTGTGTATAGTTGCCCCTTGGGTGTTTCTTTGTGGGCACTTGATAAAGAATCCTAATTATTACTATAGTCTTGCTTATTTTGTTTGTGCAAATATTTATACCGCTCAACATATAAAGTACTGGAGCGGTGAACACTTTAGGACCCGAAAGCATATGTATGTAATCAAATACAGAAAAACAGTAGAAGTATCTTTTAGGAATGTGGAGAAATTGACTTCGATTGGGCCTGGCTGGACTTGCATCCGTGAGCTCTGATGTTGTGAGGGGAGCGCTGTTAATTCTTCCATGTTTTGAGGGGGCAGTGAAGAGAGGAAGAGCTCATTGACTACATCTCAATTGTTCTCTTTCATGCAGGGCTTCAAGCAACTGATGTACGAGTAAGTTCATGAATTCATATTTCACCCCTGTGCCATAACGTCTTCAGAAAATATCTCTTCCCACGAGACCCTTGGTTTGAACCCCTTTAGTCCATTACCCAAAGAAGCCAGATTTAGACCACCAGCCTTCCCATTCGGCCCCTCACAAACCACATCCGCCTGCCCCACACCTGACATCAAAGAATAATATAATATATATAATATTTGTTAATTTATATACCCCGCCCATCTGGCTGGGTCTCCCCAGCAACACTTGGGCGGCCTACAACATATAAAACCCAACAAAACGTCAAGCCATTAGAAAACAATATATCCTATACCAAACCGATAAATTAATAAAAAAACCAGTAACAGCAATAATAAGAAACAGTTTACAGTTAATACCCAAATTTAAGTAACCGCCAACCCCAACTAAACATTGTAACCAACACCAACCCAACAAAAATGAAATGGAGGAATCAAAATTAGACCTGTTTAAAATATTTTAGCCAGTTGCCCCAACCCAAGAGTTGTTCCAGCAATGTCCTAGTAGCCTCCCAGGAGCCTCTTTTAGCTATTCAGGGTGGGTGTGGGCCCTGCCCCCTAGGCCAGGTGGAAATGGGCCTTGCAGCAGAGAGCAGGTCTTCCCTCCATCGCTCACGGCAGCAGCAATTGAACGTGACATCCAGCAAGGGGCAGCAAGAGACAAGGCTGGATCCTATGGCTGTTAATCAGGATTTGAACTCGCTGCTCGTTCTCTGAAGTGCAAGGAGTTAATCCTGAGGACCAAGATAGACAGGTGGGCAGGACTACTCACCTGCTAATCACATGGTTAATTACCTGACATCCGATGGTTGACAGGTGGGTGGTCTCACCTTTCCGTTAGATTTGGCCTGCAGGGTTTGTGGGAAGACAAAGATTTGGCCCTCCAGCCGAAAAGGTTCTTTTCCCCATCTCTGCTCTGGACAGATGTATGATAAAACTCCAGGTTTCCTAGAAAGTAATGTTGACAAGTGCACTTTTTTTGTGCATTTTTTCCTTGACTAGATTGTGCCTTTGGATTCCTACCCCACCCCCAGCAATGTCCCATTAATACTTTTTGTCTGAAAAGCACCAGCTAAGGTGCAAATTGCCCTTCTTTATCGAAAGTTGAAACTCTTCATAATTTCCACTCCCTCCATTTTTGGAGAGAGCCGGTAACATGTGTTTTATTATACTAAATGAATAATGTGATGATTTAATTCCTATTAGATCTTTATCACATCCTTCCTTGCCCCTTTATTGTGGCCTTCCCCCCAAATATTCTCAGGGTAGAAGAAATCTGCCCCCCAAAAAAAAATAATGAGGGGGACAGACCTGTAACAGAGCGGTTCAACAGTGGAACAGTCTCCCTCGGGAGACTGTGGACTCTCCTTCCTTAGAGGTTTTTAAGCAGAGGCGGGATGGCCATCTTGTCAGGGTTCCTTCTAGCTCCACAATTCTATGATTCTACCTTACCAGGGAGGGCTTTTAGTAAGCATGGGACCACTACTAAGAAGGCCCTGTTGTGGGTTTGTGCCAGCTGGGCAGCACCACCACCAGCAAGGAAGCCAATTGACCCTTCTTTAACCATGTTTTGTTTAGCCAACCCGCCAAACTATATAAAGTCAGGAGCAGCTGGGAAGCAAAACAATCGGGCAAGGTGTGCTTCTGTGAGCCATGGCTTAGTGTTAGCATGCAAAATAACCAAGCTGATGTCGTTTGGGGGCTGCTTTGGCTTCTTACTGAAAGGCCTGCAATGTTTTGACCCTTCCTACTGTTGCAGGAAGGGACGCGGGTGGCGCTGTGGGTTAAACCACAGAGCCTAGGACTTGCCGATCAGAAGGTCAGCGGTTCGAATCCCCGTGACGGGGTGAGCTCCCGTTGCTCGGTCCCTGCTCCTGCCAACCTAGCAGTTTGAAGGCACATCAAAGTGCAAGTAGATAAATAGGTACTGCTCTGGCGGGAAGGTAAACGGCATTTCCGTGCGCTGCTCTGGTTCACCAGAAATGGCTTAGTCATGCTGGCCACATGACCCGGAAGCTGTACGCCGGCTCCCTCGGCCAGTAAAGCAAGATGCGCACCGCAACCCCAGAGTCGGCCACGACTGGACCTAATGATCAGGGGTCCCTTTACCTTTACCTTACTGTTGCAGGAATTTATGTATAGGGTGGGGGGGTTTGCACCTCCAGCAGATACCATGCACATGCAGCCCACTACCAAAACCAGCACAATCACTCTTGTGACTTTTGTGATTTGTCCCCACAAAACACTTCATCACAGTTTCTTCCTATCTATTCAAAGGGCCTTTGCTGCACGATACCAAATGTAACAGTTCACTGATAAATGTATCTATGTACAGTGGTACCTCACAAGACGAATGCCTCGCAAGACAAAAAACTCGCAAGACGAAAGGGTTTTTGGTTTTTTGAGTTGCTTCGCAAGACGATTTTCCCTATGGGCTTGCTTCGCAAGACGGAAACGTCTTGTAAGTTTGTTTCCTTTTTCTTAACACCGTTAATACAGTTGCGACTTGACTTCGAGGAGCAACTCATAGAACACTGTGTGGTAGCCTTTTTTGAGGTTTTTAAAGACTTTGGTGATTTTTGAAGCTTTTCCAAAACTTTCCCGACACCGTGCTTCGCAAGACAAAAAAAATCGCAAGACGACAAAACTCGCGGAACGAATTAATTTCGTCTTGCGAGGCACCACTGTACTGGTTCACTGGGAAAACTTCAGAAATTCATATAGACATGTGAGCTCAGCTACTCAGCAGCCCCTCTGCCTGATACCTGACAGGCAGGTAGCCATTCCAGAAATAACAAACCCAGATGATGACAAAAGGGTGTGATTACCTTGGCTGGGAAACAGGGAAATGTAAATATCTCTTTTGTTACACTTGATGGGTGTTTGGTGGAGGGCCAGGAGAACCATGGGGCAGGGTCCAGGATGCTCAGATTACTGCCACCAGACCTCCCCTTTTATGATGTAACCGTGATGTAGTTTGGGGGGGGTGTAACATGGGGATTAGCAGCTAATAAAAGTTTGGGTTCTCTTTTGTTCGGGGCTTCCATCTTGTTCCACCTTGTGGCAAGTGGGAGTCCTGTCGCGACAGTCTTCAATAAAGACCAAGCCTACTGGCTGCTGTTTTGCTCTGGTATTCCTGGCTGGTGTCCTTGTTTTTTTGCCCAAGGGAGCCCTCAGATTTCTCCGTTAACACTTCCCAGTAGGCAGCCCAAGGCGCTTAGTGGCAAGCGGGGTGTGATCCATGGGGAAAGCCCTCTCTGGCAATCTGGTATACACAGCTGTGTTCTCCTCCCTCAGAACTGCGGTGGGCAAGGACGAAGGAGACAGTGGCGAAGAAGAGGCTGGGCTCGAGGAAGAATGTGACAGCGATGAATGCGAGAACAGTGGCACGGAAGATAATTCTGGTTTCTCCGGTGGCATTGCAATGTCAGCGGCTGTAGCCCTTGAGAAATTTGAGGCCTCGCTGCATTTTGATGTGTGGAAGAAAATTTTGCAATCTATTGAACCCATGGACTGATACCCCAACCCCAACCTTTTATACATAGATGGTCTTGATGCGGTTATCTGCTTGGCTGCGAGTGATGGTCTGTAATTGAACTATAGTACTGACAGTGCTCTGATATTATTATTCTCTCACCACCCACCCCTTCTCTCTTCCCCATCCCCCTTAATTCCACTAGTGGCACCACTACAGTTTTAATGGAGGGTAATATTTTTGGACGGGCTTTATAACAACAATGTGAGGGAACTGGTAGCTTCTTCTGAGGCAGCTCTGAGGAAGCTACGCTTGCTGTTTTGAAAACACACCCCATATTAGCCTTTGCTGGAATGGTGCCTTTTGGGTGTTTTGGACTACAAATCCCACCAGCCCTAGCCAGCATGTGTTGCCTGGGGCTGATGGGAGTTGTAGTCCAAAACATCCTTTCCCCCCTGAGCAGCAGTGGGGGTGGCCCGGGGGGGCGGACCATTGGCAGCTGTGTGAGGAAAGTTGTGGTCTTGCCCAGGACCCCAGAAGTGGAAGCTGGTATTATTTCATTCTTTATTGGCAAACCCAAGCATGGGCATTAGATGGCATACACTTTGGCAGATGTGGAGAACCTTTTGCCCTCCAGATGTTGCTCAGCTACAACTCCCAGCAGCCCCCTGCTAATATGATTGGCAGCTAGGGATGGTGTGAATTATAGTTCAGAAACCCCAGGGGCCAAATGTTCCCCATTCCTGCTCTATAGTATTTTGTAAAGTTAGTTTCATTTTTTTAAGAAAGATTCCAAAATCTGCATGAAACATTCCGATTTGCAGAATATCACGTTCCTATGACTCGGCCCTCTGAAATGACCTGTATCCTCGGTTGATTTGTCTTGTTTCTACCTAATTACTGAATACTTTTTAAAATTGTGATTTATTGAAATGTTGCATTGTTCGCCGATGACGTTGGAAGGAACAGAATATAAATAAATAAAAATTTCTCCCCCCCCACACACACACTAACCACTCCTCACAAGAAGATCCCAGGATCAGCTTATAGCACAGAAGCACAACACAATTTGAATAATAGACAACAACTTGCCTCTCCCTAACCCCAAAACGATAATTCCATGCTGGAAGGGAGGACACTGATATTGTCAAAGAGCAGAGCCAAGTGGTGTGTCTTCAGCAATGAAACAGAAGCTGTGAGCTGTACTTCTCTGGTTGTGCAAAAAAGGGTCCTTGTAATTTCTGCCTGGCATCTACATTTTTTGTCCTCATTGGTCCATTTGACCTTAACAACCTTCAAAGCAAATGGTCCTGTATTTCCCCCTTTTTTTCCTTTTTGGCCTGCCATGGCCAATTTTGGAAAAACCAAAGAAAAACCAAGTGAACTGAACCTTTCCAAAAGGGATATTTTAAAGCCTGTATCTTTGTTAACCCAAAGATTGCATGATCCTTTTGTAAGGAAACCATGCATTTTAATTTTTAAGTCATTTGGAACCTATTTTCTTTTTTTACTGCCAGCAGATGGAGCCTTGTTTGCTGTAATTTCTGGAGACTCTGAGTAAAATATTAACTTATATGCCAAACTAAGTGTCTGTGATTTATTCTAGCCTAAGTGTTTTGCCAGGAAGTTTTGTTTCATAGCTCCCTGATAAACGTGCATGGGGAAGACATTTTTACTTCAGCAGGCATTCTGATGTAATGATTAATTTTAACAGATGTTATAGCTCATGTATCTTTTTTATATAACCTTATATTACCGCACTATTAACCCTCAGCTGATTGAAACGTAATGAAGGAGAAGGAATAGCATTGCAGAACCTCAGCTGGCATTAGCTAGTTTCTCTGCAATATGAGTGAGCAAATGATGTCAATTTGGAGAAAAGCCCCAGTGTGCAAATCGCCTCAGTAACAGGCAAGGCTCAAACTGACTTCATGTGAATGACTCACCTCTCGTTTGTTAGGCAAGAGCAACAACATTTCTGCACCTCCTGATAATCATGTGACTTGTGGTCTAAAAGTGTCAGGGTGGCAGACTTCTTACATCAGATAGCTTCTTGCATTGTAGATCTTGAGAAATGGAAATGTTATGACGCAGCTCAATAAGAAGCCAGGAATAGAAAGTTGTTTTGGATCTTCTCCTTCACAGCGGGCAGACTAGATTCCGTTCATCTGGAATTCTGTGCTAAAATCTAAATTTACAGTAAGGTAAAGGGACCCCTGACCCTCAGGTCCATTCGTGACCGACTCTGGGGTTGCAGCGCTCATCTTGCTTTATTGGCCGAGGGAGCTGGCGTACAGCTTCCGGGTCATGTGGCCAGCATGACTAAGCCGCTTCTGGCAAACCAGAGCAGCGCACAGAAACGCTGTTTACCTTCCCACCGAAGTGGTACCTATTTATCTACTTGCACTTTGATGTGCTTTCAAACTTGAATTCCCCCCACAAAATACTGAGAGTCACAGCAATTTTTAGCAGCATTTGCATTCTCTTTCTCCTGCTTTCAAGGCAGGAGCTTATAGCTGCCATATAAATCTAATAAATAAAAATACATCTTCAGGGATGCTGTAGTTTCTGATGAGAACCCAGCAGAACCTCAGACCAGCCAGATGCACTTAGCAGGTCTGCAAAATCTATTGCTGGTCCTCCAGTGTCAGGAAGTCAGTCCATGTTTCTTCATTGCCTTGACAACGAAGACAATGAGTAATAATATGACCACACATCTAAATCTCAAGTCAGCTGTAGGTTTCCTTGGGTTTCGCGTTCGTGTCAGCTGTTTTGCAGAATACATTTCTGAGTAAGTACAAATGGGATTTTTCAGAAAGGAAGTTGTGGTTTCTGTCAACCCCAGGCTCCTTGCTCCCCATCTGATGCCCTTTTCTTGTCAGCACAGAATCAAATGTGGAAATGAAGGAGAACTATATGAAAACGATGTACAGGTGGTGTTTGACTTCTAGTAAATTGGCTAAGACGTATAAAGCTGAATCAGATATGTGCTGGAAATGTAAGGAAAAATGGGAGGTACCATTAACATACAGTGGTACCTCGGGTTACAGACGCTTCAGGTTACAGACGCTTCAGGTTACAGACTCCGCTAACCCAGAAATAGTACCTCAGGTTAAGAATTTTGCTTCAGGATGAGAACAAAAATTGTGCTCTGGTGTCGTGGCAGCAGTGGGAGGCCCCATTAGCTAAAGTGGTACCTCAGGTTCAGAACAGTTTCAGGTTCAGAACGGACCTCCAGAACGAATTAAGTTCTTAACCCGAGGTACCACTGTATGTGGTGGACATGTCAGATAGTGAAAGCTTTTTGGGAGATGATTTATAATAAGCTGGAAATGTTGAAGGTATCGTTTAGAAGAAGACCAGAATCCTTTTTTCTAGGAATAAAGGTAAAAGGTAAAAGAAGGTAAAAGACCGGGGAAGCCGGTGTTTGACCACAGACAGCTTTCTAGGTCATGTGGCCAGCATGACTAAACTGCTTCTGGTGCAACAGAATGCCATGACAGAAGCCAGAGCGCACAGAAATGCCGTTTACCTTCCTGCTGGAGTGGTACCTATTTATCTACTTGCACTGGCGTGCCTTTGAACTGCTAGGTTGGCAGGAGCTGGGACAGAGCAATGGGAGCTCACTCCATTGTGGGGTTTCGAACCACTGATCTTCTGATCAGCACACCCAAGAGGCTCAGTGGTTTAGACCACAGCGCCACTTGTGTCCTTAGGAATAATAGGTCAAGCTGTACCCAAGGATCAGAAAAAACTACCGTATCTATGTATTCAGCAATGGCTGCCAGGATGATTTATGGGCAGAAGAAACAGTTCCAACCAAGAAGGTCAGGCAGATAAAGCTGATGGAGTATGCGGAGATGTCCAAACTTAAGGGAAGAATAAGAAACCAGGAAGAGAATTTTTTAAATAAAGACTGGGGAAAACTTATTGGATATATAAAAAGTTATTGTAAACAGCTTAAAACTTTAGCAGAGCTAATGTAAAACGAGCAGTAAAGAATAATTAAATAAATTTTAGAAGAAATATACAAGGAATTTTTGTGGATATGCAAAAGTAGAGAACCACAGATTGCGGGGAGGGGGAGTCAATTTGATGTTATTTACAGTTTTGTTAATTGGTATGTATTGATGAAAAATGAAAAATGATAAGTAAATAGGAAATAAGTGTAATAAATACTGTAATATCATTTACCATTTCAACAAGTTTGCTTATTTAATAAAGCTGAACATTCGTGACTAATTCAAACTCATTTAAAAGTATCTGTGTGTGTTTTTTATTACTGATTTGTTTCAGAATAAATAAACATTGCATTTGATTAAAAATGAAAGTAAACACTGTGGTTAGCAAGTGCAAGGTTGCCTCTTGTTTCATCTGTGGAAAGAGGAAGCTAAGAAAGATGAGGCCGTCTCCTTTTCCATGAAATCGGGGGCGCAGAAACTATGAGTAACTGTGGCATTCAGCTGCTGCAAAGGGTGATTTCATGAGGAGGTCCTTCTTTCCACTATTGCGGATGTGGGAATCTCCCTTAGTCTAAGGGCCACATTCCCTTCTTGACAAGCTTTCAGGGGCCACATGTCAATAGTGGGCAACAGATGTGACTCTTACTTTTATACAGTAGGTAGGTAGGTAGGTAGGTAGGTAGGTAGGTAGATAGATGATAGATAGATTTTGTTTAGTCGTTTAGTCATGTCCGACTCTTTGTGACCCCATGGACCAGAGCACGCCTGTCTTCCACTGCCTCCCGCAGTTTGGTCAAACTCATGCAGGTAGCTTCCAGAACACTGTCCAACTATCTCGTCCTCTGTCGTCCCCTTCTCCTTGTGCCCTCCATCTTTCCCAACATCAGGGTCTTTTCCAGGGAGTCTTCTCTTCTCATGAGGTGGCCAAAGTACTGGAGCCTTCCCTGTAACCTCACTTCTTGCAGGGAGGGAACCACCAGAAGGCCCTCAAAGCTGGACAATGCGGTTAGAGATGCTCCTTCAGATATATTGGGCCGAGGCCATTTAGGGCTTTAAAGGTCAGCACCAACACTTTGGTTCGGAAACGTACTGGGAGCCAATGTAGGTTTTTCAGGACCGGTGTTATATGGTCTCGGTGGCTGTTCCCAGTCACCAGTCTAGCTGCCGCATTCTGGATTATTTGTAGTTTCCAAGTCACCTTCAAAGGTAGCTTATTGATGGTCAGGGCTGGAGGCCATGATGGAGGTCAATGAACATGGCCAAGGCCATAGACTAGTTTCTACCAACTCTCATTCACCCCTCTTGTGTTCTTCATCCAGGCAAGGAAGGGTTCCAGCCATGCAAATCCACTCTAGGAGGTTGTGAGGGAGCCCTTTGACAAGGGATCTGGAGCCAACCCATTATCATAGACTCATAGACTTGTAGGGATCCCGAGGGTCATCTAGCCCAACCCCTGCAATGCAGGACTCTCAGCTAAAGCATGAATGGCAGGTGGCCATTGATTTCGTCCCATTGGGGAAGAAATGATCAAATTGGAAAATCAAGGTGAGATAGTAATTAATATGCTGGCAGGATGTGCTTCACGTGCTTTAGAAGAATCCTGTAGCGGTGATAGCAAGTGGCCTGGGAGACAGGGTTTTTCAATGATGCTTGCTTTGTTGTGGTGTCTGACTTTTGTGGTTTCCTGTATCTGTGATAGCGCAAATTGCTGAAGTGGTGGTTTTCAGTAGCAGGGATGCTGTGTCACGCAAGCCTTGCTGCGCCGTCTTAGAGATTTGCAGGCGACGGCAAGAGATGTTTTCATCTCTTGAGCAATGTAGTTGGTTTTCCTGTGGGCTATTTTTGTGCATGAATAAAACGCAGCGCTGGCCCTCTGAGTCTACAGTTTGAGAGCTGGTTCTTCCCTCGCAGGATCTCAGAGAAGTGGGAAGGTTTTGTCAGAGAGTCTCAGAAGTTTTGTGTGTGCCTATATTTCAGAAGGCAGGTAAGGAGATAACTTGCGGGAGGGAAAGGATTTGTAGATCTTTTGCTTTGCTGATTCAAATTACAATGGGAAATTGAATTATTCAGTAAGCATATGTGACTAAAAATGTCCTAGGCAGAGCTTAGAATCAAGTCATATTCTGCCAAATTTATTGACAAGGTGCGGGGAGCGAAAACGGGTTGATGGTGGTACTTTTATTTTGCTGGGTTTCCAGTTTCCATCTATGTTACTTCTCCATGTATTGGAGAAGATTTTGAGCATCTTGCTGGATCGCCCTAAGCGAACCTGAAGCTGCTGTACTTGCTAGGAAAGAAATGAAAGATAACTGGTTCTTAATTCTATTTTGGCAGTAAAAAACAAAACAAAACAAAACATTTTCTTTCAATTATTAACAGCTATGCCTTTTTTAAAAAAGCAATTTCCCAGAAAGCGAGTATTATGGGGGTGCTTCTTAAAAGATATCTTTGTAAGACATCAATTTTGCTGGCATTAATACATTCCAAACCACTGGCAATTCTCTGCCATCTATTTAAGTACCACCCAGATCTAGCCAGGATGGAAGTATAGAGACACTCTCTCTCGTGCTCTCTCTCGTGCTCTCTCTCTCTCTCTCTCTCTCTCTCTCACACACACACACACACAAACCACAAGCTGCTTTTGGTTTTCAATGTGTATTACAATAATCTTATTTATAGTCTGAATTGTTCCAGATATTCTGAAGGCTCCTGCACCACTGAAGAGTCATACCATGCTGCTCAGCAGGAGATATTCCTGTGGCTTTTCACTCACCTTGCTTGCTGCCCATTTCCTCTCCTCAAATGCCTGTGGATATGAGCCAATGAGTGAGTATGAATATGAAATTAGAGTTTCAGAAACCAACAAAAGTCCTTTCCTAAAAACACAGGGAGCTGCTTTTTACAAGGTCAGACTAGCATTTTCTCAGGTTCTCTTGCAATAGAAATCAACCCCAAAGAAGCTGGTTGTTTTACTCTCCCTTTGCATGTGGGTTTTTGCAAACTGCCCTGTGATCCTTGGATGAAGGCCGGTATAGAAATTTAAATAATAATAATTGCCTTCGGTCTTGCAACAGAGATGGACAAATCTGTCATTTTTGGTTTCTCGGTTTCTCCTTATTCCAATCTTCAGTTCTCTCGTTCCAGATCAGTGTGCAATTTTGTTAAGTCCTCATGAAAATTCATCAGGTTTTGTGTTTGTATAGAAATATACACATTTCCCCCGATATACAGATTTTTGCAAGACCATTTAGCCAAAGGTAGTGCATTTTTGTACGCTATATTGGGGAATATGTGCAACTTTATTCCAACTATACTCTTTTGTACACACTGCTTGACTAGAGAGCTGCCTTGCAAATTTTAGAGAAGTGAGGTTTTTGAAGGAAGGTTGTTTTCCATTCTCATATTGTTTTAGGAAATGTGAATGAGGTTGATTCGCCTTTCAATGTCAACTGAGTCAAATTTCTTCCCCATCCCTGTCTAGCAATACTCTGAATTCTAACTGAAAGTAGTTCTCCAGGTTGTCAGGTGGCAGTGGAGCAGAGAGTCTCTCCCATCTCTTGCTACCTGTTTCTTTTGAGATCTCAGAGAGGGAACCTGGGTGTCTACTGCATTTAACACAGATGATCTACAACTAAGCTTCTTGAGAATTCTAGATAAAAACATGACGACCCTTGGTGCAATCATGTCCCAGGGACAGCTGTGTTACCACATCTAGGCTTTGGAGCACCACGCACACAACAAGGAGATTTATTTGGCTACCCTCTAAGGCTGTGCTGAATTTTTCTCCCATTTTGTGTACACCGGAGTCTTCCTTCGGCGATCATGCTTGCAGGAAAGCCCTACCGATGGGCTTGTGTTTTTGAGGAAGTATAGAGCAGAAAGGCCACAAAGAGATGCTTGTACAGCGGAAGGGGACAGCCACGCAAGCATAACCTGCAGCCACCTCATAAGGAAAGCAGCTCTGCTAAAATGGAAGTATACAGCGGTACCTCATGTTACATACGCTTCAAGTTACAGACTCCGCTAACCCAGAAATAGTACCTCAGGTTAAGAACTTTGCTTCAGGATGAGAATGGAAATCATGTGCCGGTGGCGCGGCGGCAGCAGAAGGCCCCATTAGCTAAAGTGGTACCTCAGTTTCAGGTTAAGAACAGACCTCCAGAATGAATTAACCCAAGGTACCACTGTAAAGATGGGATGCAGGTGGCGCTGTGGGTTAAACCAGAGCCTAGGACTTGCTGATCAGAAAGTCGGCAGTTCGAATCCCTGTGACGGGGTGAGCTCCCGTTGCTCGGTCCCTGCTCCTGCCAACCTAGCAGTTTGAAAGCACGTCAAAGTGCAAGTAGATAAATAGGTACCGCTCTGGTGGGAAGGTAAATGACATTTCCATGCACTGCTCTGGTTCGCCAGAAGTGGCTTAGTCATGCTGACCACATGACCCAGAAGCTGTACGCCAGCTCCCTCAGCCAATAAAGCGAGATGAGCGCCAGAACCCCAGAGTCGGTCACAACTAGACCTAATGTTCAGGGGTCCCTTTACCTTTACCACCGTAAAATTATTTTTTGAAATAGGAAGAGCGTTACTAAATCAGGCCCAAGGGCCATCCTGCTCTGTTAGTGGGCAACCAGTTGCCTCGCAGAATGTGAGCGCAACAGCATTCTGCCCACTTGGAGTTAGCCATATCGGAATTGTAATACTGTTCCCAGGATTTGGGGCAGGGCAGGGCTGGGGGGAGGCAGTGCTTGTCAGCCTTCTTTGTGGTCCAGATCTCACTTCCATACATCACTACTGGGAAAAATACCTGGGCACACTAGCTCAAACTGGAAGGAATATATGATACTGCTGGAGATAATATTTGAAACTAAACTTCTTTCTGGTTCCATCCCTGACAGGTGGTGAGAATTGCCTTAATCGTACTTCAAAATCTGTGCAAAAAGGGGAGACAATAACAGTGAAATTTGCTAATGATTCAGTTCCTTCAGAACCTTATTTCGACACCTGCATTTGGAACAACACAGATTCCAGATGGTACATTTTGTGCCAGTTTAGTGATGGAGTCTGCAAGCCATACCATAAGGACTTCAAAGAGAATGTTTCTGTGACAGCGGGAACTTTTCATATATACAACGTAAGCAAAGATGCTGGCAGGATCTATAAGCTTCTCACCATTTCTGGAAAATGTGTGGCCTGGATCAATGTCACCGTGTCAGGTAAGTTTTTACGTGCCACACCTTTGCTATAAGAGGATGTGGAGTCTGTGTAGACTCCGCGGTGCTATAATTGTTAAAAAACAGCTGGAAGTCAAAAGCACTTGCTCATTTGTTGTAGATCCACAATCGTTATATGGGGCAGGTGGGGCTGGATTAACCATTAAGCAAAATAAGCAACGCTAAGGGGGGAAAGGGAAGGGGACACCACATAAATTTTCCATTGCCGGATTTACCATGGACCATATGGTACAGCTGAACCAGGTTTGACCAAAAAAAGTCTCCCACAATAAATGAAAAAGGAGACGAAGACGAAGAAAAAGAAGAAGAAGAAAAAGAAGAAATACTAGAGATTAATGTTTTACATTTTTACAGTTTATTGTTATTTATATTTTGAATTAGATATCTACTATAGGGGCACCAAAAACTTTTAAGTACAGTGGTACCTCGGGTTACATATGCTTCAGGTTACAGACGCTTCAGGTTACAGACTCCGCTAACCCAGAAATAGTACCTCGGGTTAAGAACTTTGCTTCAGGGTGAGAACAGAAATCGTGCAGCGGCAGCAGGAGGCCCCATTAGCTAAAGTGGTGCTTCAGGTTAAGAACAGTTTCAGGTTAAGAACGGACCTCAGGAACGAATTAAGTTCTTAACCCAAGGTACCACTCACTGTACAGCTGAACCAGGTTTGACCAAAAATAGGCTCCCACAATAAATGAAAAAGAAGACAAGGATGAAGACGAAGAAATAGGGATTAATGTTTAACATTTTTACAATTTATTTTTATTTATATTTTGAATTAGATATCTATAGGGGCACCAAAAACTTTTAATTAGTCTTAATTCGGCCCTTGTCAACCTGGGAAAAGAGCCCATCTAGGAGAAGGAAAGTTCTGATCCTAAACCTCCACTGCCTCGTGGGATATCTTTGTGAGAAGGCAAGGCAAAGGACTAAACCCTACACAAATCCGCAGTGGGGTCCTTAAGATGGCTGGATGGCTCCTTGTACGCTTCCTTCCGGCAACTCCTGCAGCCAAGCAGGTGCCAAACATATCGCTCTGCTTTCCTTTGGGTCACATCAGGGATGTTGAGAGGGGAGTCTTGTCGTCTGAGCAGTTCAGGACCTCCAGACACGCTGCCCAGGCTTGCATCCCTGATGGGGAGGTCACTATGGTGTTGCAAATGCAGCCGTTTGACTTCACCCTCAGAGGCGCACTCCATTGTCTCTTGAGTCAGACAGAGGCCAACAATACAAGCACATCTCTAGCCGAAAGAGGGCACTGATCCATGGCCCTTAGCTAGGGCTCTGTGTCTTATGTTCTTCTTATACAGTGGTACCTCGCGTTAAGGACTTAATTCATTCCGGAATTAACACAATTTACACGGAATTTACACAATGGGCTGCACGTGATTGGCTAATTCTGGGGTTCTCCTGTAGGCCAATCAGGTTGTGGATTCACTTCCATCTGGAGCTGGATTGGGTGGCTCCTGCGGACCAATCATACTGCTGCATTGTTCTCGGTCCAATCAGACTGCTGCATTTTGGATCCTATTCAACTCAGTACATAACAGCCATCCTCCTTATGTATGGATGCTGCTTTTGGTTAATATGGATCCACACCCAGATAGTGAGTTCACTATTAATATATGTAGGAGAAGTAACCTACTGAACCCTACTTTTCTTTTTCTTCCCCTGCAGGTGGTGTGTCCTGGACGTACTCCCACATTGTCATTACAGTGTTAGCAATCTTATTATTATTATTTTAAATGTTGTTGTTGAATTTTTCTTGTCTTATCTTACTTTTTAATAAAATTTGCAAAATGTTGACACTCTGTTTTCATTGGGGGCTTTTTGTAGATTTATTTTATTTTATTTTATTTTATTTTATTTTATTTTATTTTGCAGTGCCAGACATCATCATCATCATCATTTATTATTTCTACCCCGCCCATCTGGCTGGGTTTCCCCAGCCACTCTGGGTGGCTCCCAACAGAATATTAAAAACACGATAAAAAAATCAAACATTAAAAACTTCCCTAAACAGGGCTGCCTTCAGATGTCTTCTAAAAGTCAGATAGTTGTTTATTTCCTTGACATCTGATGGGAGGGCATTCCACAGGGCAGGTGCCACAACCGAGAAGGCCCTCTGCCTGGTTGATTACTCTGTCGATTTAGAGTAGCTTGTGCTAGTGCACATTTGGAAAAAAGGCTTTGTGAAAAATAAAAAGCCTTCATGAGGTGCAGAGCTCAAAGCTATGTGAGCATCTTGCTCCATTGCAAGCAACACCGCCACCGGCTGCTCCTGTGTTAGGCATTTTGGGTTGCCTATGAATGCATAAGAAGATGGCTCTTTCCTTCAAAGGTAGGTTTCCTTAGACATTTTCGATCTAACATATACAGTAACCACAGAAATGCATGCAGTTGAGAAAAGAAGATCTCATGGCCAACAAGGCATCAAAACTGAAGAAGTTACTTGGATCTTGGGGTGTATGGGGTGTTAGAGGAGGGGTCATACTTCTGGTGAGGGACACCTTGGGCTCCTTCTGAGGTGATTTGTCCACCTTTGATCCCCACCCTCCACCCAGCTCTCTAAAAGAGAGGTGGGTGGTGCTGTGGTCTAAACCACTGAGCCTCTTGGGCTTGCCAATCAGAAGTTTGGTGGTTCAAATCCCCGCGACAGGGTGAGTTCCTGTTGCTCTGTCCCAGCTCCTGCCAGCCTAGCAGGTTGAAAGCATACCAGCACAAGTAGATAAATAGGTACCGTCGCAGCGGGAAGGTAAACGGCATTTCCATGCGCTCTGGTTTCCGTCAAGCTGTTATGTTGCACCAGAAGCGGTTTAGTCATGCTGGTCACATGACCCAGAAAGCTGTCTGCGGACAAACACCAGCTCCCTTGCCGTGATGAGCGCCACAACCCCACAGTCCCCTTTGACTGGACTTTACCGTCCAGGGGTCCTTTTTTGTTTTACTCAGCTCTCTCCTTCCAGCAACTCCTGCAACCAAGCTGGTGCCAAATGTCTTGCTCTGCTTTCCTTTGGACCACATCAGTGAGGCTAAGAGTGGGGGTCTTGTCATCTAGGCAGCCCAGAACCTCCATACAGACACTGCCCAGGCTTGCACAGCATGGAAGGTTTCTCTGGTGCTGCTCATGCAGCCGTTTGACTTCACCCCTGGAGGCATGCTCCATTGTCTCTCGAGACAGACAGGTGCCAGCAACACGGTTCTCAACAGTGTAGTAAACTGTGGCTGAAAAATCACATTCCTGGTTTATACCAAGCTCAAGCAAGCCGCAGGCCTTGGTACAGAAGTACTGTATAACATTCCTGGTTGCAACAATACTGCACAGATCAAACTTTTCCCATCTGGCTGCTAAACAGCAGAGGCAACTGACAATCTAACATCTTTCTCTCTGCTTGATGGCTTTTTGGAACAGCTGGTGGGTCCGCAGCTCTGTGCATATCAGGGATGATGGGAGTTCCAGTCCAACAACATCTGTGGGGCATCAAGTTGGGGAAGGCTGCTTTAACGTTGCTGGCTGTTGGGCAAACATCTCCTAAGGACATTTCCTGATGACGAGACTGTCGGAACTTGCGTTCGACCGAGCTACTCCTCCAGTCAAGTCCTCCGACGGTGGTTCATGACCTGAGCCTTTGATGAGGCTCCAGGCACGTTCCCCCATTACGCAGAGTAATAATAATAATAATTTATTATTTATACCCTGCCCATCTGGCTGGGTTTCCCCAGCCACTCTGGGCGGCTTCCAACTGAATATTAAAAACAATACAGCATTAGACATTAAAAACTTCCCTAAAGAGGGCTGCCTTCAGTTGTCTTTTAAAAGTAAAATAGTTGTTTATTGCCTTGACATCTGGTGGGAGGGCGTTCCACAGGGCAGGTGCCACTACCGAGAAGGCCCTCTGCCTGGTTCCCTGTAACCTTACTTCTCGCAATGAGGGAACCGCCAGAAGGCCCTCAGCACTGGATCTCAGTGTCCGGGCTGAACGATGGGGGTGGAGACGCTGCTTCAGGTATACAGGACCGAGGCCGTTTAGGGCTCTAGTATCCAAGCAGCAGAAGGACGAGAAATATGAGCTACATTGCTAAGAGTTTTATTTCTAATTACGCAGACAGAAAAGAATATACATCCTCTCTCTGTGAAAGCAGAGAGGCAACTGGTACAAAGAAACAGGGAACCAGTAATATCAACACCCATCTCCCGTGAGACTTCCAACAGTCTGGAATCTCTGGAATGTAAACAGAGTCTTGTGACTCCAAGCACTGCACCAGTGGCACAAACAGAAACCTAACAGAGACACCTGCAGGCTGATTCTATAAATCTTTACCCAGAAATACGACACCCCGTTTTGTATTTGTACTTCTATTATTTCAGTAGCACCTGCTCATCTGAGTATAAGATCGCAGCCTTAGCCTCTCATATATAAATCCAACTATAATCACATAAGTGCTTCAGTAGATGAAAAGGCAACAGAAATCTCATATTGTAAAGAAGGACTGAAGATGATCAGTGAACAATGGAATAATATGGCTCTCTTAGATTATCTGAACTTGGCATCTGCAGAAGCAGGGAGATGTTGCCTGGCGTAGAAGGAAAGGGGCACTCCATCCTCTCTCGATACAGTTTGGCTCCACTTCCATCCCTAGTTGCTGAGGGTCTCTCGCTGAAGGACGTGAAGGAAACATGCTGTGGAAAGAAAGAGAAGTTTCTGACTTGGCTGGCCACTAGATGGTTTGAAGGCACGCTCTTGGAGCACTGCCTTGTGTTTGCGCATGTGTGGTTAGGTAGGCATATACAGTGGTACCTCGGGTTACATACGCTTCAGGTTACAGACTCCGCTAACCGAGAAATAGTGCTTCAGGTTAAGAACTTTGCTGTAGGATGAGAACAGAAATCGTGCTCTGGTGGCACGGCAGCAGCAGGAGGCCCCATTAGCTAAAGTGGTGCTTTAGGTTAAGAACAGTTTCAGGTTAAGTATGGACCTCCGGAACGAATTAAGTACTTAACCTGAGGTACCACTATATTCACATTTATTTAATTCAAAGCTGTAAGTTTGACGGGAGGTTGGCAAGATAGCTCTGAAAGAATCTATTTGGAATTAGCAGTGCTCATAACCAGTTGTCTGTGTGGATCTGCTGCGTAGCTAATTAAGCACGGCCTGGAAGCCTAATAACACCTGCTCATTGTACATTTTCATATACAGTGGTACCTCGGGTTACAGGCACTTCAGGTTACAGATGCTTGAGGTTACAGGCTCTGCTAACCCAGAAATAATACCTCAGGTTAAGAACTTTACCTCAGGATGAGAACGGAAATTGCGCGGCGGCAGCAGGAGGCCCCATTAGCTAAAGTGGTACCTCAGGTTAAGAACAGTTTCAGGTTAAGAACGGACCTCCAGAATGAATTAAGTTCTTAACCTGAGGTACCACTGTAAGTCTTTTTAACACTACAGACCATGGATGCTTCCAGAATTTTCTGTCCCCTCAGAAACAGTTTCTAAAGATTGCCTTAAACTTCCCACTGCAAGTGGGGGATACTGTACCATATTTTTCTCTCTATAAGACGCACCAGACCACAAGACGCACCTAGTTTTTGGAGGACGAAAACAAGAAAAATAATATTCTGAATCTCAGAAGCCAGAACAGCAAGAAGGATCGCTGCGCAGTGAAAGCAGCAATCCCTCTTGCTGTTCTGGCTTCTGGGATAGCTGCGCAGCCTGCATTCGCTCCATAAGACGCACACACATTTCCCCTTACTTTTTAGGAGGGAAAAAGTGAGTCTTATAGAGCAAAAAATACTGTAGTTCAGTCGGTAGAGCATGAGATTCTTAATCTTAAGGCTGTGGGTTTGAGCCCCACGTTGGGCAAAAGATGCCTGCATTGCAGTGGAACGCAGGTGGCGCTGTGGTCTAAACCACTGAGCCTCTTGGGCTTGCCGATCAGAAGGTCGGCAGTTTGAATCCCTAGTGACAGGGTAAGCTTCCATCGCTCTGTCCCAGCTTCTGCCAGCCTAGCGGTTCGAAAGCATGCCAGCGCAAGTAGATAAATAGGTATCGCTGCAGTGGGAAGGTAAACGGCATTTCCATGCGGTCTGGTTTCCATCACGGTGTCCCATCACGCCAGGTTTAGTCTAAGGTTACCAGATTTTTTTTCAAAGAATCTGGGGACACTTTTATATATATATGAGATAAATAGTTTGTTTTTAAGTTATTTTTTTTTTATTTGAGAAGTAATATCCTCTCTTTTGTGGTCTCCTCTGTCACGTGGCCTTCCTCTGGGCCCCAACCTACTCTCTTGGAGTGCTAGCCACGGTGGAGTAGGCTCAGGTCAGGCCTGGGCTCGGCCACATGTCCTTGCCCTCCCGGTACTCTCCTACCTCTCATCCTCAGTGACGCAGCAAGGTTTGCCCTCTTTTTTCTCCTTCCTCTTTCTCTCTCTTCCTTCTCCTTCTCCTCTCCTTCTTCTCCCTGCGTCGGCTCCAGGGGTTTTACTGGCCCTGGAGTGCCACTGAGCAGTCGGCCGGTGACCGGGTGCTCTCGCTCCTGGCTCGATTTGGGTCGTGAGGGCGGTCAGCAGTTCCCCCAGTTGACGTGCTGGGCATCCCTGGTTCCCCTCTGCAATGGTGGCAGCAGCGGCAGTCTCAGCAGCCCGGAGCCAGCCTGGTAGCACAGTTGGCTTTGGCTGGCTTCAGGAACTGCTCGCTGCCATAGCATCCGCCATTTTGCCTAGCCAGAAGTCCCCATATGATGTGCCTTGTGCCGTTGAACCAATCACACATTATTCATTCCCTACTAATAAATCTACAACACATAAAATATAAATTGTATATCCGGGGACTGTCCCCGGAAACGGGGACGTCTGGTAACCATAGCTTAGTTTTGCTGGCCACATGACCCAGAAAGCTATCTGTGGACAAACGCCAGCTCCCTCGGCCTGAAAGTGAGATGAGCGCCACAATGCCATAGTCGCCCTTGACTGGACTTAACCATCCAGGGGTCCCTTACCTTTTTGTTACCTGTGGTCCCTTCCAAATCTATGATTCTGTGAAACAGTATATGAATGCCTAGGGTAGAAACGCAGGGGAAAGACACTTACCTCTGCTATGATCAGGCCAAGGAGACAGACAATCAAGGCCGCTAAGCTCAAATGAATGATGTTGGAGACCGTAGAGTCACTGTCACTTGCTGCCTTTGTGAAAGAGACAGAAGCGCCCACGTTCACTGCAGAAGAGAGACAGACACCGTTCTTCTCTAATGTTTTGCTTAGAGCTCAGTGTGGGATGTGAAACACAAGAGCAGTCAAGTACAACATTCCTAGAGTGAACATGTTTACACACAGAGATGACTGTTTGTGCAGCCACCAGGTAAACTTCCTGTTTCATTCTGGGCTGGGGCAGACTTCCTCTGCATGTGACTAGAGGTGGGCGTGGCCTCACCTGTGCAGGTAACGACAAAAGCACAAGGCAGGGCAGCCATCTCTCTCTCTTTGACTACATGCATCGAAGAAGCAACATCTGTTTAGCCAAAGATGCTCTCTTGGCCTCCAGCCAAGAGAGGACAAAGGAACTGTCTCCTTATGAAATAGTTTCCAGGTGTATGTTACTTTTCTAAGCTAAGTCTGCCTTCTGGGATCTGATTGTGAACATAGAGTGAGTAAACTCTTTTTTATACTTTTATAGAAGACTGTGTCGTGTCTTATCTTTTATGAGGGGATAAGGGGAAAATACCAGAACAGTTATTATGGAGGCTTTAGTGAGCCTGAGCTAACGCATCTGCTGCAAGTTTAAAAAGGGGAATGGTCAATATGGAGGTCAAATGGCCGAAATATTGGGAAATTTTGGAACAAGATGGAGATAGACTGAAATTGCAGAGTTTTGAAAAACTAAAAAACAAAGTGCGAGACTGGCTTCATTATTTTCAGATAATGGAGGCATTTAAATTGGACAAGAAAATTGGCTTCCAGGTGGAAAGATCAAAATTAGAAACTGAACTGTTAGAACCCAAAACTAAGAATTTGTCAAGAATGTATAACTTGCTGCTGAAATGGAACACTCAGGATGAAACGGTAAAATCGGCTATGATTAAATGGGCACAAGACGTTGGACATAACATTATGTTTGCTGACTGGGAACAGTTGTGGACCACAGGTATGAAATTTACGGCATGTAATGCCTTAAGAGAGAATATTATGAAAATGATATACAGGTGGTACATAACCCCAGTCAAGCTTGCAAAAATCTATCATTTGCCCGATAATAAATGTTGGAAATGTAAAGAAACTGAAGGTACATTTTTTCACCTTTGGTGGACGTGCCCAAAGATTAAGGCTTTCTGGGAAATGATATATAATGAATTAAAAGGTATTCAAATATACCTTCCCCAAGAAACCAGAGGCCTTTCTCCTGGGCATAGTCGGCCAAATGGTGCTAAAAAGGATAGAACTTTCTTTATGTATGCAACAACAGCAGCAAGAATACTCATCGCAAAGTATTGGAAGACACAAGAACTTCCCACGCTGGAGGAATGGCAGATGAAACTGATGGACTATATGGAACTGGCGGAAATGACTGGCAGAATCCGTGACCAGGGAGAAGAGTCGGTGGAGGAAGATTGGAAGAAATTCAAAGATTATCTACAGAAACACTGCAAAATTAAAGAATGTTAGAGTGATGTTGGATTGAAAATAAGTGGTTTCCAGCTGTACAGGATAAAGTTATAGATAGACTAAGATTAAAGATTAGGATTAAAGAAATTTAATGAAATGGAAATTTGGTACTTAAGAGTAAAATTTTAATGCTATATTACATTGAGATTAAAGATTGGGATTAAAAAAGTGGAAAAGAAATTGCTGGACAAACAATTTGGACTGGAATACAAAAGAGGGAGGTATGAGGAAGTCCAGAAAATAAGTAAATTTAAAAACGGAAATGAAAAGGTGATATTGTTTTTAATTGTTCTGTTCCTTTTTTTTTGTTTTCTGCTCTCTGTGTTTTTCTTCTTTTTTTGGATTATGTACTGTGTATTTGTGTATTTCTTTTTTTATGTTTTTCTGTTTAACTTTTTACTGAAACCTTAATAAAAATCATTTAAAAAAAGGGGGGGGAATGTTACTCTGCTAAATTATGAACTTGCTTACACAAGTTGGAAAGGCTATAATCAAACAATATATCCTCTCCTGCAGCCCTGAACATTACTCAGATGCATGGGAATAGTAATCAAAGGAAGTGTGGGAACATTTTGAGATGCAAGTTCTCAAAACGTGGGGTGGAAACAAAGATACCTGCCCAACAGTGCTTGGATGAAGATCCTGGGAACCTTGGAATGATCCCTTCCAGAAGTGCTCTCTCCAAGAATCTGAGTGGAAACCCCTCACATTGCAGCTAGATGGCAGTTGCTTGGTCCTGGTCTCCCTGCCACTGCTTAGAAGAGCAAGCGAGTTCTTATTTCGCCAAGCATGCCAGTGGGAACAACAAGAGGAAAAGGAAGCAATCCTGAGTTGCTTCCACACACTACTCTCTCTGGAACAAGCAGCAGTCATTTCCTCAGCTACGGCAGAGAGTCCAAGCGGCAGTGCTATCGCTGAGTTTTCTGCACTGCGCTCCCATCTTTTTAAAGACCTGCACTTTCAGGGTTTTAAATTGTGTGGGGAGACTCCGTGGGTACAAAGGAGGGTCTCCACTGTGGACTTTTGCCCTCCAAAAACCAAATAGAGCTGTAACGGTCAGCCAATCGCTGTTGTGCTTTGAGAAGAGCAGTAGTAGCTTGCTGGCAGACACAAGAGCTAAACCAATTTGCACTGTGCAAAAGCAACTGCTTCTCAAACCAAGATGCACCATTAGCCATCTGTAGTCCTTACTCAGAGTAGACCCATTCAAACTAATGGACTGAAGTAAGTTAGTTATGTTCATTCATTCCAATGAGACCACCCCGAGTAGGATATGATGCACAGAGGATGTTTCCAGATGATCTGTTTATTGAGCCTTCATTCTGATTTGTTTGTGGGGACGGGAGGTAGGAAACATCACATTAAGCAAGTACTATGCGTGATGTATGGAAGTGAGAGCTGGACCATAAAGAAGGCTGATCGCCGAAGAATTGATGCTTTTGAATTATGGTGCTGGAGGAGACTCTTGAGAGTCCCATGGATTGCAAGAAGAGCAAACCTCTCCATTCTTAAGGAAATCAGCCCTGAGTGCTCACTGGAAGGACAGATCCTGAAGCTGAGAAGAGAAGACTCCCTGGAAAAGACCCTGATGTTGGGAAAGATGGAGGGCACAAGGAGAAGGGGACAACAGAGGACAAGATGGTTGGACAGTGTTCTCGAAGCTACCAGCATGAGTTTGACCAAACTGCGGGAGGCAGTGGAAGACAGGAGTGCCTGGCGTGCTCTGGTCCATGGGGTCACGAAGAGTCGGACACGACTAAACGACTAAACAACAACAAATGCACAGCACACTTTCCAGGGCGTTTCGCTCTTACTTATTACAAAATGTTTGGTTTTGGGGTGGAGGAGGACCAGCCCCCAGCTAAAGGGAACTTACTTGGGGGAGATGCCAGAACTGGCCTGTTAGACGAACTCTCAGCCTGATCGGTTGACGTGTTCATCCCTGGGTGAGCAGAAAAGAAAGAAGGAAAAGTTGAAGAGAGCCTAAGTCTAGCGTGCATCATGGACACACAAGCTTTCTCTTAGGGAGGAAAATCAATGCCTGCACACTCCCTCTGCCAGCATCGCCTTTTTTTCCTTCCTGATTTCCCTTTCCCCATCCATTCTCCGTCCCCTAGAACTTACCTGTCGCTCCTGTACTTTTGCTGATATGCATTCCACTTCTCTCCTCTTCTAGAAATCGTACACCCTTGTATTTGGTATTGTTTGTTTCTGCTAAAACGACAAGAAAGGGGCTTTACATTTTCTTTTTATGCCCAAAGGCTTTTGCTTTCTCCGGAAAGGAGAGAAGCAGGCTTTGACTCAACTGTCTGCTATATAAACTCTTTTATCAGGGATGGGGAGCTTATGGGAGTCATTTTGGACTCACAGCTGTCCATGGAGGCACAGGTTAATTCTGTGTCCAGGGCAGCTGTTTACCAGCTCCATGTGGTACACAGGCTGAGACCCTACCTGCCCGCAGACTGTCTAACCAGAGTGGTGCATGCTCTGGTTATCTCCCGCTTGGACTACTGCAATGCGCTCTATGCGCACCTTTGAAGGTGACTCGGAAACTGCAATTAATCCAGAAAGCGGCAGCTAGACTGGTGACATGAAGTGGCTGCCGAGACCATATAACACCAGTCCTGAAAGATCTTCATTGCCTCCCAGTATGTTTCCGAGCACAATTCAAAGTGTTGGTGCTGACCTAAAGGTGCACTCCTTCGTTATCTACTGAGGTGGACGGATGCCAGCAACAAACAGCGGCAAGACCATTAATTTGCATGCCCTGCTTTCCTCCTATCATGCGTAGCTGGCATGGGGTTGGGGGGGGGTTGTTCCAGTCAGATTACAGCAGAAGCAGAAAGTTTAAAAAAACACCCTCCTCCTTTCATTCTAGGGACGCAGGTGGCACTGTGGGTTAAACCACAGAGCCTAGGACTTTGCTGATCAGAAGGTCAGCGGTTCGAATCCCTGTGATGCGGTGAGCTCCCGTTGCTCTGTCCCTGCTCCTGCCAACCTAGCAGTTCGAAAGCACGTCAAGGTGCAAGTAGATAAATAGGTACTGCTCCGGTGGGAAGGTAAACGGCATTTCTGTGCGCTGCTCTGGTTTGCCAGAAGTGGCTTAGTCATGCTGGCCACATGACCCAGAAGCTGTGCACCGGCTCCCTTGGCCAGTAAAGCGAGATGAGCGCCGCAACCCCAGAGTCGTCCGCGACTGGAGCTAACGGTCAGGGGTCCCTTTACCTTTACCTTTCATTCTGCTCAGCTCTGCCCCACCCCTGCCTGTTATTTGTTTTGCAAAATTCACCCCAAATCCCAAAGTGCAGGATGAGTGTCACATCTACTTGGGTCTCAAAAGGATCTATACGGTACCTGTATGTTTTCCTCCGTAGGAAAAACAGCAGCTCTAGGGAGGGGTTGATTTTAATCAGGAAACTATTGTATTGTGGGGTGTGGGGTGTGTGGAAGAGTTGGAGTTAAGGTTAGACCACATAGTTTTGTGGTTCCGATTTGACACTGGAGGCCTCCCGGCTGCTTTTAACTTATTAAAAACCACAGATCTTAATCAAGTTATCTCCAGCATTACATCTATAATGGCTGTTATTTTAATAACAAGAAATGACAGACAACCAAACCACAATGTGAGAAAGTGAGTAGGTCGGGTGAAGCATGGTCCCTCGGTCTGCTCCAGGCATGTTATAAAGACGTATCATTTTGCCCAGGATTTCCCTGAGCCTATCAATAAAAACATAATCATTAAACAATATCTTATAAACAGAATAATAATAATATTATAATTAAATTGTTTATTGAAAACAATAGGGTCACACTAGGGTGCAGACCGAACCTAACCCTCTTACCCTTGGTCACTGTTAGGCTGATGTTAGCCGACAGCATCACGTCGAATGCCAGCAAGGTGATGCAGTAAATCCCAGAATCCTCCGCTCTTGCATCCTTGAGTAACAGAGAAGCATCCTCAGAGGACAATTCTGCACGATGTCTGTATTTGTCTGTTTTCCTAATGCTGAATTTGCAATAGTCCTTCCAGGACCGGGTACTATTCCCTGCCAAGCAGTTATCCGCCATGAGAATCAGCACCACCTGACGGCCCGTGACAAAACGCCATCGCACCTGGAAGTAGCCCGGCACCGAAGTCAGAAAAGTCAACGAGGCAGAGAGCAAGGCTGTATTACCTTCCGAGATGGAAATCAGAGGTTCAGGCACCGTCAACAAAAGGGCTGCAGCAGGGCCTGGGCAGAAGGGAGAACAGGGAAGCGGGTTTAAGCGGGCAGAAGCAGGCACTGACTTCTTGGGCTAGGACAACGCAAGGTGCTTTCCCCCAAGCTCTTGGGAAATATACTGTCAACCAATGAGATTTCTCTAGCGGGAGGAAGAGCAACACTGGTGTAATGAAAGTGATATGTGTTTTTGTGTTTGTGGATTTAGAGAAGTTGAACGTCAAGGCCAGTATACAACGTTTAGCAGCGTCAATGGAATATATATGTGTTGATGATAGATAGATAGATAGATAGATAGATAGATAGATAGATAGAAGGTAGGTTGGTAGGTAGGTAGATAAATAGATAGGTAGGTAGATATAGATAGATGGTAGGTAGGTAGGTAGGTAGGTAGGTAGGTAGGTAGGTAGACAAATGATAGGTAGATGATAGATTGATAGATGATAGATAGATGATAGATAGTTTATAGACAGATAGATAGATGATAGATAGATAGATGATAGATAGATAGATGATAGATAGATTAGATAGATAGATAGATAGATAGATAGATAGATGATAGATAGATAGATGATAAATAGATGATAGATGATAGATGATAGATAGATAGATAGATAGATAGATAGATATAGATAGATAGATAGATAGATATAGATAGATAGATAGATAGATAGATAGATAGATAGATAGATATAGATTATAGACAGATAGATGATAGATAGATATATGATAGGTAGGTAGAAAGATAGGTAGATGATAGATAGAGAGATGAGAGATGATAGATAGATATAGATAGATATAGATAGATGATAGATGATAGATAGATAGATAGATAGATAGATAGATAGATAGATAGATAGATAGATGATAGATAGATGATAGATAGATAGATAACATCTCCCTACCCCAAAGGTCTTACACTCAGAATATTGACTGTAAGAGGAAGGAAGAGAGGTGAATGGCAAGGATTATAAGTTGCATTTCTATGTAGAAAAGAAAATATGAATAAATAAACTCAGTGTTTCAGGTGAGTTAGGAAAAGGAACCCTCTCCCTTCAATTTTTTAGGACAGCTTTTAGAAATTGTGTATGTGATGCAGTTCCTGAGAGCTCAGACATGCTGAGGTCTACAAGCCAAAGGCATCGTGACTTGTGCATTTATACCACCTACTTCCCCCCACCCACCCAAAGTGGGGTGCCTGTGAGAGTTGCCGGACTAGTTTGAAAAGGAAGGAAGCTGCACGTTATTGCATATTTCAAAAAGCACTGAGGTTTTTATTTTGCCAGGGTACTTTGCAAAATAAACATTGGTGCATGAAGCTGCATAAACACACACACACAAACAAACACAGAAAATCCCCTCTATGGATTATCTCCATGCAAGCAAAATTTCCTGCACAAAGAAACTGAACTGCATGTTCTTTGGTGGTAGACTGTCTATTGTGAGTGAAATGCACTGGGCGTGTGCTGCAATACCAATTGCAGAGCTGGAATAACAAAGAACCGAAAACAACACAACATCTGTCTGGCCCTTCTTTCTGTCAAGTTTTTCAAGGGCACCTGCATGTTGTATTTACAGGAGAAATTCAAGCGCACACCAGATTTTAGGCTAGCGCAGTCAAGGTGGGTTAAAGGGCTCCGTCACCCTTGTGCAGCAAATGATTTTTTCCCCCATTTATTTTAAAAAATAAATAAATAAATATCAGACTTTCTGCAGTTTGGCAAGTGAACCAGGAAATGCATGGAAAAGTGAGGGGTGAACAAACGGACGAAATAGGTGTAAACACCCAGCGATCAAACCAGAACAAATGCTCAATAAAGACCAGGCATAATTTAACCTCTGTGCAATTTTAATTCTGCAATTTAACCTTTGTGCAAGCAAATCAGGATGGATGCTGAATAAGCAGATTGTCTGGAAGAGCTGTAAGTGGGGGTTGCGTATTGAAAAGCAATCCCTGCAAACTCCCTTATCAGGATTCCCATCGGACAACCAAGCTGAGATGTGCCTGTCCAGCACATCTCAAGTGCATAGCTGTCAACTTTCCCCCCTTTTTAAGGGAAATTCCCTTATTCCAAATAGGTTTCCTCGCAAGAAAAGGGAAAAGTTGACAGCTATGCTCGTGTAATCCACCACCTTAAGTAATCTGCATCCTGAGAAAGCTTTGCAATTTGAGTTTTGTTGAATTCACAACCTCCCCCTCCCCCTACACCATTTGCCTAGGGTAGTAAAGGTACAGGGTCCCCTGACTGTTAGGTCCAGTCATGGCTGACTCTGGGGTTGTGGCGCTCATCTCGCTTTATTGGCCAAGGGAGCCGGCGTACAGCTTCCGGGTCATGTGGCCAGCATGACTAAGCCGCTTCTGGCGAACCAAAGCAGCGCACGGAAACGCCGTTTACCTTCCCGCTGGAGCAGTACCTGTTTATCTACTTGCACTTTGACGTGCTTTCGAACTGCTAGGTTGGCAGGAGTAGGGACCGAGCAATGGAAGCTCACCACGTCACGGGGATTCAAACCACTGACCTTCTGATCAGCAAGTCCTAGCCTCTGTGATTTAACCCACAGCACCACCCGCGTCGCTTAGCCTAGGGTAGTAGCATCTCCTAAAATAGACCCTTTTACTCACCTATCAGCATCCCAAACAGCCACAGCTTTGCCATTGCAACCAGGACACCTTCCTGCATTTACAGCCCCACAGTCTTCTGCTAAGTCAACGTCAGTGACCCTCTCTTCCCCCTATGTAGTCTGCTCAGGGCAAGACTGATGGGAGCCAGGAACTTCCTGCTAGTTCGCTGGTGAACCCAGTCATGCTCAGCAGTTTCTGCTTAAAAGTGAAATTTAAGGTCAAACTGCCATGAATGAACAAGTATGTAGCTTGTTATGTAAACAGAAACCACAGAGAGAGAAGTGAAGCTGCTGAAGAAAGTATATAGTATTCTGCTAGAATGGGAAACAAAAGATGAAGAGGTCAAATCAGTTATGATTAAATGGGCACAAGATATAGGACACAATATACGGTTTGAGGACTGGGAAAAACTGTGGAAGGTAGATCTGGAATTTACTGACTGTTCTCTGCTGAAAGAAAACTATAGGAAAATGATGTTTAGATGGTATATCACACCAGTACAAATAGAAAAAATGTATGAAACCGGGTCAAACATATGTTGCAAATGTAAATAAAAAGTAGGTACTTTCTATCATATGTTGTGAAATGTAGAGAAGTTAAAAAATTTTGGGAAATGATATATAATGAAGTGAAAAAAATGTTCAAAATGACGTTTGTATTAAAAAAAAAAACCCAGAAGCATTTTTGTTAGGGATTGTAGGATAAGACCTGCCAAGAAAAATAAAAAAAACTTATTTATGTATGCTACAACAGCGGCAAGAGTCTTGTTAGCACAAGGATGGAAGAATGAGGAAATTCGAACGAAAGAACAGTGGCAAGAAAAACTGATGAGCTATGCGGAACTGGCCAAGTTGACATATAAACACCAACAATTGGGAAACACTTGTCTGAGAGCGCTCCAATTGGAGAACAGCCTTTACCAAAGGTGTCATGGGCTTTGAAGACACTCAAACTCAGGACGCAAGGGAGAAACATGCTAAAAGGAAGACACGCTTGGCAAACCCTCACTGTGATCAACTCCCGCCCGGAAACCTAGGTCCCCATTGTGGAAGGACGTGTGGATCCAGAATTGATCTCCACAGTCACTTACGGACTCATTATTAAAACCGTGTTTATGGAAGACAATCTTACTTGGCTACGATTGGCTATGATTGCCAAAAGCAGCAGCAGAAGAAGACTCAAGACAGTGTGAGACAGTGGTTAGAGCAGAGGTTTGGGTAACTCCTCCCCCCACCCCACCCCTGCTTAGGCCTGAGGGCCATGTTAGCTGTTGGTCAACCCTGTGAGGGCCAAAGCAGAAGTGGGCATGGCTTCTCTTGCAGATAGAGAGATCCCCGTGCCCCACACAGAATACAGAACACATACAACACACATAGGCCTACCACCACTGCCCACCCACCCCTACATCATGTCAATCACCCCCTCCCCACTAGAGTGTTGGACTAGGACCGGGGAGGCAGTCCTGCCTCCTGAAGCTCAATGAGTGATGGAGGTTGGAGCTGAACAGCATATCCTCTCCAAACATTTATCCGATGAAAACAGGGACATTCTATTCAATAACAATTGAAGCTTTCAGGAAGCCGGTTGTCATCAATTTGGGGAGAGAAATGCCTGGGATTGCTTTTCAGAACTGGGATATCGCAGGGTTGGGAGAGCTGAGGCCCCCTCCAGCTACATACTGTTTCTCAAAAGTAATTTCAGGTATTTCTACAGATTGACAGGAGATTCAGGATTTGCTACGGGGCTATGCACCAGGGAACATGCCTATTGATCTGACAGAAGCACTGGCGGTAATTGAAACAGCTGAATGTGCATCCAAATAGAAAAATGTCCCAGGAAACGTAAGAGCATCAAATTAAAGAGATTGTAGGAAGTGGCAATTCCCCAGAGTAGCTCATGTTTGTTGCTATTGATAAAGGTTACAGCTAAGTGGAGAAATGCATGAATAAGGAATGCAGCTACCACACAGTTAAAACAGTTTATTCAAAGTGTGCACAATTTGGAGAGGGGGAGAGGAAGCCACACAAATTAATATTACTTTTCATAAGGGTGACTAATATTTTTTGGCATATATGAATGTAGATCCAGGTGTCAGACACAGGGGTGAAGCCAAACCGCTGTGTTATCAGCCCCGAAGCAAGCTCCCTGGGGCGCAAGCCTAGGCAGTATCTATGTAGGTCTTGGGCTGCCCAGATGACATACTTTCCCTCTCGCCTTCACTGATGTGGTCCAAAGGAAAGAAGAGCAAGTCCTTGCAGGTATATGTGAATTTTATTTATATTTATTGTTGTCGTTATTATTCAGCATTACCTGACATTTTCATGAGGTAAAATTAAAATTCCTTGGTTTTCCAAAAGCAGTTCGTATGCTTCTTCATCAAACTTACAAGGCTAAATGTTGTCCGATCACAAAAAAAATAGCAGATTTGAATTCCTCACAGCCAAAAATGTATTATTAAGACCGCTTGCAGAAGAAATTTGCAGAAATTAAGCTTTGCACCTTAAAATGACATGCCCTAAACTATGTAATGTTGATTCATTCTGACTCGTTTGAGGAGAAATTAGACGGTGTTGCCTCGCAGCGCGTGTTACCTCACTCTTTCCGGCACAGTTGCTTTATTGCCCAAAGTCTGATCTTCTGAGGAAGCGGGGTTTGTTTCTCCTTTTTTAAATAATTTTTTATAATGCTTTTTATTGGTGCTCCATTTAATACAAACAAACAAAATACAGTAAAATTCAACAATCATTTACTCACATTCTTTCCCCACACTGCTGAGCATTGACTTCCTTCCCTCCCTTCAACAGGTCTTCTTATGTCAGTTACTTTTCCAGAGTTTCTTATTGTATCCAATCCTATCTATATCATAAGATTTATTTCAGTCCTGCCAGAGTCTTCAGATTTCTACAGTTATTATTTATGTACTCCATAAATTTACTCCAATCTTTTTGGAATTTTGCTTCCTCCTGATTTCGGATTCTACAGGTCAGTTTTGCTAGTTCCACATAATCAACCATCTCCTCTATTGCTGGTAATTCTGGTACTTTCCATTTTGGGGCTAACAAAGTTCTGGCAGCAGTTGTAGCATACATAAATAACCTTTGAAGCGGGGTTTGTCTCTCGAGGGCTCCGGATCCGCAGCCTGAGTTTGGTGGTTCTGCGATGGCATCCCAACCATCTCTGGAAGCTCTCCAGCAACTCAGAGCTCCAGGTCCCACACAGATAGCGGGTGGCTGCCCTGGGTGCTGAGAAAAGGAAGCAGTTCCTCGTGGAAGGACACTTGGAAGGTGTAGAGGTGGTTCATGCTGCTGCTGTTATAGAACGAGAGCTGACCGCCTTCAAAGTCCAGGTAGACCCCCACTTTATCCATCCTCCCGCAGACCGAGAGCAGGGTCCGCGGCTCGCTCAGGGCTCGGTACTCTCCCGCCCGCAACTCGATGGCCCACACGCCTTCCTTGGGCCGGAAGTTCAGGCGCTTCTTGCGTTTCACCGACTTCTTGGCCGCCCCGATCACCCAGCCCGCGCTGTCCCCGACACGCACCTCCCAGTAGTACCGGCCCGTGGTGAAGCCCTTCCGGCCCACCACGCAAGGGCTAGAGGTGAAGCGCTCAGGTTTCCGTCGCCAGAAGCGTCGCCCCGGGCTGAACTTGACCCCGGTGGCTTCCTCCACAAGGACCAGGCTGGGGTGAGCGGAGTTGCAGTCCAAAGTGATGCATGCAGGGACTGGGGGAGAAAAGGACAAGAGTGCACAATTATTTCAATGTTTTTATTATACAGTGGTACCTCAGGTTACATACGCTTCAGGTTACAGACGCTTCAGGTTACAGACTCCGCTAACCCAGAAATAGTGCTTCAGGTTAAGAACTTTGCTTCGGGATGAGAACAGAAATCGTGCTCTGGTGGCGCGGCAGCAGCAAGAGGCCCCATTAGCTAAAGTGGTGCTTCAGGTTAAGAACAGTTTCAGGTTAAGTACGGACCTCCGGAACGAATTAAGTACTTAACCTGAGGTACCACTGTATAATTATTATAATTATAATTACAATAGTGATAGTGATAGTAACAGTAATTTATTTATATCCCCGCCCATCTGGCTGTGTTTCCCCAGCCACTCTGGGCGGCTCCCAACAGAATATTGAAAACACGATAAAACATCAAACATTAAAAACGTCCCTGATGTCGTTCAGATGTCTTCTAAAAGTCAGATAGGTTTTTATCTCCTTGACATCTGATGGGAGGGCATTCCACAGGGAGGGTGCCACTACTGAGAAGGCCCTCTGCCTGGTTCCCGGTAACCTCACATCTCACAGTGAGGGAACTGCCAGAAGGCCCTCAAAGCTGGACCTCAGTGTCTGGGCTGAATGATGGGGGTGGAGACGCTCCTTCAGTTATACTGAGCTGAGGCTCTTTAGGGCTTTTAAGGTCAGCACCAACACTTTGAATTGTGTTCAGAAATGTACTGGGAGCCAATGTAGGTCTTTCAGGACTGGTGTTATATGGTCTTGGTGGCCACTCCCTGTCACCAGTCTAACTGCCGCATTCTGGATTAGTTGTAGTTTCTGAGTCACCTTCAAAGGTAGCCCGACGTAGAGCGCATTGCAGTAGTCCAAGCGGGAGATAACCAGAGCATGCACCACTCTGGCGAGACAGTCCGCGGGCAGGTAGGGTCTCAGCCTGCGTACCAGATGGAGCTGATAAACATCTGCCCTGGACACAGAACTGACCTATATACCACCCTATACCCGTAGATCTCAGGGCGGTTTTGAAATTAAAAGAACAGGACATCTTCCGCATAGTTGGCCTGCGGAACTTATTGCCACAGAACAATTTGGAAGTCAGCAGTTCAAACGTGCTCTGAAAAGAATTAGAAGCAGAGTACAAGACTGAGGACTGCATGCCCAAACAGCAGGTCGCATTCATCTACAGTGGTGCCCCGCAAGACGAATGCCTCGCAAGACGGAAAACCCACTAGACGAAAGGGTTTTCCGTTTTGGAGGTGCTCATAAAGCAATTTCCTATGTGCTTGCTTCGCAAGACGAAAATGTCTTGCGAGTTCCTGCGGGTTTTTTTCCTTCCCACCCCCCTTTTCCCAAGCCGCTAAACCGCTTATCGGCTGATGGCTAAGCCGCTTATCAGCTGATCTTTAAGCCGCTTAACAGCTGATGCTAAGCCGCTTATCAGCTGATCTTTAAGCCGCTTAACAGCTGATGCTAAGCCGCTTATCAGTTGATCGTTAAGCCGCTTATCAGCTGATCTTTAAGCCGGCTAAGCCGCTAATACTGTAGCGCTAAGCCGCTAAACCTCTAATGGGCTTGCTTCGCAAGACGTAAAAACCCGCAAGACAAAGAGACTCGCGGAACGGATTCTTTTCGTCTTGCGAGGCACCACTGTATATCTGATGATGCCAATACTTTGTTATGATATCATAGTCTAGACTTAGTTCCAAAATATCTTGGGGGTTTTATTTGCTGGGTGGCAGGCGCAGTGATCTTATTCTAGAGCAAAAGACTAATCCTACCTGCAGAGTTAGCTCCACCATTATTAGGCACACAGGAAGCTGTACTATATACCGAGTCAAACCACTGGGTCCATCTAACTCAATATAGCCTACACGGACTAGTAGCAGCTCTTCAGGGTTTCAGACAAGGGGCATTTTCAGTCCTACCAGGAGAGGTGGGAGATAGAACTGGGGATTTTCCCAGATCCCCTACCAATGATTCGCCTAAACATTCCCTCTCCTTTGCTCTGCATTATGAAGTGTGTCCATGTATTCCAGCTTCCTGGGCTCATCAACTTTTTGACCATCATTACATAGAGGCACCAGAATCTGGCTTTATTTTCGACCAAGATCAGGGGTAGAAAGCCCTGCACCATCAGAGTATAGTGAATCCATGTGACAGGAATGAGAGGAGCGGCTTCCTTCACGTCCTATGAGCATTGGGTTGGTCACACAAACAGGCCAAAATATACATACCATGGCTGAGGAAGCCTGGTGGTTGTTGTTGTTGTTGTTGTTGTTGTTTGCAGGTCCCCGAATCACACATCGGGGGTTGCTCACATAAGCAACTGAACACGTGGAGGTCAGGGATAACGGTAAAGGGACCCCTGACCATTAGGTCCAGTCATGGCCGACTCTGGGGTTGTGGCGCTCATCTCGCTTTACTGGCCGAGGGAGCCGGCGTACAGCTTCCAGGTCATGTGGCCAGCATGACTAAGCCGCTTCTGGCGAACCAGAGCAGCGCACGGAAATGCCATTTACCTTCCCGCCAGAGCAGTACCTATTTATCTACTTGCACTTTGACGTGCTTCGAACTGCTAGGTTGGCAGGAGCAGGGACCAAGCAACGGGAGCTCACCCTGTCGCGGGGATTCAAACCGCCGACGTTCTGATCGGCAAGTCCTAGGCTCTGTGGTTTAACCCACAGCACCACCCGCATCCCCAGGAGGACAGGGATGAGGCCTACCAAAACCTATTCCTGTTCACTGTATCCTGACTAATGAGCCAGAACTTCCAGATAACAGAAAGGCAGAGTATAATATAGCTGCCTCTTTGGGATTTTCAAATAGACTTGACCTGAAAGCCCCATTTCCCAGAATACAGCAGGGAAAACTTCACCTGGATGCACGGCACCCAAGAGCTCTTTCCAGGCGTAGAACTGCAGAGGGCCCTTGAACTCGCCCAGGTTCAAGTCCACAGGAACCACTCCATCTTCGTCTTCTTCCTCTGCGGCCATCTCTCGCACTCGCTCTTCTTCTTCCTCCTCTTCTTCCTCCTCCTCTTCTTCCTCCTCCTCCTCCTCTTCTTCTTCCTCCTCCTCTTCCTCATCCACATCCCCCTCATCTCTCGCCAGCCCCTCATCAGTCTCATTCTCACACTCGTCTGTGTCTTCACTGCTGGCTCCCAAAATGTCTTCCGCCGCCTCAGCTTCGATTTCTTCTTCCTCATCAACCTGGGCTCCTTGCTCTGTGCGGACCCTGTGGGAGGTAATAATAATAATAATAAACAATAAATTTTGAAGGCCACCAGTTCTCTAGCCTTGATCTCTATGCTGGCGAAAGCTTTGTGTGATTTTTGCAGAGGAAGTTGTTTAAAGAAGGTACACTAGCAGCCCAGGATGCTGCTTTTGTGGTCGCTTCTCTATAAATCAACACATGCACATTTTATGGAGATTTATGTCTCTGGACCCATGCCCCATATCTTTTAAGTCCAGTGCTGGATTTACGTATAAGCTAAACAAGCTATATCTTAGGGCCCGCCTCTCCTGGGGGCCCCTAAAAAATTTAAAGGGGAAAAAACTGGATGTACATTTCCAAAATATAAGATAAAAAAAAAACCTACATACAGCAACAGTGTTTTGTGTTGTGTAGACTCCTCTGATGTAACTTATGGGCCCCGCCTGCTAGCCTGCTCCCCAAAATATCACTGGTTTGCTCATTTCTATATATATAGGGTGCCTACATTCTGCATGTGCAAATGGCTTTCGATACCTATTAGGTCCATAAATCACCATATAGCATAGATTCAACACAAAAAACAGCGACAATTTGTTGTTGACAAAGGACAACTGGACATATAAAGGGCCCCATTACCTTCAGTAGCTTAGGGCCTCATCAAACCTAAATCCAGCCCTGTTTAAGTCCCTAGTAATACCCCCACCAACCCTGAAATTGCTTATTATAAACAAGAAAGGCCATGGCATGACTCACCTCTCCAGCAACTCTTTTGCCTCCTAAGTGGGGGAGAAAATTAGAAAGGAGTGAGGTGAAAGAAACATCTGAAAAGGGCTCTTTCCTAAGGTGGTCCCTTTTTTTACTGGCAGTGACCCCTGTGGTTTTAAGGGCTACATCAACTATGTTTTTTTAAATAGAAAAGCTCAGTACACACACCCTGTGGGATAACCAGCCTCATATATCCAGCATGCTTACATCTAATTAATGCATGAAGGGGTTAAGATCATAGAGTAAGCTGTCCTGCCAGGCTTAGCTTACTTTAGGAGGGACTAGGAAATCAAGCCTTTGTTCCCCTCCTGTCTAAGAGAGGAGCTCAACGTGTGAGGAGTACTGAGTTGGTTGCTGCATCTCAGACCACATGGCTCTTACAAGCTGTTATTGAATTTCTATACCAATAATCTAGGAACTTTCACCACTGTAAGTACACCAAGTTTTACTGCCCGTGCAACTTTTTGGAATGCTGTATAGAAAAGCCTATGAATCTGAGCTTTGGAGGGTTTGTAAGTAAACCATTTTAAACTTACCAAACATGTGGTCTTTTTCTATGATAGGGGAAGAGGGAAACTTTGGAACTCACTTTGGGCATATTTTAAAGGTCTAACAACCTTTGCTTTGCTGCATGTTTTGTGATTTTAAATCTCTGCTGGGATTCTCTCACCCAAGAGTACTTGCCCCAAACCTGGATCTTGACATCCAGGAATTCTCCTTTACACACACACACACACACACACAGCCCTGCAACCCCTCGCCACTCATATTATATGAGAGTCATCTGAACCCTCTATGGACTTTCTCAATCCCCAAGCACACCACAACTCAAGGTCCCTCTCACCTTGAGGAAACTGATTTGGTCCTTGCATTCCAGTCCCGCCTGCACCCGGCAGAGGGTCTCTGACCAAGAGGCCACCTTCCAGTTCAGTTCCTTCAGCTTGGTTTCCATCTGGGCCAAGTTCTTCTCTCGCTGATTCTCCAGGGCCTCCTTTAAACCCAGCTCTCTGTCGCTCAGCAGCTGGTGCATCTTCACAAATTCCCCAGAGACGTGGTCAGACAAGGACTCAGAGCAGGTCTGGAAAGGGGAGAGGTGTGTCACTCGCATCCAAAGGCTTCTGCTCTGCTCGAATGGGATTGGTGAATGGGATTCTGCTCTCTCCCAATAACAGAACCTACCAATCCTCTAGAACAGCGGTTCTCAACCTGTGGGTCCCCAGATGTTGTTGGACTACAACTCCCATCATCCCTGAGCTCTGGCCTTGCTAGCTAGGGGTGATGGGAGTTGTAGTTCAACGACATCTGGGGACCCACAGGTTGAGAAAGGCTGCTCTAGAACAACAGGGGTGGACAACAAGGCCTCTACCCAAAGGCCACACTCCCTTCTGGGAAACTTCCAGAATATAGTAGGATAGTTTCTTCACAGAGATCCCTCTTTCTCCTCCAGCCAGGTGAAGTAAGAAGCAGGAGCAGCGTTCAAGAGCATATTCCAGCCAGGCAAAAAGACCTATGGGGCAAAGAAGGGCTAGTGTGGCCTGGGGAAGAGTCCTGAGGGTGTGGGTGAGGTCACACATGGCCCCCCAGGCCTGAGGTTCCTCATAGCCCTGCTCTAGAATCCACCTCTCCCTTACACCCTCAACCTATTAATCAGATCTGCGCACCCCTCTCTGATAAATCATTCATCCCAGCAATCAATTGTTAGCCTCATAAATCCATAATAATTGTCCCGCCAGGTCAAGGTGGAGGAGTCCATCCTGGTTTCCAATACTGGCCCATTTTCCCAAGAAGGAAATGAAAACAAGCAGCGTTTTTCCTGCTGGAAGCATAACCAATAATAATAATAATTTATTATTTATACCCTGCCCATCTGGCAGGGCTTCCCCAGCCACTCTGGGCAGCTCCCAACAGAATAATAATAATAATAATAATAATAATAATATAATGTGACAAAACATCAAACATTAAAAACTTCCCTAAACAGGGCCACCTTCAGATGTCTTCTAAAAGTCAGATAGTTGTTTATTTCCTTGATATCGGATGGGAGGGCGTTCTGCAGGGCAGGCGCCACTACTGAGAAGGCCCTCTGCCTGGTTCCCTATAACCTCACTTCTCGCAGCGAGGGAACTGCCAGAAGGCCCTTGGCACTGAACCTCAGAGTCTGGGCAGAACAATGGGTGTGGAGATCCTCCTTCAATTATACTGGGCCGAGGCCATTTGGGGCTTTAAAGGTCAGCACCAACACTTTGAATTGTGCTCGGAAATGTACTGGGAGCCAATGTAGGTCTTTCAGGACTGGTGTTATGTGGTCTCAGTGGCTGTTCCCAGTCACCAGTCTAGCTGCCGCATTCTGGATTAGTTGTAGTTTCCGAGTCACCTTCAAAGGTAGCTTATTGATGGTCAGTGCTGGAGGCCATGATGGTGGTCAGTCAACATGGATTCCCACTGGACTTGTAATGCATAGAACCACTTAGGATGTGGTGGTTGGTCATCACAATGCGAGCGATCCACAACCCTTGCTCCACATTCCTGTGAGCTGCAGGATGGGTGGCGCCCTAGAGCACCAAAGTGTTTCTAAGCATTGCAGGCCAAGCTGAGATCATCCTCACTCGTGCGTATTCTAACCTATAAAGAGAGAAGCAAAGAGTCTTCATTTAGCTGAATAGACTCAGCTGGCTCTCCTGTGTTGTGTTTCACAAAGAACACGTGACCAGACAGTTATCTTCTTCAGAGCAGTCTTACTATTCTCTGGGTGTGGAGCATTCAGTAGTCTGAAGGTCATTGATCAAATACTGAATGTTTAAATATCCGGTGTCGGTTAACAGACGGTCATCACTAGCAACTAGCAACTGGTGTTGGAGGAGACTCTTGAGAGTCCCATGGACTGCAAGAAGATCAAACCTCTCCATTCTGAAGGAAATCAGCCCTGAGTGCTCACTGGAAGGACAAATCCTGAAGCTGAGGCTCCAATACTTTGGCCACCTCATGAGAAGAGAAGACTCCCTGGAAAAGACCCTGATGTTGGGAAAGATTGAGGACACAAGGAGAAGGGGACGGCAGAGGAGGAGATGGTTAGACAGTGTTCTCAAAGCTACTAATATGAGTCTGACCAAACTGCAGGAGGCAGTGGAAGACAGGAGTGCCTGGCGTGCTCTGGTCCATGGGGTCACGAAGAGTCAGACATGACTAAATGACTAAACAACAACAACATCACTAGCAACTACAAAGGCAGACCAGAAGATGACCAAGAAATGGATAGGTTCAGTTTGGCATCGCGTAGCCTGGAAAGCCCAACTGCCCCATCATAAAACCCAACAATGCTGCCTGCACCTTCAGTTCTATAATGTTCTCCTGTTGGCGACACTGGCTCATCTTCAACCGCCTGAGACCTTCCTCCAGGGGCTCTAGAGATGCCTTCAGCTGGTCCTGGAGCAAAAGAGAAAACCCCCAATGCCATTTCAGATAGCATAGCATTCTTTCAAAGGGGACAGGGCTGAGTGGAGGAAATGCCATATGGACAGATCACCCTTCTGAAGGTCTCCCCATATGAAGATTTTTTTAGGAAAAGAATGCTTAGGCTTAGAGATGGACTAAAGAAATGGAACCCTTATGCATATTCACATATTTAGGAACACCACAGTTAGCAGCTGTGATTTTCCTAAAAGTGAGCTTCAAAAAATATCTACCATTTAGAAATAAATATGCAAAACCTTTCACTATGTGCAATACCATTAGGAAAAACATGTTGGGAAAGCAGCTCAGGAAGGCTGGACAACCCTAAGTCCATTTATCTAGGACCTCTTCTAAATTTCTAAAATGACAGGAGCATCGTGATAGATGGGTACAATTGTTCTGTCCAAGTTGTTTCTTATAAAGCACTTCAGGACTGTTGCTATCTTGGGGTTGGATTTAATCACATACCGGCAAATTCGGTTTGCACAATTATAGTACCTTGGAAGGTCTTGCACAACAAGCCCACCTCCCCACAAAACTGGACTTTTTGCGGTAAGGAAAGTGACAGGGAAATGCACTGGAAAGTGTGGCGTAACACTTGCTGTGAAGCAACATCATCTAATCTCCCTACAAACCAACTGTAGGCCTATTATAATTCAGGGGAGAGGGGACATTCAGCTACTTTGGTTCAAGGGTGACTAATAATATGTCATCTTCCAGATGTTGCTGGAACTCCTACTCCCATCATCCCTTAGAATTTGCCAGGCTGCCTGGGGGTGATGGGAACTAGAGTCCAGCAATATCTGGAGGACTTAAAGGTAAAGGTGAAGGCACCCCTGACCATTAGGTCCAGTCGTGGCCGACTCTGGCGTTGTGGTGCTCATCTTGCTTTACTGGCCGAGGGAGCCGGCGTATAGCTTCCGGGTCATGTGGCCAGCATGACTAAGCCGCTTCTGGCGAACCAGAGCAGTGCACGGAAACGCCGTTTATCTTCCCGCTGGAGCGGTACTTGCACTTTGTGCTTTCGAACTGCTAGGTTGGCAGGAGCAGGGACCGAGCAACGGGAGCTCACCCCATCGTGGGGATTCGAACTGCCGGCCTTCTGATGGGCAAGTCCTAGGCTCTGTGGTTTAACCCACAGTGCCACCCGTGATCTGGAGGACTTACTATAGAATAAGGCTCCACAGAGTGACTGAATGCAGGGGCGAAGGAAGGGGGGTGCGTTGGGGGCAGGTCGCCCCGGGTGTCACTACTGAGGGGGGTGACAAAATGCCAGGTGGCACTCACTGTGGGGCCTGCAGTGCTCCTGAGCCACGCGTCTGCCCCAAACAGTCCACCTGCTGCCTCCCCCTCAGCTGTAGGGCGGCTGAGTGGGAGGAGGCAGGCAGACTTCTCGGAGGCCCCATAGAGCGTCCTGCCCCGGCTTGCCCACCCTACGGGCGGCTGGCCCCACCCCTCGGTGCAGGGCACACGCGCTGCCCCAGGCACCCAATCGGCTTGCTCCACCGCTGACTGAATGTCCACCCTAAATGCCAATTAAATTTTTAAAATGGCACCTCCAGGAAAAGTCCTCTCGTTGAAAGCCCTCTGACTTAGAAGCTCTGGAAACAGATTCCTAATACAGTGGACGCTCTGGTTGCGAACATGATCCGTGAGGGATGCACGTTCGCAACCTGCAGCGTCCGCAATCCGCAATGGCACATCTGCACACGCACGGGTTGCGATTCGGCATGTCTGCGCATGCGCAATCCATGATTTAGCGCTTCTGTACATGCGCGACCGCCAAAACCCGGAAGTAACCCGTTCCGGTACTTCTAGGTTTTGGCGGTCCGCAACCCAAAAAAACGCAACCTGAAGCGTCTGTAACCCGAGGTATGACTGTACGTGCATGGAGGCTGTTGTTGTGACTTAGCCTCCGGCCCATTGCTGAATAACAAACTGCCTCTCTCACCTGATAGGCCTGGACCGCATTTTTGATGGGCAGGAAGTCGTGCCCACGATGCTGAGGCAAGTCGCGGCAGATCACGCAGACGGGCCCCTCGTCCTGGCTGCAGAAGAGTTTGAGCGGCTCCTCGTGCTCCTCGCAGAAGTACCAGCCTCCGGTCCCGCCGACCTGGGGACCTTCGTCCAGCTTGAGAAGGCGGGCCTTCTCGGCCAGGCTGCAGAGGGCTCGGTTGATGGCCATGCGGCGCAAAGCAAATGGCCGCCGGCACTCGGGGCACAGCCCACGCCTCTGGCCCTTGGGGATGCAGGGCTCCAAGCACGGGGCGCAGAAGCTGTGGCCGCACTCCAGCATGTGTGGGTCTCGGAAGATGGAGAGGCAGATGGGGCACAGCAGGTCCTCAGTGAAGCTGGATACCTCTTTCACGGACGCCATGTTGAAAAGAGAGAGGCCGCCACAGCTACCACTTCTCCTTGGTATGGCAGGGCCTGTACCTATTGGCTTGGGGGACTTTGGTGGATTTTTCTCTCCAATGAGCCAAAATGTTTGTTTTTTCCTCTCACAAGGGATCGCAAAGCTTCTTTTACTTTCAGGCTTTCAGTTGAGCTTTTCTTCTTTGTGATGTTTCTTTGAACAGAACCATCAACGACCTTTTCCTGTTTATTAATGATGATGGTGGTGGCGATAATTTAAAATAAAAGAAGATGTAGAAAACTGGGTTACAATGTGTAGTTTCCCTGTATACAGCCAGATATCCCCATCTGTTCATTTGGAGGGGAAAGCTGCCTTAAAGCACTTCAGGACTGTTGCTAACTTGGGGTTGGATTTAATCACATACCAGAAAATTCAGTTCACACAATTATAGCACATTGGAAGATCTTGCGCAACAAGCCCTCCTCCCCACAAAATTGGACTTTTTGCGGTAAGGAAAGTGACAGGGAAATGCACTGGAAAGTGTGGAATAGAACATGCTGTGAAGCAACTTCTAATCTCCCTACAAACCAACTGTATGAATGCCTATTAAATAGCCAACATCATCTAATCTCCCTGCAACCGAACCCAGGACGAATGCTCAATAAACAGATTGTCTGGAAATGTTTATAGTGAGCTAGAAACTTACACAAGATTTGACCTGCAGAGTTGCTCTTCTATAGTACCCCAGACCATAATAATCTCACAAGACCTAAAAGTCACACAGCTCAAAAAATCCTGATTGACCCCCGCTCTTTAGTTTACCTGCTACTAAGGGTTTTAAAACCCTTTTTTATTTTAGTAGCGTATATTAGAACAAACAGCCAATGATTAACAAATCATAACACACTCTTTGCTGATTCAAGGAACACACTTTTCTTCAGAGCTTACTATAAATATATGAAGTTTTATGTTTGGTTTTTCAAAATTCAAGAGCTCTTCCATCCCAAAACGTCGTACCTGGCCAGTGGTTTTCCTCTGTGAGTGTCACCTTTCAGGCTGGGTTCAAGTTTATTTTCGAAGCTTATCCTAAAACAATCCTTAGCAAGTTTAGTCAGAGAAGCCCCACAGAACTTGCTTTCCAATGTCTTCAGGGCTGCATAAACACCATACTTTTTTTTAAAAGCACACCCCAAGAATCCTGGGAACTGTGATTTAACACACATCCCGAGCTACAATTCCCAGCACCCTCAAAAACTACCATTCCCAGGATCTTGGAGAGTGTGTGCTTTAAATGAAAGATGTGTACGCAGCCTAGGACTACATCGAAGTCTTCTCGGGAGCTTTCAGACTCCCCTCTTCCCCTACAAAGCAGACTGCCTGGTTGCAAGGAGCACAAAACTCTCTCTTACCCTTTTAGCTGAAATGTCCTTCCCTGCTGTTTCCCAGTCTTCTCCCTGGGCTATTTGCTGCTGGATTAGGATCAGGTTAGGACCTCTCCTCTTGAATTAGCCTAGGTTTTCCCTTATCCTCTGCATGGGCTTGCCTATGTCCTCCTTAACCCCTCCCCCCCTCCCCGGCCTGCCCTCCCCTTTGCATCCAAGTGCAAGAACAGGGAGGGGAGACTTCAGATCCTGCATATTGCAGCAAGGCTCACTTCTACGGAGGTGCGATGATGTTGACGCAGCAATTCTGGCCTCTGCAAAGCTGCCAGCGCTCCAGCAAAACTGAGTCAGCACTTTCCCCTTCCAGGTTGGAGGAGGAGGAGGAACCATCCTGCAGCAGTGCCCTTTACACAGTGCACAGAGAATTGGAGGGTGGGGGGATATTGGGAGATGTCCCAAGCATATGAAGATGGAGTGGGATGCGGGAATAGAGAGAGGGTCCTTTTAGATGACAAGTGACGCAGGAATGGGAGCAAGGATAGTTTAAGGGTTTGGCAGCAGCAGTGTGCGGAGGACGTAACAGAGTTAATCCTCAGTCGGACATGTGGCTGGTGCCTTTGGGGAGAGCTGCAGAACATCTGCTTTGCAGATTCATTCTCCAGCATTTCCGGGTAGGGCTGGGAGAGCTCCTGGTCTGAAAATCCTGGGCAGTCAGTGTAGATAACGCTGGATGAGATGGACCAATGGTCTGGCTCTTCGATCCACTGTGAACCTTCAGTCACTTTGCCAACCTTCTTCCTGTCAATACAGTGGTACCTCGGGTTACATACACTTCAGGTTACAGACTCCACTAACCCAGAAATAGTGCTTCAGGTTAAGAACTTTGCTTCAGGATAAGAACAGAAATCGTGCTCCGGTGGCGCGGCGGCAGCAGGAGGCCCCATTAGCTAAATTGGTGCTTCAGGTTAAGAACAGTTTCAGGTTAAATACGGACCTCCGGAACGAATTACGTACTTAACCCAAGGTACCACTGTAGTCCCTTTCTGTCTCCAGTGTGCACATTGGCCTTTTGCAGAAGAAGCAGGGGGTCTCTCAGTGTTTATTGTGCTTAAAATGCACACACACAAAAACACCCCAGAGATCCTCCAAATTTTACCGCAAAATAAAACAGAACGTGTCTCGAGATTCTGAAAAGTATTGTTTTGCCGACAGCGTTGCCCTACGTTGCAGCAATTCTAACAGGCAGCAACATTCCATGACATCAGAGCAACTCACCCAATCACAGGGAGCGGGGGGTGTGGTCTTCCATGTCCACAGCAGGTAACACAGAGCTGTCACTTATGATGTAATAAAGTGGGGGCATCATATAGGTCAGAAGAGGGGCTGGACTTAGACCCTGGAAGGTTGAGAAGGCCACAACAAGAAAACAGGACTCAATTAAAATTGGCAGTAGGACAGTAACATGAAGGAGGGGACTTTGTGAGAATAATTTCTTCCTCATCCTGTGCATCAGCCAATAAGTCTCTTCCAGAGACTTTAAGAACGTCCTCCTTACAGCTATCTGACCTCAACAATATTCTTGGGAAGGGTTTGCTGCAGTGTGTGCTGCTTGTGTCAAACTGTAGGTGGTGCTATTGCTTTAGCCAACCCAAAATACTTTACTGAATTGTTAGTCTTACTCGGAATACACCCAATGAAATTAATTGGCATCACCTTAGCACGAATTCCCACTCAGCCTAGTCAACAGGTTTACCACACCTATCAGCCAATCACCCATTCCCACCACCCTTCTGAGTAATACCCCTCCCCACCCTCTCACTATATGTAAGTGTCTGGTGACTTCTGTTTCAGTGTATCTGAAGAAGTGTGCGTGCACACGAAAGCTCATACCAATAACAAACTTAGTTGGTCTCTAAGGTGCTACCTAGACAAACCTAGACAGCATCTTAAAAAGCAGGGACATCACCTTGCCAACAAAGGTCCGTATAGTAAAAGCTATGGTTTTCCCAGTAGTGATGTGTGGAAGTGAGAGCTGGACCATAAAGAAGGCTGATCGCCGAAGAATTGATGCTTTTGAATTATGGTGCTGGAGGAGACTCTTGAGAGTCCCATGGACTGCAAGAAGATCAAACCTGTCCATTCTTAAGGAAATCAGCCCTGAGTGCTCACTGGAAGGACAGATCCTGAAGCTGAGGCTCCAATACTTTGGCCACCTCATGAGAAGAGAAGACTCCCTGGAAAAGACCCTGATGTTGGGAAAGATGGAGGGCACAAGGAGAAGGGGACGACAGAGGACGAGATGGTTGGACAGTGTTCTTGAAGCTACCATCATGAGTTTGACCAAACTGCGGGAGGCAGTGGAAGACAGGAGTACCTGGCGTGCTTTGGTCCATGGGGTCACGAAGAGTTGGACACGACTAAACAACTAAACAACAACAAAAGGTGCTACTGGAAGGAATTTTTTATTATTTTGTTTCGACTATGGCAGACCAACACGGCTATCTACCTGTAACTTGAAATAAACAGTTGCATTTGTAAATTGGTGTCATATCACTGTAGATCCTGTAGGTGGAGCTGTGGCGCTGTATTAGTGCTTGAGCTTTCATTGTGCAGGATCAGGTAGCTTTCGATTTATACAGATACAGTATATCAAAAAGCGTGTGGATACCTTTCCGAAAGTGTTTAAAAGACTTAAGGAGAGCTACATTCTTATAAAAGATGCAAGTTGGTAGAAAGTACAAGTACATAAAGGCATGCATTATTCAAGCATAATAAAGAAGGAAGTGATTGACCTTTATTGATATTAATACATATCTTCTTCTAACAAAGTTAAGGTGTTTATTTGTTGCATTTGCCACTTTTTGCAACTGAGGTGTTTCGAAGTGACTATAATAACATTGGGGGGGGGGGATGTTTTCCCTGCATAGAGCAACAGGCATTGAATTTGTCACATAAAGAAGAGCGCAAATAAAATCTCCAGGGAAGTTCCTGCCCCCTGGAGCATAAAAAATCCTGTGCGTCTGTGTGTGTTGCAAGCAGGCTTCCCGACTGCTTCCTCCGGTCCCAAGTCCTGCCCCAGCCAATAAGCACGAGGAAGAGGGTGGTGCCTCGAGGCCTCCAAGCCCTCACGGTCACACTGGCTCGGGCTGACTTGAGACGGGCAGCACCTCCTTCCAATCCCAGGACGTGACAGCTCCCACAGCTGCTTTCGAGGTCTGGCCATTTGGGGCAGCTGTGCAGTGAGAGAAACTTGGCCTGTTGGCCTAGGTGCTCCAGAACTCTCCCCCAAGTAGGTACGTGCACAGCTGCTGCTGCTGCTGGCTAGCCTAGACTTTGCTTTTCTTGCTCCCCTTTTGGCGCTGCAAAACGCCTCCCTCCCAGCACTTGGGGCACCTTTTCCTTTCCCACCTCCTGGGACTTGGCTGGAGGCAGCTCGGGTTTCTTCGCACCCACCCACCCCCACCCCCCCCAGCCAGCACATAGCTGTCAACGTTTCCCCTTTTTTTTTAAGGAATGGGTTTCCTCGCAAGAAAATGGAAAAGTTGACAGCTATGAGCCAGCAATGTCCGCTTTTTAATGCTTGGGTTTGAGAGTTAAATTCCTGCAGTCATGTGAGCCCAGTCTCATGATCCTGTTTCCCCTTCTTGTTTCCTATCTAATCGTCCCACCGGAAGGGGAAAAATATTTTCTGCAGCTTTCCTGTGGTTGTTTACAGCAGGGTTGGGGGTCCCCTCTTCAGCCCCTGCCCCATTCACTTCTAGGCAGGGTTCGGGAGCAGAGGAGCCGTCACCAAAGAGTCATGTGGAGGAAACGTCAGAAATGCTGCCTTTTCACTTGTTGCTTCTTTGCCTTTAGTGTTTGTTACCGGGAAATTGGAAGAGGTGTGAGAGACCTTCCCAACCCCCCACCAGAGCCTTGCCTCTCCGTACTATGAGGCAAAGACAAAAAGCCCCTGCTGCATATTACCAAATGTAGCAATGCACTGATAAATGAATTGATCAATAAAGATCAGGCCTTCTGGCAGGACAGAGGAAGGGGGTAAGGGAGGTGAGGTCAGCCCCGGGTGTCACCACTGAGGGGGTGACAAAATGCCGGGCGGCACTCACCGGGGGCCTGCAGTGTGCCCGAGCCACGCGGTGGCTTGGGCGCGGGCAGGCTCCACGCTGCCCAAATGGTCCACACACTGCCTCCCCCCCCCCCCAGCTGTAGGGCGGCTGAGTAGGAGGAGGCAGGCAGTCTCCGGAGGCCCCGCTGTGCGCCCTGATCCTATGGGTGGCTCACCCTGCCCCTGGGCGCGCCGCCCCAGGCACCTGAGCGGCTTCCGAGCACAATTCAAAGTGTTGGTGCTGACCTTTAAAGCCTTAAATGGCCTCGGTCCAGTATACCTGAAGGAGTGTCTCCACCCCCATCGTTCTGCCCTGAGGTCCAGCTCCGAGGGTCTTCTGGCGGTCCCCTCACTGAGAGAAGCCAAGTTACAGGGAACCAGGCAGAGGGCCTTCTTGGTAGTGGCACCCGCCCTGTGGAACGCCCTCCCACCAAAGAGAAAAACAACTACCAGACTTTTAGAAGACATCTGAAGGCAGCCCTGTTTAGGGAAGCTTTTAATGTTTGATGTATTATGGTATTTTAATATTTTGTTGGAAGCCGCTCAGAGTGGCTGGGGAAGCCCAGCCAGATGGGTGGGATATAAATAATAAATTATTGTTATATTATTCCTCCGCCGCTGGCCACTGGCCACTGTTTTGCTTGTGATTTGCTTGCTGAAATCTCTTGCTTGTGACCCCCAACTTGTTCAATGGGAAAACTTTCGAAATTCATATAAAATCACTCCAGTGACGGATTGTCATCATTCCAATGTTGTTCTACTCAGAAGGAAAATGGCTAGCAGGGGAGGAGTTTGGGACATGGGATGGGGGAGCCGTAATCCCTGAAGGGTCCCCGTTGCCCATTGCCTGGGTGATAATCGGTGGCATCCTGGCCTGGGGCGGAAGAAGGGAGTGTGGTGGGGGTGGTCTGCCCCAGGTGTCACCACTGAGGGGGTGACAAAATGCCGGGTGGCACCACTCACCACTGGGCTTCTAGCGCGTTCGAGCCACACATCTCTCCTGGGAGTGACACAGTGGCTTGGGCGCCCACGGGCTCCACACTGCCCCAAACGTTCCACCCGCCGCCTCCCCCTCAGCTGTAGGGTGGCTGAGTGGGAGGAGGCAGGCAGACTCCTCAGAGGCCACACAAAGCGACCTGCCCCAGCTCGCCCCGCCTTGTGTGCTTAACCTGGTTGGGAAAACAGGAAAATGTAAATACTTCGTTTCACCTAAAGATTGGAAGGTGAAGGTCATACGAGGGACAGGACAAGCCTTGGGCTCAGGTTTCTGCCAGAAGAGCCCTCCCAATTTATGACATAGTTATGACAAATGTATGATGTTTTACTAAGGGGGTTATGGGTAATTTGGGACATTTTTAAAAGGGGGGGAGCTATCCTTTGTTCGGGGCTTCTCTCTGCTTCTTTAAGTGGTAGTGGGAAGTCTTGTTGCAACAATAAAGATCAGGCCTACTGGCCGCAGTTTTGCTTCGATCTCTTGGCTGAAGTCTTTTATTTGTGACCCCCAACCTGAACCTACAGGAGCCAAGGTTAGGTGATTGTGGGGTGCTCTAATAATAATAATAATAATAATAATAATAATAATAATAATAATATAATTTATTATTTATACCCCGCCCATCTGGCTGGGTTTCCCCAGCCACTCTGGGCGGCTTCCAACAGAACACCAAAATACAATAACCTATTAAACATTAAAAGCTTCCCTAAACAGGGCTGCCTTCAGATGTCTTCTAATAGTCTGGTAGTTGTTTTTCTCTTTGACATCTGGTGGGAGGGCATTCCACAGGGAGGGCGCCACTACCAAGAAGGCCCTCTGCCTGGTTCCCTGTAGCTTCGCTTCTCACAGTGAGGGAACCGCCAGAAGGCCCTCAGCACAGGACCTCAGTGTCCGGGCAGAACGATGGAGATGGAGACGATCTTTCAGGTATACTGGACTGAGGCCGTTTAGGGCTTTAAAGGTCAGCACCAATACTTTGAATTGTGCTCAGAAATGTTCTGACTCCCTTTTACAAGTTCACCTTGTGATTTCCCCTCTACGTTCCTTAAACCTGCATGTCCTCTCCCTTAGGAAGCTGGTCCTTTCCTGCAAGTAGCAACCGATCCCCGGAACAGCTGCTGCCATGACCTCGGTCCGCGAAGTCTCCAGCATTGCCGAAGACCTGCTGTGCCCTGTCTGCCTCTCCATCTTCCAGGACCCCCGCATGCTGGTCTGCGGGCACAACTTCTGCCTCTCCTGCTTGGAGAGCTGCGTTGTCCCAAAGGGGCAGCACCAGGGAACGTGCCCTGAGTGCCGGGATACCTTTGACCTGAAAGATGCCGCCCGCAACAGGGTCCTGGCCAACTTGTCTGAGAAGGCCCGGCTCCTCCGGCTGGAGCAGGGGCCCCCGTCGGGTGGGACTGGGAGCTCGTACTTTTGCGAGGAGCACGAAGAGCCTCTCAAGCTCTTCTGCAGCCAGGATGAGGCCCCTGTCTGTGTGATCTGCCGGGATCTGCCTCAGCACCAGGGCCATAGCTTTTTGCCTATCAAGAATGCTGTCACAGGTTTTCAGGTAGGAGCCTAAGGATGCTTGAGTTTCTGTGGGCAGACCTTAGGTTGTTGGGATTCACTTTGCACTGTCCTAGAACGCCCAAGTTTCACCAGCCGGAACCAGGTACAAAAGAGGGGCTGTGTTTTCTTTCTTTTCTTTTTTTCAAAATTTATTTATTTGGTTTTTCAGATTTAAATTTTACAGTCACGTGTCCAACATACAACATAAAAACAAGATTCCAAGGGATCTCTTGGACTGGCTCCTCCTCCCCATTGTGGGTCCTATTGTTATCCATTTCCCCCTGCATCTTTTATAATAATCCAAATCTTCTGTCTCCCCATTGTATCCAGAATTCACCAATAAACTACAACTGATATTCCAATCCTACTAACGATTTTAACTACAGTGGTACCTCGGGTTACATACGCTTCAGTTTACATACGCTTCAGGTTACAGACTCCGCTAACCCAGAAATAATACCTCGGGTTAAGAACTTTACCTCAGGATGAGAACAGAAATCGCATGGCGGCAGTGGGAGGCCCAATTAGCTAAAGTGGTGCTTCAGGTTAAGAACAGTTTCAGGTTAAGTACGGTCCTCCAGAACGAATTAAGTACTTAACCTGAGGTACCACTGTAGTTTACAGTGGTATTTTAAGATGTTAGGGAAAAAATCCCATTTCTTGTTAAAATTTTGGTCTTCCTGATTTCTTATTCTTCCGGTCATTTTAGCCATTTCGGCATAATCCATCAACTTGATTGTCATTCTTCTCTGGTAGGGACTTCATCTTCTTTCCATCCGTGCTTTCTTGGTGGGTGGGCAACCTGCTCATAGAATTAGGGAAGTGAGCACCTCTGAGCACATGCTCAGCTCGGGGATTTGTTTTCCCTTGGGGAAGGGTCGTCGCTCAGTGGTTAGAGCAGTGTTTCTCAGCCTTGAGTCCCCAGCTGTTTTTGACTACAACTCCCATCACCCCTGACCACTGGTCCTGCTAGCTAGGTACGATGGGAGTTGTAGTCCCACAACAACTGGGGAGCCAAGGTTGAGAAACCCTGGGTTAGAGCATCCGCTTTGCCCACAGAAGGTCCCATGTTCAATCCCCAGAATCTCTAGGTAGGACTAGGAGAAACTCCTGCCTGAAGCCCCCAAGAGCTTCTGCCAGTCAGTGCTGGCAGTGCTGAGCTAACTGGACCAATGGCGTGACTCGGGATAAGCTGCCTTCCTAACCTAACCCGTGGTCCTGTCACACACAAAACCTGCTATTCTGCAAAAGCAGCTGGATGGGATGGGATAGGAGTCACAACAGGTGGGTCAGTGCTGGGAGGGAGAGGGTCAAGGCAGCCTTGGATGTCAGTGCAGTGCGAATGCAGCAGCGGAGTCACTCTGTGCTCCAGTTTGCACTGCGCCAACTTCTCCACTGCCTTGCCTCTCCGTCCTGGTAAGCAGCAGCGACCCACCTACCAGGAAGCTAGTGTAGCAGCTGTGCTCCACTTCTGCCCTTCTCAAGTATACAGACTATTCATGCCTTGCCCCTACCTAGCCATGGGGGAAATTGTATTTCAGAAGTAAGTGTGCCTGGGTACACAAGTGAACTATCCTGGGAGATTCTGGTCTTCTGCTCTTAAACGTATTCCGACCCCGCCTCTAATTTTTGTTAGGGTTTCATTTTCTTTGCTTTTGCTTGTTTTTAACGACATTTTTATTCTAATCTGCCATGAGCTGCTTAGAGAAGGCAAAATATATAACATCATAGTAATCATCATCATCATAATTCATTATTTATACCCCGCCCATCTGGCTGAGCTTCCCCAGCCACTCTGGGTGGCTTCCAACAAAATATTAAAATACAGTAATGCATCGAACATTAAAAGCTTCCCTAAAGAGGGCTGCCTTCAGATGTCTTCTAAAAGTCTGGTAGTTGTTGTTCTCTTGGACATCTGGTGGGAGGGCGTTCCACAGGGCGGGCACCACTACCGAGAAGGCCCTCTGCCTGGTTCCCTGTAACTTGGCTTCTTTCAGTGAGGGAACCGCCAGAAGGCCCTCAGCGCTGGACCTCAGTGTCCAGGTAGAACGATGGGGGTGGAGACGCTCCTTCAGATATACTGGACCGAGGCTGAGGCCGATCAAAGAGGTGGTGTCAGACAAATCCCTCCTGTAGTTAGCAGGGATTTGGCCATACAGTCGTACCTTGGATCCCGAACGCCTTGATACTTGGACGTTTTGGCTCCTGAACACTGCAACCCCGGAAGTGAGTGTTCCAGTTTGCAAACATTCTTTGGAACCCGAACATCCAACGGGGCTTCCGCGGCTTCCAATTGGCTGCAGGAGCTTCCTGCAGCCAATCAGAAGCAGCACTTTGGTTTCTGAACATTTTGGTAGTCAAATGGACTTCCAGAACAGATTCCGTTCGACTTCCAATGTACGACTGTATTAAATTGTTCTACCGGAGGCTTGTTCACACATTACGGGTGTTTATGTGAGAGAGTGTACACATGGCGATTTATACAGCTGCATTGCTGCGTACACAGAACGTGCACAGGTAACTGTCAGCAAGTGTACAGTTCAACTATTTGTGCACACAAATTGTGCACTGATTGACTGTAACATGTGAACATTCATACTGACTTGAGCATTCTAGACCCCACTGCTTCGTATTTTGCCCAGCATATCAGCACCAAACTAGGCATGGGATTTCCCACAGCTGCCACCACCAGAACTAATAGATGGAGATGGGCAATTTTAATTGGGGATGCAGCTCAGAGGGAAAAGGTCAAATATCCCGTCCTCGTGTGCTGCAGTCCCAGTAAAATCTGTGAGGTCCTGTTCCTGCCACCACTTACTTAATGAATATCCTGGGGCAATCCTGTAACTGGAACTGCCAGGGGTCAACCTTGGGACTCATCATGCCTGCACAGCCTATGTTCTTATCGGAGAGTGACACACCCTCCCTCTGGGATAGCCATAAGTTTTATCTCTCTGGCAGCAGAATAGTGCAGGGTGGATAAACAAATAGAACCAAGGCTTCGAAGTCTGAGTGCAGTTGTCCACGTATGCAAACACGGATAGATATTGCATGTTGGTTTGCTGTATCCCAGCCAGATTTTAGGCTGCAGATCTCTAGCGCAGCCAAGTTTACGGTGCGGCGCAACATTCAAGCCCCGAAGTGGCTTTTCCAAACCCCTCTCTATTTTTTAAAATTTTTTTATTAGTTTTGCATTTAATAATATATGTTCACATTGATATTGTCCACTTTACAGCTCTGGCTCATTTCATGAAGTCGAGTGAGTGCACTGGCAAAGGAGCAAAAGAAGCTGCCTTATAGAGAGTCAGATAATTAGTCCATCTAACTCAGTATTGGCAGTGACTGCCAGGGTTTCACAGAACCGTAGTGTTGGAAGGCCCCCAATGGTCATCTAGTCCAATCCCCTCTCTCCCCTTTCCCCGCTCAAAACAGCTCCCATGCATTACCTGTTGTTTAACCCTGAATGTGTGTATGGACTCTAAAGATAAATATTTTCTGAGACGCAATCTGTGGCATTCAATCTGTGATGGTTCATTCATGCATGCGGGTCATGATTTGGTACTGTTGGTGTAGACATCAATGAATGGACAGGCATGCGCCAACCAGTCTTGTAAAAGGCAGGGGGCGTGATTCAAGCATGTTTCTGCCAAAATAAATCCCACTGGATCCAAGGTGCCATGTCGTAAGGTTGCTTAGGGTTACAACCTTTGAATACTTCCCAGAAAGAGCATGTTAGAACAGGGAGGTGGGAGGGGGAAGAGACCAGTAACCTTTTGCTTGGGTCTATTCATTTTTCTCTCCAGATCTTTTGCACGGTTGTTTGTGTATTCCCAATTTTATTTGTGCATTTATTCAGGATAAACTGAAAGCATCTCTGGAACCCCTGGAGAATGGGGTGAAGTGGGCCATAAATAATCAGTCTCAACAGCAGGAGGCCATGGAAGAACTGGAGGTAAATTTTAAAAGGAGTATGAGAGAGGAAATCATAGAACGTTGTAGCTTGAAGAAACAGGCTCCTAGGCAGGAGGAAAGCAGACTACAGAAAAGTCTCAGGTGTTGTTTATACGTGATGCGATGGCTTAGTAAACCATGGCTTAGTGTTATGTGTGAACTCTGCCCAGCAACATAATTATGGCTTGTTTACTGCCAGCAAACCACAATCTGAAGCCGTGGTTCTTGGCTTATAAATCTTGGCTTGTTTTAACTATGGCTTGGTGTTACATGTGAACCCAGCTAGCAGTCTTCCTTAACTATGGTTTGTTTAACTCGGCACTGAGGTTAGGACCTTCTCTGTGCCACAAATTCAGCAACTAATTCAGACATCTTGTTATCTGTGAACGAAAGGCCTGTCAGCCGCAAGCGTAACTTCAGCTCTCTGTGATTCACTGTAGAATCTCAATCAACACCTGTGTGGCTGCATCTTCATTGCGTTTGAGGAACTGCGTGAAATCCTCAACGAGAGAGAGCAGAACATGATGGAAACGGTTAGGCAGATGAAGGAGGAGAACCAGGCAGAAATGGAGAGAAGACTGGAATATCTGAGAGCCTTCAGCTCAGCTCACACAGAGACCATATCTGGGATCGAAGCTGCCTTGGCGGAAACCAACGAATTTGCCTTCTTGAAGGTGAGTCTTGGTGCTTCCCAGTCCCTTTTCTTTTTAAAGATTGAATAACAGATGTGCAGTTGCCAGTGTCTTGCCTCTGTTCCAGATGTTCTCATTTAAGGAAACTGCTTGAGTTTAGGGCTGGGGTAAGGAACTGGACCCAGCTACCTCACCCACCCCAGGCCATTTTGACAGGGGTGGTGGCTACCTTTCGATATGGATTAGCTACCAAACCAGGTTCAGAGTTATCGTGTCAATTCACAAATCCCTAAAAACAACATGGGGCTAGTATACCTTAAGGACCAGCTGGTTCCTTACGCTCCACTTTGATCACTGAGATCTTCTGATGGGGCACTTTTGGTGGTCCTCCACTCCCACCAGGTAGTGTGGTTGCTGACCTTGAGCCAGACATCATGGAGAGTGAAGTCAAATGGGCCTTAGAAGACAGGAGTGCCTGGCATGCTCTGGTCCATGGGGTCACGAAGAGTCAGACACAACTAAATGACTAAACAACAATACTCCCCTGAAATCTGGCCAGCCTTTACCCAGGACAGAAGCTTCTGTGTGGAACTCCTGGCCTATAGAAGTCCGTCAGGATCCATCCCTGCTCTCTTTGAGACGTCGTTTAAAAATGATACTGTTCAGAAGGCCCTTTGGAACCCGAAATTTTCCGCAACCAGTTTTCTATTGACATAGGTGTATTGTGTTTTAACTGCTATATTTTCTATGGAAGTGTGGTTTATAAATATTTAAGTCTATCTATCTATCATCTATCTATCTATCATCTATCTATCTACAGTGGTGCCTCGCAAGACGAAATTAATCCGTTCCGCGAGAGTCTTCGTCTAGCGGTTTTTTCGTCTTGCGAAGCAAGCCCATTGACGGATTAGCGCTATTAGCGCTATTAGCGGTTTAGCGGCTATTAAAGGCTTAAAGGCTTAGGGGATTAGCTGCTAAAAGGCTATTAAAGGCTATTAAAGGCTTAGCAGATTAGATAAAGGGGGAAAGCGAAAAAAATCTCAAGACTCGCAAGGTATTTTCGTCTTGCGAAGCAAGCCCATAGGGGAATTCGTCCTGCGAAGCAACTTCAAAACGGAAAACCCTTTCGTCTAGCGGTTTTTCCGTCTTGCGAGGCATTCGTCTTGCGGGGCACCACTGTATCTATCTATCATCTATCTATCATCTATCTATCTATCTATCTATCTATCTATCTATCTATCGTTGTCAGCCGATTCATCACAGAGTTACAGAGCCCAGCACGTTTAACAAACTACAGTTCCCAAGATTCTTTGGAGAAAGCCATGACTGTTAAAGTGGTTTAGGAGTGCTCTAAATGTTTGGTTCGATGTGACCCCTTTGCAGTTAACTTGACATTATTAACCGGGGGTTAGCACCTCCTGACAGTTCATTGTGCCCTAATCTTCCCTGCCACCAGATTGATGAATTCGGGTTGACTGTTCTGTAAAGAGGGGTTGATGGTCTAGTTGGCTGAAGCTGTGCAAACTTGCTTTGGCAGGCGGTTCCAACCTTGTTTGTTTCTTTTCCCCTCCAGGGAGTCAAGGAACTGACAGGAAGGTGAGTATCAGCATTGCTCTGTATATAGACATTGGCTCTGATCCTATTGCCTCCATGTGTGAGGACTTGAAGGGTTATCAAACACTCACCTAGAAGTTTTATGGATTCCAGTGGGACTCCACCAACAGCTACCTAGGCTGGTCAAACTCTGACAATTTTAACAATTGTTCCTGTTGATCAGTAGTCCCATGCCCCGCCCCCAACTATTTCTCCTGCAGTGTTTTTAGCAGAGTAAAGATAAAATCAGCCGTGCTCATGGTAAATACCATTCCACTTTGAAATTTGCTGCTTTGGGGCATAATCCAGAGAAAGTTACATATAGCCTTATAACCTGTTGATTGTGCCACTAAACCCGTCAATTTCTATGGTTCATCTGCATGCCTGGCTTTCTTGGGAATCTACCCTGCAGCACTAATGAACAGTGTAGAGATTCTGTGTATGATACTTGTATAATATTTGTCTCTGTGTTAAATGAGGAAACATTTAGTCAAAATTAAGCTCTCTTTAAAAACCTTTTGCAGTCAGTGGGAAAGAGTAGCAGACCAACCCTATGAATGTGTGTGTAGGCTGATTAATATTCTACAGCCTTGTAAATATGTTTGTGGGAGGGCAGTTATTGTATATTGTCATTTCTGTTTATTTGTGCTTTTATCTTGTGAACCGCCCTGAGATCTGTTGATGAAGAGCAGTATATAAACCTAATAAACAAAATAAATAAAATAAATGTCTGCATATGCTTTTGAATGCAGATTACATTTTGCATTTGTAGGCCGTAGAATTGGAAGGGGCCTTGGGCGTCATCTGTTCCAACCTGTGGGAATGTTCAGGGAGGCAGGAGAGGTTATATTGTTTACTTATATCCTTCCCAACTTGTGTTAACAAGTTCTATGATTTAGCAGAGTAACAGTCTCCTTTTAAACTTTCACAGTGGATAGGTTTGCCAGGCTTGTATAAGCCTCTAAAATAAGTTTCCTGATAATTCCCCTTTATTCCCTCATAAAAAGAATAGACACGACACAGTCTTGTATTAAAGTATATAAAATTGTTTACTCACATTCTGTTCACAGAAGGATCCCAGAAGGCAGACTTAGGTTACAAAAAATATTCACGTGGAATCTATCCCATAAGGAGATAGTTCCTTTGTCCTCTCTTGGCTAAAAGCCAAGAGGTCATCTCAGGCTAAGATGTTTCTTCTTCGAGGAATGGAGTCAGAGAGAGAGATGACTGCCTCCCCTGTGCTATTTTGTTACCTGCACAGGTGAGGGTCACACCCACCTCTGGTCACATGTAGAGGAAGTTTGTCCCAGCCCAGGAGGAAACAAGAAGTTCCGACTGGCTGGTCCAGATATCCCTTTTTTATGTGCACTCTAGGAATGTTGCATTTGACTGCTCTGTGTTTCACACCCCACACAACCACCGCTGCTCAGTGCAGGATCTGCAATGCAGGATATAACCAAGGTATCCCTGACAAGTGGCTTGTCCAGCTTCTCCTCAATACCTCCAATAAAGGAGAGTTCATTCCCTCCCAAGGTAACAGGGCTGCACAATTTATTCCATCTATTTAGCCCATTAGGCATACAGTCGTACCTTGGAAGTCAAACGGAATCCATTCCGGAAGTCCATTTGACTTCCAAGACATTCGGAAACCAAGTCGCGGCTTCTGATTGGCTGCAGGAAGCTCCCACAGCCAATCAGAAGCTGCGAAATCTCCATTGGACGTTTGGCTTCCGACGGAACATTCGAAAACCGGAACACTCACTTCCGGGTTTGCAGCATTCGGGAGCCAATTTGTTTGGGAGCCAAGGCATTCAAGATCCAAGGTACGACTGTATAGGAAGTCGCCTTATCTCATTGGGCCACCTAGTTCAATACTTGTCACATGAATTTGTGTGCCAGTCAGTAATCACGCAGTTCAAAGATGGAGTTAATTCTTTATTAGCAAAAGCACACCCTCCACAGACTTGGTTGAGTTTCAGACCTAACTGTCCTTCTGGCGGTCTGCCGCCATGGAAATCAGTTGCCGAGACTGAAAGTCCCCACCTCCTGTCCAGGGTTCCCCCATCAAATAATCAGAGACTGCAGCTGTGTGGTCATCCTCGCCTCCGCCCTTCTCATTCCTCTTCTGGTTCTAGGAGACCAGAGGGGAGGGGAGCTAGGTGGATTGACTTGGCTCCCTGTGTTCCTAATGACTGCTGAATTGGGTTGGTCCACTGAAAAAAAAAAGAAAAAGAAAAAATCCTCCTCCATCTTCACCCGTTTGTCTGTGCACTTGGGAACTGCAGAGCAGCAAGGCAACAGTTGGGCATCTTGCCATTCCCATATGCTGCATGTTATATATCTATTCCCTGTAGGAAGGTGTAGGAAAATGCCTTGTGGCTCTTATCAACCAGTGGGTCAGGCCATGGCAGGAACTCAGAGGTTGTTTCCTGACCTGCTCCGCTAAACCTTTTTTAGTTGAACTTTCTGGGGAGCTGAAACCTCAACTTTTTGTACGTTTCTGAGTGCAGTTCAAAGTGTTGGTGCTGACCTTTAAAGCCCTAAACAGCCTCGGCCCAATATACCTGAAGGAGCGTCTCCACCCCCATTGTTCTGCCTCAACACTGAGGTCCTCCTCCGAGGGCCTTCTGGCGGTTCCCTCGCTGTGAGAAGTGAGGTTGCAGGGAACCAGGCAGAGGGCCTTCTTGGTAGTGGCACCCACCCTGTGGAACACCCTCCCATCAGATGTCAAGGAAATAAACAACTACCTGACTTTTAGAAGACATCCGGAGGCAGACCTGTTCAGGGAAGTTTTTAATGTTTGATGTTTTATTGTGTTTTTAATATTCTGTTGGGAGCTGCCCAGAGTGGCTGGGGAAACCCAGCCAGATGGGCGGGGTAGAAATAATAAATTATTATTATTATTACATGCAAATATATGGAACTGTGGTCTCTTCTCTCTGCAGAGTCCAGGAACGACTTAAAGAACAGGTTGACGAAACAGCCAAAGAAGCCTGCGAGGGTGGAGAAGGGGAAGAGGAAATTAAGGAGGAAGGCAACCAAGATGAGGATGCTGGTGAAAATCTGGGCAAAGGCAAGGCCGGTGGAGATGTCACTGATGAAGAAGAAACTTACGAAGGAGCCGAAGCCCAGGGCACAGAAGGAGAAGATGAGGAGTGGGCCATTGTGCCTGTCGACCCAGCTCTTGAAGAACTGGAAGAGTTGCTGGATTTTGATTCCTGGAAAGAGATGCTGAGAAGCATCAGTATCAGGGAGACCTTTGTCCCAGACTTGCCTTGCCACTCTCCAACTCCAGAGAAAGACATGCCCCAGCTGGAAGACAGCGATTCCTTACCCAAAGAAGCACCTTGGCGAAGCGCTGGTTCCACTGAGGCTCCCATTGTAGCCGAAGCCCCACCTCAACCACCACGCAGCTCATACTTTCGCGGCTTCCAACAGATGCCCTTTTTGGGTTCCTTTCCGCCCTTTCCTTTCGGAGGCCAGTTTGGGCCTGCACATGGGTGGATGTCTCATCCCAGGCTGGGCCGTGGCCCGTTTCAAGGCAGACGAGGGCCACGTAGCCATCCTTTTGGCCCCCGAAGGGGCCAAGGCAGAGGATATTATCCGAACACACAGACATCCCAACCCGGCGAAGGCAAAGCTTTCCCTCAGCATCGCTGGATGCCCCCTAGGAATGAGCCACCCAAGGCCAGAGAAGCCCAAGTCGCGGGGCAGGGAGGGCAGGGCAAGCCGGAAAAATCAGGTGGGGAGTCCTCAGTGACAGAGCACCCCAAACCAAGGGAGGCTCATGGTTCCGGGCGAATAGGAAGAGGAGGTTGGTCCAATAAGCAGAAGACCCAATCCAGTGCAGATCAAAGCGGAGGTGGATCTGTCAAGAACGAGGCTCGTGCCTCCGGTCAGGCAGGGTCGGGGCAAGGGCAAGGATCTGCAAAGAGGCCCCCAACCCCCAACAAAGGGGGCGAAGCCTCGGGAAACAAGGGCTCTCAGAATAAGTATCACGGAGGTCGAGGGCGTGGTAGGGGCCGGGGTTCAGCCAAGGGCCCCCAGAACAAATAGCTGTTTCCATCAGAGGTGGGTGCCGTTGGACGCCGAAAGAAGGACGTATTAAGAGAAGTGACCTTGTTTGGGGATGTGGTTTCATTCGTTGCACTTATCTCTCAGCCTCGGTCCATACTGGAGTTCATGCGCAGGAGAGCGCTCTTGCAACAACTGCTATGGGAAGAAGGACACGGGACTCGAGCGAGGCCTTTACTCTGGTCCACTGGCGTACTCTGGTGTGTCCAAGCCGCATATGATTAGCTGGTCAACGTAGGTGAAACGATTTAGAAACCTTTGGACTTTAGAATGTGCCTCTGATTAATTGAGCAGTAGTTTTCATTTGTTTTGTTTTTAATGCAATTATGTGCGTTTCGAGTACTTGGCAACAACAAAAGGCTGGCGCTTCGTTCCTTTCCAGAAGATGCATTTTTCCCTAGTCTCTCTATGGGTGGAAAGAAATGCTTTTCCTAAAAATAGGAATCTTTTTTCAGCTCAGGGGCCGCAGCGTCTTTTGGGTGCAGCCTTCTGGGGGCCAGAGGCAGAAAAGTGGGCAGAGCAATGCGTACAACTCCTCTCTCTCTCTCTCTCTCTCTCTCTCTCTCTCTCTCTCTCTCTACATTCCAGCCACACAAAACTCAGGTCCCCCCTCCCTGCACTCGCATTCCATCTCTCCATCCTCCCATCAGGCAAGCAAGATGTGTTATCGCAGTTCAAAGAGGCATTCAAAGCTGACAAAAGCAGACCGGGCGTGGAGCAAGGCAGGAGTGTGGCCTGAGAAAAGTCATAGGTTCATATAATTGAAGAGTTTGAAGGGACCCAAAGGACATCTAGTGCACCCCCTGCAATGCAGGAATCTCAGCTAAAGCATCCCTGACAGATGGCCATCCAACCTCTGCTTAAAAACCTCCACATAAAGAGAGTCCACAACCTCCAGAGGGAGTCTGCTCCACAGCCGAACAGCTCTTAACTGTCAGAAAGCTCTTCTTGATATTTAGTCGCCATCTACTTTCTTGTAATCTGAAGCCATTGGTTCAAGTCTGACCTTTCAGAGCAGGAGAAAACAAGCTTGCTCCCTCTTCCAGGTGACAGCCCTTGAGATATTTGAAGATGGCTATCCTATCTCCTCTCAAGTCTCCTCTTTTCCTGGCTAAACATACCCAGCTCCTTCAACCATCACAGGCCAGATTCTTGTTTTGGATTGTAGACCCAGTGTGAAGTCCAAAAACCCCCTGTAGCAACCTAGGTTTGCGAAAAGGCGGTTTGTACGTGACAAACTTGAGTTGGTAGAGGGTCTGGCTCATTGGGAATGCTGTGTGTTTTCCGTTTTCCTTTTTTTGAAGTGGTGATTATCAGCCTGAGTACGTAAGGCAGATTATACAGTAGAGTTAACATACTTCCCCCCACAAAATACTATATTCTTGTATTGGGAGTGTTGTAAACAAAATCTGCCCTTTTTCCTTTATGGGGTATCCAAGAGCCCATATAGAGTCCTTACGTGGGTTCCCTGTTGGTAGGAGACAATAACAGAGGCCAACCAGAGAATATTGAGAAGCAAAGCAGCTAGTAAGCCTGATCTTTATTGATCTGTTGCAACAGGGTGCTCCCCTCTCAGCAGGAAAGGAGGAGGACCCAGAACAAAGGTGTGCCTGCCCTTATATAGACATTTTAAATTCCCTTGCCTGGAGCTCAAGACCACCCCTCCATACATCACACATACATCACAGAAGGGGTGTAACCCAAGACCACCCCCCACAAACATCATACCTACATCACAGAAAAGGCGGTCTACAACAGAAATTTGAATGTTGTTGTTTTTCCTGTCTGCCAGGTTATCTGATAATGCCTTATCTGATTGCCTTTCCTGGTAGTCTGTCACCCTTCGAAACGGTGATTACTAAATTCCTGTAACAAGGAAGGTTTTTTTACCTCCTCCCTCCTTGCAGAGAAACATTTGGTCAGCTTGGGACTCAAAATGGTTTCAGGACTGTCTTCCTGTGCTGCTTCAGACATGTGTTTTATATATTTATGTACGCGTTTGCTTGGTACATTTATGAACATTTATTATATATCTAAGACCTTAAAATTCTTATAACAGGAGTTACAAGCTCTAGAACTCACTTGCAATACACTTGATGGGAAAGGTTTTGCTGTGCAGAACTGCTCCCCAATTTAGACTTCTAGTAACCAGCACAAAGGTGCCTTGTGTTGCAACTCCATGCCTGAAATTATATAGCTAAATTCAAATGGATGTTAATGGCTCTTGTCTTCTGTGTTGAAATGTATTCGGCCCCCACCTCTTAAATAAATGCTTTCCTTCTTTAAAAAATAAAATAAAATTCCTGAGTCTCCTCATGAAGCTGATAGCGAATGGTTCAGACTACCAGTTCAGCATGTTCATAAAAGAGCATGGAAATATATAGTTCAGGACTGTTGATTTATGCTTCTTTGCTGCACAAAGCTATTATAGTCTTTATTGAGCATTTCTTCTGATACATTTATGTGGAGGCTGTTTGACAATAAGCACTCATTCTGATTCGCTTGTAGGGCATTTTTAAGTCTTCCCAGTAATCTAATCATTCCATGCTTTTCAGTGCCTCCCCTCCCATCTCTCTTAACAACAAAAAATAAATAAAAAATCTTTATAAAATGGATCTGTTGTGCTAGGGGCAAAAGAGCTCTTAAATACCCTTTAATTGGGCCAAGTTCTTGGTATCCCCACCACAGAACAATGACCATCTGGAGCAGGGGTCAGCAAACCTTTTGCATGCATGGGTAGGCAAACTAAGTCCCAGGGGCCGGATCCAGCCCAATTCTCAAACCGGCCCACAGACAGTCCAGGAATCAGTGTGTTTTTACATGACTAGAATGTGTCTTTTTATTCTCCCCCTTCTCCCCATGCTTGGCACTCGAAATACAGCCTTAGTGGCATGGAAGGCACTAGGGAGGCCAGAAAACTTGGTATTTCCAGAGCATGTTTCTTAGCATCCATGCCACATGGAACACTGCTGTAGCAATGTCTCAAAGGAGTCCTGGTTGGAGGAGGTGTAGCTGCTCCCTTCTCCAGCAAACCAGCACCAGAAACCATTGGCCATTTAAAAAGATTGGGGGTCAGGGTCATGATTACAAGGGAGAGGGATTCATATCCCATTGGGTTCCTGGTGCCACAGGGAATGTGCCAAAGCTTCAGTTGTATTTGGAATCCAGAGAGAGCTTTCTCCAGATTAAGAAATAGCAGCTTCCCAAGCCCAATAAGGCTGATTTGGAGAAACTGTTATTCATCTTCTAAGAGGACCATCTTCAATCAAGCACATGCACCATTGAAGCTTAAAACGATGAGGACGGGACGTTTTGGGTTCTAAATAAAAGGAAAGGAGGGCCTAACCTTCACCTGTCTCCTGTGAGAGTTAACTAGGTATCTTTTCCTACATAGATCTAGCCATGTGGTAAAGTAATGGGTAATAAGTGAGATGTTGACGTGGTTGGTCTACCAAATACTGCATTTCAATTCATTCATCATTTCGTCCTTCACCCCTGCCTTGCTGCTGTGGCACTGGACATGATAATGGTGCCTTTGAGATGGCACTAGGAAGCTGCCTTCCTTGACTCTGACCAGCAGCTGTCCAGAGGTTCAGATAGTGGCCCTTTCCAGCTTTCTCTGGAACTGCTAAGGATTGAACCATGCAAGGTGGATGTTCTGAGTGATGGCCCATCATAAGTGAGAGGGCACAGTGGCCAAAGTACTGCCACTCTTCACTGCCTCATGATAGGCCACGCTTGTGCCACTCTTCCCAATTCAACCGCATTCCCCTCCCTCAGCCCCACCCTGATTCAAAGACAAACTCTGACAAAAGGACTGTACAAAATGCAAAGCGCTTTATTCACCACATAAATGGAAAGGACTAAAAAAAAAAAAAAAACCACCCCCAAACATCTATATATTAGTGTAAAAATTCTGTCTTTTTCTCCTGCTTTTCAAATATATACACATCCTGATGCACAGTACAAAGAAGACGCAAACAGCTACAAGTATTCCCCAGGGAAACGCACACAAAAAAAGGCATTCGACAAGATTGCGTAGAGGCAACAAATCAGAGAAGTAACGGCGGGCATAACGCGCCCCTGAAATTTCTTGAAATAGAAATATACATCTAGTTATGATGAGTCGTTTCACACCATTGAAAATACGTAATTAAAAAAATTAGTTTGTCCTCGTTAAGCAGAAGCAAGTCATGACTAAGGCTGCAATCCTATGTGCGCTCACTTAAAAGAAAAACCCCTTCAACTTACTGGGACTTCCTTCCTGATTGAACATTTTAGGATTGTGGTGTATATATCCCATTGAAAACAATGGGATGGGGCTTATGCTGCAAACCCCCTGCAAATGGACCTGGGCGTTTGCCCCAGTGAACTAAGTGGAACGTTGAGTGAACAGACGTTGGCTTGCACTGCCCCGGCATTGATTCTGAAGGACGGTGCTTGGTAGAGTTAATTTCCATCTTTGTATTCTCTTGGTTACTGCTTTGATAATCTGCCACCCCCTAACTTATAAATGCTCTCTGCAACTATCTACTCAAAAAGCTTTAAATTTTGAAAGACGCTTGATGAAACGGATCCGCTCTTAGTCGACGGAAAATGCTACTTTTAACTTTAATTGGGAAACCCAAGAACACTGGGAGGAAGAAAAAACATTATTTCCCTCTCCTTCCCACTAAACGGGGCATTGGCACCGGCAAAGCTTATTGCATGGGTTACCTGTTAAGAGGAACTTCCTGTATAGAGACACCCCCTGATCTAGCACAAATCGAAGTACAGGCTTCTATGCGGACAGATCCCACTGCCGCTGAGCACGACCGTGGTGCTGAGTTTCAGGCTACGTTCTCGGGGGAGTCTCCACAATGGAATCGCAGAGAGAAAGGGGGGGGATGGATCGATTCCCCCAGCACCTCTGCTTGCTTTGGAAAAGTGCGTCCCTTCGCCACTGCTTCGTGCAGTACAGTATCTACAATCACGTCACCTCAAGTCTCCAGGAAAGGAAGGGGAAACGAATTCAGGAGAGAGGAGAGCCGGGCATGGCTTGGATCTGTGGCACGTGGCTAAGGGAGAACAGAAAACCAGCCCTTTTGGAAACCAAGGGTCAATTCCCTTTTTGAGGTTGGGCCATGATTGTACCCAGCCCAAAGCCTCACCAGATCTTGCCAGCCTGGTCTCCTGCCAAGAGGTACCCCCCCCCCCCGCTCCCACCCCACTTACCCCTACAGAGCAGCTAGTACTGGGTTCTCCCAGCTACAATGGATTAGCAAAGTACCCTCGAAATCATTTCTTCCAGCCTCTCCAAACATCCAGTGCTCAGTTAATCCCAGTGTGCTCAGAACAAAGGGTCCTTATTGGTTCAGCCAGTGTCAGTCCAGTTGTGAATGAAACTCAAAGGCAGAAATGTAGCCCCCCAAGTGTGGAGTTGCCCACCCCCAACTTTCTCAGGAAGGGATGGCAGGTAAGAGAGTCACACTCTCTGGGAAAAGAGTATGGATGGGCAGGAAAGAGAACAGAGAGCAAGTTCTCAAAGGGTAAAATACTGAGCCTCCATAAAGCAAGGTTGTGGCGATGGGGGAAAACTTTTTGTTTCCCCCTCCAGGCTCCCCATAACCAGCACTAAACATTTGCTTCCCAAGATAGTTGGAATATGCACAGTCAGAAGAGCATGAGACTCTAAATTTCAGGGTCGTGGGTTTGAGCCCCAAGTTGCGCAAAAGATCCCCATATTGCAGCAGAAAAGACTCATAATTCCATGATTCTAAGAGACCCTTGCATGCGGTTGTTCTGCCTACTGCTATGTGCAAATGTCTGAGGATGGGAGCATCCACCAAGCTTCTGCACCAAAAACGGGATTTTGGTCATGGCTTCTCCAGCCCCTCCTGAAATCACACACACACACACACACACACACACACGGGAGAACGTATTAGAACGTAGGCACATCTCTTCCTAATCCATCTGGCATGATGGGCTGTATTGAGGGGCAGTCACCTACACACAGAGACAGAGTGAGTCAATGAGGATCCATAGCTGGAGGTCTGTAAAGTTGCCCATATCCTAGCTGGTCAGGTGGGGAAGGTTACACCTGCCTGAGGCTCCTAAACCTCGCTCTGTGACCTACACCAGCGGGATCCTGGTGTTTCATGGTCCTTGGCGGAAGAGGTCAGCTCCACCGAAAATCCTTGATAATCACAGCACTGTCACATTGGCCCAACAGAATGAAGTTCAGCGTGGAATTCATTCTTAGTTTTGGGGGGTGTTCAGAAGTGTCCTACATAGCTTTATCTCAATAATGGTTACAGGAACCCTGTAAAGTAGGCTGGTGTCATTACACACCCACCCTCGATACTACAGCTAAGGGACCATAGCCAAGGGAACAGGGTTAATTAAGGCCACCTAGCGATAAGATCTGAATCCAGGTCTTCCAAGTTTATACACTTAGCCATCTATCGTAGCTGCAGGGACACTGCGCCCAGCATGGAACTGCCCAGATGGAAGCGAGTGGATGAGCATTGGCTAATCAGAAGACTTGTAACCTGGCACAACGTTGATAAAATGAGGTTAGGGAGGGCCTTCTAGCAGACAACAACAACCCGTGCTGCCTTAGTGGGAGGCTCAACTCACACTTTGAGAACCTGGATATAGAGGGGAATAACAAAACAGGTCTGTGGATGAAAGGAATTCAGTCGAAACACAGTCAACATGTGGGTACTGGAGAAGTTTGTTCAGATTAAGGCAGATTGATTGAATCAAAGTAGAATTGCATTAGACAGGAAGAGGGATCAGGACGGGAAGAGAATAGGGTATGTATGTGGAATAGGTAGGCCAGAAAACAGAGAAGGGGAAATGTGTTGGAAATGTATGGCAGTGCTGAATCATGAGGTGTTTGAGAGACGGTTAAAGATTAGCAGAAGAGAGTGATGGAGCAATTGGGGTAGGGAGGGGGAGAGAGAGAGAGAGAATGCCATGTTGAGGAGTGGATGGAGGGCAATGGGTGGACCAACCAAGGCTGAGTCAAGGATGGGCAGACAAGATGCCCCCCACAGGCACCCCAGAGCCTGAGGCCCTCTTGAGTTACATCCTGCCTCCTCCCTCAGCAGTCTCTGTGGCGCAACCAGAGTCCTTAAACATAATCTCCATTGGCCGGCACCAATCCGGTTCACACCATATTGAGGGCATCTTCAGCCAGGAAGCGGTGCAGATGTTGGAAAGATGGGCGGTCCTTGGCCTCTCTTGCCCAGCACCTCAGCATCATCTCGTAGACAGCCAGCGGGCAGGCAGGCGGACGAGAGAGATAGACCTGGGGAGGGAGGGTGAAAGGAAGGATTACAAGGTAAGTCATGGGAGGAGCTCAGAGAATTGGAGGGGCAGGTTGGGGGGGGCGAGAAATTGGGCCCATGGGAGGAGTTCAGTTTGGGGGAGGGCCCCAGTGGATTGAGAAAAGGAGCTCTGGATTATAAGGGAAGGGCTAGTGACTGCGGGGGGGGGGGGAGGTTTACAGCATCAAGAGATGGGAGCTTCTAAGCACATACTCAGGAACATGTAAATAACAGGACCAGGGCTGTGCATGTGGCTAGCATGAAGAAATCCCCACATCCTGTCACACACAAAAAGAACATTCGTGGTTCTACCCCCAAGCGTCATGCAGAAGGAAGTTCAGAAAGCTTTCGCTGGTGTCGTCGTTGTTGCTATGGCTAAACAACCGGGAGTCAGAAATCCTTGATGATCCACTGCAGGTGAAACCCCCAAACCCTTTTGGAGCCCAGGGGCTCATTTGAAAATCTAATAAACCACCGCTGTGAAAGAAAATAACCCGTTTTACTGAAAGAAAACTGGCAATGCTCAGAATGCACGCTCTCAAAAAAAAAGGTAACACAAAAGAAAACAGAGACCCCAAAAATATTCATGTAACCTCCGAATCAAAGAATGGAAACACCCAAACCCACCAAGTTAAAATAATAATAATAATGGAGGGGCAGGTGCCAAGGGTTGTGTGTCTGAGAGTGCTATTGTGAGCACAGGTGCCATGTTGAGGAACCCAGATCTTATTGCAGATCACCCAGAAATCTTCTCATAGCTCCTGATCTGCCTTCCACCCACCCCAGCGGCACAGATTCCTGGAGCAGTCATCGCCTCCGGCCAGGCTCCCCGGTTGTTGTTACCTGCTTGCCCTGGTGCCGGAAGAACTCGCCAGCGTTCTCGATGACGGCTTCGTCAGTGAGCTGGCTGTAGGGCTGCTCCTGGCACAGCATAAGGACCTCCCAAAGTGTGACGCCAAACGCCCAGACGTCGCTGGCTGTGGTGAACTTGCCCTGAGGGAAACAGAGCAGGAAGGTGAATAACAGAGGCCATATTTACTCCTTGGTGGTCCTGGCACTCCCCACCCTGTTCATCCCTCACTTTCTGCCTTCGTCCTCAAGCACTGGGCGCTGTGGCCTAAATCACAGAGCCTTGGACTTGCCGATCCAAAGGTCAGCGGTTCGAATCCCTGCGACGGGGTGAGCTCCCGTTGTTCGGTGCCAGCTCCTGCCCACTTAGCAGTTCGAAAGCACCTCAGAGTGCAAGTAGATAAATAGGTACTGCTCCGGCGGGAAGGTAAACGGCGTTTCCGTGAGCTGATTTGGTTCGCCAGAAGCGGCTTAGTCATGCTGGCCACATGACCCGGAAGCTGTCTGCGGACAAACACCGGCTCCCTCTGCCTATGTATGCATCTCTCGTAATAGGGACGCGGGTGGCGCTGTGGGTTAAACCACAGAGCCTAGGGCTTGAACCTTTGGGAGGTCGGTGGTTCGAATCCCCGCAACGGGGTGAGCTCCCGTTGCTCGATCCCTGCTCCTGCCAACCTAGGAGTTCAAAAGCACATCAAAGTGCAAGTAGATAAATAGGTACCGCTCCGGCGGGAAGGTAAACGGTGTTTCCATGCGCTGCTCTGGTTCACCAGAAGCGGCTTAGTCATGCTGGCCACATGACCTGGAAGCTGTACGCTGGCTCCCTTGGCCAATAAAGTGAGATGAGCGCCGCAACCCCAGAGTCATTCACGACTGGAGTTACTGTATTTTTCGCTCTACAGGACGCACTTTTTCCCCTCCAAAAAGTAAGGGGGAATGTGTGTGCGTCCTATGGAGCAAATGCAGGGTCCTTGGCTTCAGCGATAGCAACGCGAAGCCTCCGAAGCGCAGAGGGAGCGCTCCCTCTGCGCTCTGGAGGCTTCGCGTTGCTTTCGCTGAAGCCTAGAGAGCGAGAAGGGTCAGTGCGCACCGACCCCTCTCGCTCTCCAGGCTTCAGGGATAGCTGCCTGAAGCCTTTGGAGCGCAGCGGGAACTCACGCTGCGCTCTGAAGGCTGCGGGTTCCTTTTGCTGAAGCCGGGAGAGCAAGACTCCCCTGGCTTCAGCAGAGAGGGAGAGCTACGCAGCGCCCCTTCAGCCAAGCGGGAGGAGAAATGGAAGGGGCTCCGTTTCTCCTGCCGCTTCACTGAAGGGGCGCTGAGCAGAGAGGGGGAGAATTTATAGGTGCGTCCTATAGAGCGAAAAATATGGTAATTGTCAGGGGTCCCTTTACCTCAAGCACTTGGAAGACCTAGGCCCCATCTTCACAGTCAAAGCAGTGTCGCGTCACTTTAAAGCAGTGATGGCTCACTGCAAAGGATCCTGGGAACTGTAGTTTGTTAAAGGTGCTGAAGGGTTGTTCCCCTTGCAGAGTTACAGCTCCCAGAATTCCCTGGGAAGAGGCACTGGCTGTTAAACCACTGTCATGCTGGACTGCAGAGGAATGGTGGCAGGAACCAGCCGGGGAACCCCCAAGGAAAGATGACTCAGAGCCCGGGGATTGGTGGTGAGACAACGATGGGTGGCCAGAGGGAGGAGACTGGGGGGAGGAAGTGGCGGAGGTTGAAGAGGGAACAGGGAATAGTGAGCTGGGAGGACACAGTCCTTTTTGTTGGGCATAATTCAGAGGGAAATTCCCAGGTGTCAAAAAAGACTATTTATGTATGCCACTACTGCAGCCTGTGTTTTGTTAGCCCAATAGAAAACGAGCGAGGTCCCAACCAAAGAATAATGGCAACTTAATGCTGTATTTTTAATATTTGGTTGGGCGCCGCCAGCCAGATGGGTGGGGTATAAATAAATTATTATTATAATTATTATTATTAAACTTAAACTGATGGAATATGCACAGCTTGCAGATTTAACATACAGTATAAGAGAACAAAAAGAATGTACGTTTAAAGAAGACTGGAAAATGTTTACTGGATATATGGGTGAAAATTGTGTTCATTTAAAAACGCTGGCAGCATCAAGATATATTCAACAGTGTAAATAAGTTTTGATTTGAAGTTCTTTGAGAGAAACAGGAGCCCCACCACAGCTCTCAGCACCCTTAACGAACGGCAGTTCCCAGGGTACTTTGAGGGAAGCCGTGCCTTTTTAAAAAGGGGCGTGCACAGTGCAGGCGAGACCGTCCGTCTTTTAACATATCAAACGCTCGGTTGTTTTTGCCGGCCACTGAAAGCAACTCCATTTTGAACAGGGAAATGGCAACTAACAGAGGCGAGGCAAATGAGAAGGGCAAAGCATATGAGACGACCCTCAAAGCAGGCATGGGAAAATCCTTTGGCTCTCTCTGGATCTTGTTGGAGGAGTTGTAGCCCAGCAACATCCAGCAGGCCACAGGCTTCCCACCCCTGCTTTATAAAAATTTTACTTTATTTTAATGTATTTTTAATCTTTGTTGGAAGCCCCCCAGAGTGGCTGGGGAGACCCAGCCAGATGGGCAGGGTACAAATAGTAAATTATTATTATTATTATTATTATTATTATTATTATTCGGTGCTCTCACCATGAGGATGCACTCCCAAGCCATCCAGCGGATCGGCAGCACTGCCCGGCCCTGGATGCGGTAATAGTCCCCAGCGTAGAGGTTCCGGCTCATGCCAAAGTCAGCGATCTTGATGGTGAAGCCTTCGCCTACCAGGCAGTTCCGCGTCGCCAGATCGCGGTGCACAAAGTTGAGGGAGGCAAGGAACGCCATTCCTGAGGCAATCTGGGCCCCCACGTGGACCAGGGTAGGATAGCTAAGTAGCGGGGGGGGGGAGAGAGAGAGAGAGAAAGGCACGTCAGGAACACTCCCCTGAGACCGAAGAGATGCAAGTGATATTCCCATCAGACACTGGGGTAGCTCTGTAAAGTGCTGGCCTCCCGGGAACGCAACCAATCAAGTTAGGATGCAATTGAATGGGACGGAATTTTCCCTCAAGACTTTAGTGAATTATGAATCCAGAGCATAGCTGTCAACGTTTCCCTTTTTTTATGGGAAATTCCCTTATTACGAATAGGATTCCTCGCAAGAAAAGGGAAAAGTTGACAGCTATGATACAGAGGAACATCAAAGCTCACTCTTTGCTGGCTGGCCCAGGACTTTTTACTTTGGTAGGTCTTGGCCAGGGAGAAAAAGATGCCACACGTATTTTGAAACGCGTGCAGAGACTTCAAAATTGAAATTCATCCTTTGAAATTAAAGACCCAGGTAGCTGCTTTTAAAATGCTCAGCTACAAAGGCTTGTTCACGAATCCTCAAGCTACACTGTTTAGGCACCGGCTTGCCAAACACAATACTTTTCTACCACTTAAAAACAGTAACGGCCCTCTTAAATGCCGCAGCAAGTGCTGGAAAAAAATTCTGAAAGGGTAGTCTCTGTTAACCTCTTGCCTCGGAAACGTCCGAAAAATAACTGCTGCACCTGAAATGCACACCTGACGACTGACGCCATCAGGGCAGGACTTCCAAGGCAAAACGGTTGGATTCTGCTGCCATGGAATCACAGTTGGAAGGGACCATGAGGGTCATCTAGTCCAACCCCCTGCAATGCAGGAATCTTTTTGCCCCACGTGGGGCTCGAACCCACGACCTTGAGATCTCATGCTCTACTGACTGAGCTACCCCAGCTTGGAGTCGGTACCCGATTGTCGGCTTCCCGCTGGGGCTCCCGCCCAGCTTGTCTTCCATCTCATGTCCGCTGAGGAACTGGTTGAGGTCTCCGTTCTCCATGTACTCCGTGATCATGCACAGGGGGTCGTCTCTCACACAAACGCCCAGGAGCCGGACGATGTTGAGGTCTTTCAGGCGAGACATGATCTTCACCTCCTTCAGGAAATCGTTCCTTGACAGGCAAGAAGAAGAAGTTGTCAGGGATAAACAAATAAAAGGGTTCTGCAGATCGAAAGATGAAGGTGCAAAAAAAAAAGGGGGGTGGTGGTTGGAGAAACCTGACTAAAATAAAATAAAATAAAATACAGTGGTACCTCGGGTTAAGTACTTAATTCGTTCCGGAGGTCCGTACTTAACCTGAAACTGTTCTTAACCTGAAGCACCACTTTAGCTAATGGGGCCTCCTGCTGCCACCGTGCCGCCGGAGCACGATTTCTGTTCTCATCCTGAAGCAAAGTTCTTAACCTGAAGCACTATTTCTGGGTTAGCGTATGTAACCTGAAGCGTATGTATCCAGAGGTACCACTGTAAAGTGAAGTGAAGTGAAGTGAAGTGAAGTGAAGTGAAATTTATATCCCGCCCTCCCCAGCTGAAGATGGGCTCAGAGCGGCTAACAACGATAAAAGTAACACAGCATTCTAAAATCAATTCATTATAAAACCAATTTAAAATCAAATTAATGGCAACCATTGGGCTAGAGTTCTGTGAGGATTACCAAAGGAGGGGGTCAGGCTGTGCCCTGGTCAAAGGCCTGGTGGAACAGCTCTGTCTTGCAGGCCCTGCGGAAAGATGTCAAGTCCCGCAGGGCCCTAGTCTCTTGTGACAGAGCGTTCCACCAGATCGGGGCCACAGCCGAAAAAGCCCTGCCTCTGGTTGAGGCCACATCTGGCAACCGTGAAGCCTGAATTCTGCAAACTGGTACAAATTAGGCAACTGACAAAATCCCAATTGACCAGAAACATTTGGGAAGTCCTGCCTCAGCACTTGTGACAAGGTGCCCCACTCATAGCATCTCCCGGGCTGGTTTCAAGCAGAGGAGGTGAGATAATGGTGGTCACATGAATGGGGCTGACTCTAGCTGTTAGGTCCCTGCCTAACTCAGGGCCTGCAGCCCAGCCAGGGACAATCACATCCCTTAAATCCCATCAGCCCCTGCTCAAAGGCAAGTCAGAACAAAACTGGAAGCAGGAGAATAAAGATATAGAGAATAGAGGGGAATACTCAAGTGATAGGACCCAGGATTGCAGAGATCCCATTAGCAGATGTTTTGAACATGAGGTTAGATAAATCCCTTCCAGAAGAGGGCCTGACATTCAGTTAAACCAGGCATAGGCAAACTCGGCCCTCCAGATGTTTTGGGACTACAATTCCCATCATCCCTGACCGCTGGTCCTGTTAGCTAGGTATCATGGGAGTTGTAGTCCCAAAACATCTGGAGGGCCGAGTTTGCCTGAGTTAAACTGTGGAACTCACCCCCCATAGGAGGCAGCTGGCGGCCACCAACTTGGATGGTTTTATTATCACATTTCTGTATTGCATTAGATTAATATAAAGATGTACATTTTTTGTTCCTTCAGCTTGTAAACCGCCTTGAGTATGGTAAGATAGAAAGATGGTATACAAATTAAAAATGATGATGATGATGATGTTGAGGCCTGGGCAAATTTTATGGAGGATCAGGCTACCAAACTACACACACATACACACACACACAGGCAGAGAGGTTTGTACACTTACCTGGCATTCTTAGTGGCGTCAGAGCGTAGAATCTTCACAGCCACCAGCAGAGGGCGCCCCTTGCGCACATTGAAGGGGAACTCCAGGCTCGGAAGGTCCTGCGGGTTTTCCACTTCACACAAGTGGACCTTTTTAAGGAAAAAAAAGCAAACCTGGTGACTCTGGGAGGAAGGAAGAGAACAAGAAACCAGCCTCATCTCCCCCCCCCCCTTTCTCCATCACTTCGTGGCTCCATTGCAAAGCAAGCAGGGCCAGTTGTGACATTCCCACTCTTCACGTGAAAATGCACTTGAAGAAGAAGAGTTTGGATTTGATATTCCGCTTTATCACTACCCTAAGGAGTCTCAAAGCAGCTAACATTCTCCTTTCCCTTCCTCCCCCACAACAAACACTCAGTGAGGTGAGTGAGGCTGAGACTTCAGAGAAGTGTGACTGGCCCAAGGTCACCCAGCAGCTGCATGTGGAGGAGCGGGGAAGCGAACCTGGTTCACCAGATTACGAGTCCACCGCTCTTAACCACTACACCAGCTTGCCAAGTGTTGGGTGCCAACTCAACTCAACTCAACTCTGGTTGCCAACTGATGGGTGTTTTACCTACCCATTCGGCATTTTAGCTCAGGTTTTGTAATCAGGTAAGTTTGTGAAAACTGCACATGATTGTGAGAGGTTCCCCCCCTCCTCCACTGACTCCATTCCCTTGATCAGTTAAGCTCCACCCCCTTGTGGCCTAAACTCGCCAAGCTCCACACCTGACGTTCCAAAATCGGCACTAGTAACCTGTCTTTTGGCCCCACCAACTGACCTGTGGCTCCACCCAGTGACCAGATATTTTTACCTGAAGCAAAAACACAACAATATGTCCCACCCACCCACACTGGGCTTCACAGCACCCACCATCCTTTCCAAATAAAAAAGGGGTCAGAAGCCAAAGGCTTCTGGAAATCTGCCGCAAGTGCAGGGAACTTGTGGCTCTCAAGATCAGCCCCAGTCAGCATCACCAGTGCTCAGGTATGACGGGGGTTGTAATCCAGCCAAACCTGGAGAGCACAGGCCGCCTCTACCCTTGGAGGGCCCAGCTTCCCAGGCTCTCAACTGTTACGCCTTTCCTGGCCTTGTTTTTCCCTAGGCCTTCAGCTTATTATTTACTCTTGCTTCAGCACGTGGCGCAGGTCATAAACAGAGGAGCTTTGCGAAACAGGTTTGTCTTGAGCAGATGGGAAGTCTTCCAAGTGCAAAACCTCAGCATCACTCAGCATGTTCTCGCCTGACATTTTTAAAGCCCTATGAAAGTACGTGTAAACTAAGAAGCAGAGGTTGATGAACGTATCCCCACAAAAGAAAACTGCCCACTAAGAGCTGTTGAGCCTTGGCAACGCGCTTAATTATAGGGCTGACTAACTAAGGAATTGGTGATGCATGGAAGCATAAAGAAGGCTGGTCACCAAAGAATTGATGCTTTTGAATTCTGGTGCTGGAGGAGACTCTTGAGAGTCTAATAGACTGCAAGAAGATCAAACTTATCAATTCTGAAGGAAATCAGCCCTGAGCGCTCACTGGAAGGACAGATCCTGAAGCTGAGGCGCCAATACTTTGGCCACCTCATGAGAAGAGAAGACTCCCTAGAAGAGACCCTGATGTTGGGAAAGATGGAGGGCAGAAGGAGAAGGGGACGACAGAGGGCGAGATGGTTGGACAGTGTTCTCGAAGCTACCAGCATGAGTTTGACCAAACTGCGGGAGGCAATGGAAGACAGGAGTGCCTGGCGTGCTCTGGTCCATGGGGTCACGAAGAGTCGGACACAATTAAACGACTAAACAACAACAACTAAGGAATGTCAATTACACAGCACAGAGACACCAGGGAAGGAGGACAAGGGCAAGCAACGCTGTCTGAATAATCTCAGTTCCATGCATACAATTTCTGCTGCTGTAATGGATTTGAGCATGGTTTTAATTTTGAGAATCATTTGCACGCTGCTTTGAGATCCTCTCAGGTCTGTAACACAGGATATGATATTTCTCAATAATTTTTTAAAACCTTGCACTTTAGCGGTATTGACTATTGGAAAGGCAGTAGGTCAGTGGTGGTCCCAAAGTTTAATCCCCAGCATTTCCCAGGGGCGTTGAAATTCCGGAGAGATGCTGCTGCCAACCAGGCCAGGAGAAGGCAATTTTGTGATTGTCCAAAGTTGTTGGGACCCCAATTCTAATCAGCCTCAGATAGCATGGCCAACAGCCAGTGAAGAGGATTAAACTAATTAGCTGATTTGTTACAAAAGTTAACCCCAATGGAAATAAATAAAGCATACATTTAAACCAGCATAAAAACAAAGCAAAGAAGCTCATTCATATTTTAAAAAGGCAGGGCTAAAATATCTCACCCACTGAAGGAGGCCACAGATAACCAAAAGCCAAAGTTCTTGCCTGGTGCTTAAAGTTAAGTCATGACGGCACCAGGCGAGCTTCCCTGGATAGGGCATTTCACAAGCAGGGAACCACCACTGAAAAGGCCCATTCCAGATCTCCCCTGGATGGGGCACACAGAGACAGATTCGGAGTGGCATTGGGTGCCACGCTGCAGGCACTAAGACAATGGTCTAGAATGGAGCACGAGAGGTGGGGAGGAGGCACCAAATTATAGTGCCACGCAGGGCACCGCTGAAATTTGAGAGCCCCAAGTCTGCCACTGGCACAAAGAAGGGCTCAGGTGGCTCTTTTCGTGGCGGGTGGGGGCTGTTAATAGGTTGTTCTTATTCTGATCATATATGTTGTGATCTTTTCTGTGAACCGCCCTGAGACCTCCGGGTATAAAGAGGAGAAGAAGAAGAAGAAGAAGAAGAAGAAGAAGAAGAAGAAGAAGAAGAAGAGGAGTCTGGATTTGATATCCTGCTTTATCACTACCCTAAGGAGTCTCAAAGCGGCTAACCATCTCCTTTCCCTTCCTCCCCCACAACAAACACTCTGTGAGATGAGTGGGGCTGAGAGACTTCAGAGAAGTGTGACTGGCCCAAGGTCACCCAGCAGCTGCACGTGGAGGAGCGGGGAAGTGAACCCGGTTCACCAGATTACAAGTCTACCGCTCTTCTATAAATTCAATAAATAATAATAATATGGGGAGAGGTGGTCCAGTAGTTCACATGGGGATGACAGCAGCTGAAAATTCAACAGGATGTGGAGAGAACCACTTTGGCTGCTCCTGACAGAGGCAATGCAGAGCTGGTGCACCAGAGGTCTGACTCAGTGAAAGGTACATTTCCTGCGTCCCTTCCCCTTGTGCTCTGCTGTTATGTTTCTTTAAAAGTCCATCCCGTCTTCCCTCCGAAACAATCATCCACAGCAGCCTTCATCATCTTAAAAAATTTCCTTCTACACCTACAGATGGACTCACCTCTCCAAACTGCCCTTCGCCCAGCTTCTCCTTGAAGACGAGCCTCTCCCGGGGGAACTCGCCCAGCGCCATGTCCTTGCCAGCGAGGGCGTCCACCGCGATAGCCGGGACCGCGTAGGTGTTCCCACCAGTCACCCCTTGCAGGTTGATGATGTCAGCTTCAGCGTAATGCGGAACGTTGTTCTGGAAGCCTGGCTGGCTGCCCGCGGTTTCCGGTTCCATGTAGTCAGCGCCACAAGCTGTGGGAACGAAAGACAGGGATAAGGAAACATGGAGCGAGTCCACTTCCCCCAGCTAACGCGGTGAGGTTATTTGCCCCGCCCTGAGGATGGCTGCTTTTTGCAGGGACCCAGCAGCCGGGTCAAACGCAAGAGCCAGTTGGATCTCAGCTCTGGGCAGAAGGGACCCTGCGCAAATCCTCGCCCCCTCCAGCCACCCCGGAAGCTGCTGCGTCGCAGAACCTGCAAAGCGGAAAGTTGCAACATTGTCTGAGCCAGAGAGAGAGAGAGAGGTTAGCCATGCACAGGATAGACAAGAGGGAAATGAACTGGGGACAGACATATGGTGTGTGGGGAGGGTGGGTGGGAAGAGAGATGGAGACAGACAGCGCCCCCTGGCAGGAGAGGGGGAGAAATGGCAGTAGGCAGAAGGTTCTCTCAGCTTGGAATGTGGCCACCCAGGTTTTTCCCCCGTCGCGCCACACGAGTTTGGCCGCCCTCCTTACCATTGGTGTTGATTGGCTTAACCCGGTTGGGTGGCGGGAAAGCAGGCCTTCCCATTGGCTGGGCATAAGTGGCCAGGAAGAGGTGGTAAGCCGGGTTGCTGAGCAGCAGAGCTGTCGGGAGAACGGGGAGGGCGGGCGGAGAAAACAAACGGGACGGATGAGGAACGGACAGACGGATGGAAGGACGCACACGGAAGGGAAGGCGTGACACAGAGAAGAGGCAGCGCTTTAGGGATCCCTGTCCCTTGCCGGGGCGCTCTCGTCCCAAACACAACAGCCAGAGACACAGACACCAAATGACGTGTAATATAATAATGGCGACACACCATCGTTAGCGCTTCGGAGAGAAGGAAGGAGTCTTGTCCAGCCCTCCTGCACTAACTCACTCTAAGTCCTTGCAAGGAAGCCAGTAAAGCCTTTAAAGCCATATGCAACCTAGGACCCATGTACCATAGCTGTCAACCGTCCCTTATTTGGCGGCAAACTCCCTTCTCCCAGCACCGTTTCCCGCTGCTATCCCGGATTGATGATATCCCGTAAATTTCCCGGGTTTCAAAGGAAGCAGCTACTCTCCCTCGCTCCCTGCCGGCCAGGGAGGAGGGAGGCTCCAACTGTGTTGCTTGGCTGCGTTGCTCACCGAATAAGGAGTCTGAGAACAAATGGGGGGTGGAGCTTGCATACCTTGTGCCAATCAAATCGGCCACATTGCCTGGGGACTCGCGTTTGCTCAGCGCTTCCCAGCGGAGAGATGACGGTGGTTTTCCTTGCTGCATCCCCTTTGCCGGGTTGCTGCGCTGTGGGAACCACCGCTTGAGGCTTTATTTGGCTGCTGGTTGACTAAAATCCCTTATTTTGGCTGCTGATCCCTTATTTTCGAGGCTGCTGGTCCCTTATTTTCAAATCTGTAAGTTGACAGCTATGCCATGTACCTACAGGACTGCCTCTCCTGGTATGCCCTGCAGAGGACCTTAAGGTCCACAACACTTTGGAGGTCCCGAGCCTCAAGGAGATTAGATTGGTTTCAACCAGGGCCAGGGCCTTTTCAGCCCTGGCCCCGATGTGGTGGAACGCTCTGTCACAAGAGACTAGGGCCTTGAGGGACTTGACATCTTTCCGCAGGGCCTGCAAGACAGAGCTGTTCCACCAGGCCTTTGGTTTGGACTCGGTCTGACCCTTATGTTTCCCTCCCCTTACGGTCTTGATTTATCAGCTACTTTAAAAAGAAGCTGCATTTTAAATTGCATTTTAACCTGTATTTTAAATTGGTGGTTTTTTTCTCCCCCCCCCCCTTTTTCCCCTATTATGTTTTTACTGTGATTTTATTGGTGTTAGCTGCCCTGAGCCCGACTCTGGCCAGGGAGGGCAGAGTATAAATAATAATAATAATAATAATTATTATTATTATTATTATTATTATTATTCTATTCCTGTCATCTCCCGGTTGGGCTGGGAAATATCCCCTGTCTGATATGAGAGGTGGAAGAAACCAAATGTCAAGGAGGTGGTTTCTGGACTAACCAGAAACCATCAGGGGTTTCATGTCTCGCTCCAGGAGAGCACTTTCGCCAAGTGATCCTTCCCTCCGGCAATCTGAAGTGGTGTAATCCAAGAAGAGCTTCACCAACTTGGGTCTTGTTTCTGTAAACTAGGCCTCGGGCTACAACTGTAACTAATCTCTGGGTAGTTGGCAGAAATGTGGGGTTCTCTGGAGGGTGGAGTGTGTATGTGTTGAACACACAGTGACTACAGGATGGGGCCACAGAACAAAATGCAGTAATGGTGGGAAGGGGCAGCCACAGCTGCAACGTGTGGGGCAGTGGTTAAGAGCGGTGGACTCGTAATCTGGTGAACTGGGTTCGATTCCCTGCTCCTCCACATGCAGCTGCTGGGTGACTTTGGGCTAGTCACACTTCTCTCTGAAGTCTCTCAGCCCCACTCACCTCACAGAGTGTATGTTGTGGGAGAGAGAGGGAAAGGAGATTGTTAGCCGCTTTGAGACTCCTTTGGGTAGTGATAAAGCGGGATATCAAATCCAAACTCTTCAAATGAGCGGAGAACATGCAGGATCTTCATTCTCCCTCCCTCGTCATATTTTTCATTTTTTTAGATGTTCTTTTGGCTTCCTTTCCCAGTTCTCCTCTCCGTTTTTCCCTCTCTCAAGATAACAGAAAAGCACTGAGCAAAGCTAAACACCCATCAAAATGACGTAGTCCCTCCTAGACCTAGACTTCCTAGATGTCAAAGAGAACAACAACTACCAGACCTTTAGAAGACATCTGAAGGCAGCCCTGTTCAGGGAAGCTTCTAATGTTTGATGCATTACTGTATTTTAATATTTTGTTGGAAGCCACTCAGAGTGGCTGGGGAAGCCCAGCCAGATGGGCCGGGTATAAATAATAAATTATTATTATTATTATAGACTGCACCACTCATAACCACAGGCAGTGTCACGTTATCAAATGCTCATTCGTGCAAAAGGTTCTTCCTTGCATGTAGTCAACTAGCACATAAGGAGAGAAACCTAGCCGCCTTCTTGGTGTGCTGGTTCTCTACTTGCAAGGGGCTCCTTTCATGCAATGAAGCGTTATAAAAGCTAGCCCACCATTCTGCTGTATGAATAGGCCCTTGTGATGGTTTTGCTGGACATATAGCTTGGCCCATTGATTCCTGGCTCCTTTTAAAAACACTCTGCTTCCTTCTTTCCTTCCTTGAATGTCACCCAGACATTCACAGCTTGCTAACAGTTCACAGCAAAAGCCCAGCAATATACAGCATATTGTATTGACACGTGCAAGCAACCCCCCAAGAAAACCCCTAAAAGTATGTGGTGACGTTGGGCTCATTTACTTTGTTGTTACATCTCCTTCCCACAGGCCTTGGACACCCGCACCCCTTTCTCCCTCTGCCCAGCCTTCTAGACATCCCAAGAAACCCCACACAATTAGAGAGCTGTTCTATTATTATGAGATGTTACCGTATTTTTCGCTCTATAAGACGCACCAGACCACAAGACGCACCTAGTTTTTGGAGGAGGAAAACAAGAAAAAAAATATTCTGAATCTCAGAAGCCAGAACAGCAAGAGGGATCGCTGCGCAGTGAAAGCAGCAATCCCTCTTGCTGTTCTGGCTTCTGGGATAGCTACGCAGCCTGCATTCGCTTCATAAGATGCATACACATTTCCCCTTACTTTTTAGGAGGGAAAAAGTGAGTCTTATAGAGCAAAAAATACGGTAATCACAGGGGCTGCACAATCTGAGCCATTGCTTGCCGGAATTGCTGAAGTGAACTCCAAGAGACCCTTGCATAAGATTAGCCGTGTGTTCCACCAGTAAAAGAGGTGTCTAAATACATTACAGAATTATAGTGGCTGGCAGTGCTGCCTTTATTTCACAATAAATACTTCAGTTGGGAAACTAATCAGTAAAGCTCTCCTTTAATGATGTGGTGAATTTTAATCCACGTTTAAAAGGCCTGCCTTGTCGTCGTTTATTAAAGGCATTTTGTCTCTGGTTTGTTACTCTAATGGGAAATAAAAATAAAATATTAATGACCCCCTTTCCTTTTAACCACAAAGTGGTAGTTTTGGCTTGTTCCCAACATAAATATCTCTTCACAGTATCATAAAGCGTCTCTGCCTTTATTAACTTTCAGCAGGAATTTGAAAAAATTCCTGTTTCCCCAAGCACTTGTTGGCTGAAGATTACTGTTGCTGAAAAGCCCTGAAATCGCTGGGTGGAAGAATTTAATTTTTTCATTTATTTTTTTTTAAAAAAAACCACAACAACCTGCAAGTGGTTTCAATAGGTTTTTAATGGTAACTGCTTTTCAATGTTTTTAACTGTAATTGTTTTAAGACTATTTTAGAATGTTTTCACTCTCAAATTGTGTATCTGTTTGCAATCCTGGTAAGATATAAATTCAATAAATCAATATGCGAGCACCTAAAACGATAACTCAGAAAAACAGAAATACATTACGACCCTCCTAGATATATTAAAAAAAAACCTGTTTGGGTCTCAAGTACTGTGAGGACTTGCTTTTCCCAGGTCAGCTTATGTGTACATTAAGAGATGCCTTGAAGGCTCTTCCCCGGGGTCCCACCACCCATCAGACTAGCAAAGAGAGAGAGAGCCTATTTGGTGGTGACACCCCTGATTTTGAATTTAACACCTTCTTGGTGCCAGGTAAAAAACACTATTAATTTTTTTCAGGCCCTTTTATTGAGTATTCTACAGTGTTAAATAAGTAGTTTCACTGTGCTAGGTAAAGGTAAAGGGACCCCTGACCATTAGGTCCAGTCGTGACCGACTCTGGGGTTGCGGCGCTCATCTCGCTTTATTGGCCGAGGGAGCCGGCGTACAGCTTCCGGGTCATGTGGCCAGCATGACTAAGCCGCTTCTGGAGAACCAGAGCAGCGCACGGAAACCCCGTTTACCTTCCTACTGGAGTGGTACCTATTTATCTACTTGCACGTTTAAAGTGCTTTCGAACTTTTGAACTGTGCTAGGTCATACATATATATATATATATGCTGTTTTAACAACATTCTTTGAACAACAGGAACAAGCAGGTAGGCAGGCTGGAACATCACAGAATACTCAACCTCTTTACTGAGAGAAGAGGTAGAAATTGAGGGGGGGGGATTTTAGTTGCTGTCGTTGTTTCTACCGTCGTCTGTGGTTGGTTAGGACCCCCAACGAGTTGAAAGGATTGGAACCAACCACTTCACTAGTTAAACGGTTATTCGTCAATACGAAATCTTTCACCTGGTTTGCATGTTTTCCAGGTGTTCGTAGGAGCCAGATTTACACCAGTGATATATGACTCAGTATTGTCTAAGCTGACGGGCAACAACCCCCTGGGCTTTCAAACAGGGGGTCTCTCACCGCCCTATCTGGAGACGCCGGAGAACTTCCCTAAACCATGGATAGGCAAACTAAGGCCCGGGGGCTGGATCCGGCCCAATCGCCTTCCAAATCCGGCCTGTGGACAGTCTGGGAATCAGCGTGTTTTTACATGAGTAGAATGTGTGCTTTTATTTAAAATGCATATCTGGGTTATTTGTGGGGCATAGGAATTGGTTCATTTCCCCCCAAAAAATATAATCCAGCCCCCACAAGGTCTGAGGGACAGTGGACGGGCCCCCTGCTGAAAAAGTTTGCTGACCCCTGTCTAAACTGTGGAGCATGCACTCTGCTCTTCAGGTGCAGCCCTTCCCCTCCCTACTGAGACTTTGGTGCTTTTGACAGAAGCTCAAGATTCTTCCTAAGCAACCGTGGCCCCTTTCAGCACGAAGCGAGACGAGCAGCAATCTCCCACACCTCCCAACAGCCGAGTCCTCTCTGAGCTTTCTGCAGACATACCGCAGAAGTGTGGAATTTGGTGCTGGGCTGAGAATTCAACACCCCAAGGACAAGAATGTTCACTTGAACAAGTGAAAAGAGGCAGGGAAGAATCGCCCTATGATCTGGGCAAAGAGCCACAGCGCAGTAGCTGGACACCTGCGCTGCATGCAGAAGGTCGCTTCTGCTCAATCCCTCCAGTGGGGACTGGGAGAAAAACATTACCGGAAACCCCAGGCAACCACTTCCGGTCAGGGTAGACCATGCTGGTCTAGATAGGCCAATGGTACGAAGATCCTGTGGAGGAACTTAGGTTTTCTATGTGCTCCCTAGCTCTGACCACTTACCTAGGTTGCTCTGACCCTCAGATGTTCCCGTCTAACCCCACCCCTACAAAAGCCTCTCCCAACGGTTCAACCATTCGCTCGCCGCTCCCCTCAACAGCTTCGGACTTCTCTTCTGCAAAACCACAACGTCCCCCCGTTTTAGTTCAGCTCCGCCCTCCCCAGAATCCCACAACCGGCCCCTCACCGGAGTTCTCGGCGCTGTGGGGCAGATCCGGCAGTTTCATGCGGGCCCTGTTGGGCTCCTGGTACTCCGTCTCCCCCGAGTGGATGCGCTCGTAGCGGTTCGAGTGCCGGTGGGAGCCCATCGTGTTGTTGATGACGATGGTGTCGCTTGGCGCCGACAGGTGGACGGTGAGGTCGTCGTCCGAGATGCGACGTTGCGCCTAAGGGGCATGGAAGTGTCAGTCGCTCGAGAGGCCATGACAGAAGTGCGAGCCTCACATTGCTCAGGCCCTCAAGGCATTAATTCGCCCAATTCTACTTCTCCTTTGAGAAACTGAGGGGAGTCTTGACATCCCTTTATTTATACCATGCCTTCCTGTCATGGCGTTGTCCAGGCGGCCACTCACCAAGCACTGACCCAACCCAAACTTGTTGAGCTTCCGCAAGGTGCTGACTTTCTGTGTCTTTGGACCCTACCCTGGTCTTTAACCCCACAGATTCTCCTGCGCCTCAGATCATTCCAGAACTGTTGGCTCTCTCTCGGCCTACCTAGTGGTGGATCCCAAGCTGGGTCCCTCAGAAGTTTATCAGAGGTTACTTTATGAGGAGATTGGTAATGGCAGACAAGCTGCCCCAAAAGACTCCGCCCCCCCTCAGTCATACATTCAATAAATACAGTGGTACCTTGGGTTACAGACGCTTCAGATTACAGACTCCGCTATCCCTGAAGTAGTACCTCGGGTTAAGAACTTTACCTCAGGATGAGAACAGAAATTGCGCCACGGCGGCAGGAGGCTCCATTAGCTAAAGTGGTACCTCAGGTTAAGAACAGTTTCAGGTTAAGAACAGACCTCCGGAATGAATTAGGTTCTTAACCCGAGGTACCACTGTAATGACAATCATGTTCATTGGCTCTCTGTGGCCAGTCATCAGTGTCCTCAGTGGGTCCTTCCTCTGCATGTTGTAGGGGAGTCGCTGGGCACATTCCGAAACTGTTTCCCATTCAGGTAGGCTGTTAGCTGGGCCCAAGAGGCCTAGTGCCCCTTGTAGCCTTTTAAGGGTGCCCTACAAGTGCACCCCAGAATCCCAGTAGACCTAAGAAAGCCAGTGTCATTCCGGACAAGGCTCCAGCATACAAAGCCCCATGGCCATGAAGTTAACAGCCTGGTTTTGGGGCAGGCACTATCACTCAGCCCAACCTACTCCGCAGGGTTGATGTGAGTATAAGGGGCTCTCCAGGGTCTCGGGCAGAGAAAATTCTAGCTGATATCCTTTTAACTGGAGGCGCCCTACTGCATCCAAAGCCACCTTTCCCCACTGAGTGAGAGGCCCTACCCTGATCAGGGAGTCATGCAGAGACGCAGCGGGTGGGCTCCTCAACAGGGGAGCGATCCTTAATTCCACATGCTTTAAAAACAAACCTTTACAGCAGTATATCTAAAAGTAAGATTCTATTTCTAATCAATGCAATCAGATGTGTCTTAGCCAGCAAAAGTTGGGCTGAGTTAACAAAGTCTTAAATGCACTTAAGCATTTAATTTAAAACTTAAGTTGCCCACTCCAAAGCGGTAAGACCACCTTAATTGGGGACCATTGAAACCATGGCCACCCATTTCATCATCCTTCCCGTGATGCAGCCCAGCTTACCTTCCCCAAGATCTTCTGCCAATATTGCCGCCAGAGGATGAGGAAGATGACAACCAATAGGAGAAGGATGATGGCCACCAGGCACCCAATCAGGATGGAGGTGTTGCTGTTGTCGTCCTTTGCAATGGGCTGTCCTGATTTTGGTTCCCCTTGACTTTCCAGATCTTAAAAAGAAACGGAGAAAAATAATAATAAAGTCCATTCATGGCCTCCGAGCACCGCCATTTTGAAACAGGTGGAATTTTGGGCTCAGGGTGGGCGAAATTATTCCTTAGGTAGCTTTGCTCTCAGGTTTGAGGGCTACTCACCTTGGAGCGTGAGGTTTGAGCCAATGTTGGCTTTTTCGCTCTGCGCAGAACCCAGAGCCGGTGAGATGGGAGCGTCGTGGCCTGAGGGGTGAGGCAGAGCGATCACTGGAGGGCGGCGACTTGAGGCCGAGAAGGAGGGGTCATCCACAACGTCTGGAAGGAAAAGGAAATGCGAAGGATAACCAAGTGACGAAAGGAGTGGATACGACAAATAACTGTAACAACAATTGTAGAATAGCAATTAGAGCGCTGGGCCGGGACCTGGGAGACAAGGGTTCAAACTCTCGCTCAGCCTCTTCTGCTCTCCACCTGCATGGCTCTGCGCCCAGCCAACCAACCCCAACTCACCAGAGAGAAAGCCAACTTCGCTGAAAAGCATCCACTCGCCAGCAAAGTGGAAGTGGCACTGGACGAACTTGCCGAGCCGCCCTCCCAGGTCCACCGTGAGGGAGCGGGCGCTGGGATCCCTCACGTCCACGGCGAGTTGTTGCGAGACAGGCGTGGGCTCCCAGGCCGTGGCCAGGCTGCGCTTGAAGAGGCAGTCCACCTGCCGGAAGACGCTCACCCCGTGCGTGTGCATGTTGTTGCAGTGGACCTGGGGTTGGGCAGGGAGGTTGGATTGGGGCAGCGGGAGGAAAAGAAGAGGGTTAGAGGAGAGGCCATTGTGAAGCAAGCTTATTCCCCTGCCATCCCCATCATCGTCTATAGGTTGATCGCAACTGAACACTCATTTTACTCACACGATCGCAAGCTTACACAGACCATGAATAAATAAATAGAAAGGGAGACCTTTAACTTTTCAGGCTTTGGGGGCTCTTGAGAGATTTTGTGGGGCGTTCCACAGGGTTTTCCCTGCACAAAAAACCACTTCTAAGCCTTTCGCCTTGCTTACAGGGCTCTGGGTCATGCGAGGCCTCTGGGAGGCTCCCATGAGATCTCACAGGGCCATGAGTCTCAGAGGCCTTCCACAACCCTCCCCTAACCCTGTGAGAAGGTGGGCCAGCTCTATGGGCCTGAGGCCTCTACAGCCATACACACACACCCATGTTTGTTAGGAAGGAGCTCAGCCCCTGCAGTCTTGAGGGGACAGAGGAGGCCTGGCGGGAAGCTGTCCCGGGCCACGAAGTGTGGGAAGACGCCGTGCAGACCAGCGTGAGAATGTCGCATCAGAAGGAAACCTGCTTGGCCTCTCCCGATACAAAAGTCATCACGCAAGCAGCACGCAATGCCCATGATGTCACACACACAATGCACATCATGCGTGTGACATCAGGCTCCCCCCCCCCAATGTTGGGTGCAACTCAGCGCCTGTGCCTGTAAGGAATGAGCAGAGCTTAAAAAGCTGCTTCTGCTACAGGTTTTCCTTATTTGTCACAGGAGGAAGGTGGGTTCCTATTACAAAGTTCCCAAGCGTTAAAGGCCAGGTTAGAAAGCGCGTTTATCTGAAAACTACAGAAGGAGGCTGGTGAGATGACGATGAGTGGTTAGAGGGAGAAGAGGGAGCAGACTGGAAGGGGGAGATGTCAGCAGCAGGAGAGGTGACAGGGTTTAGTGAACAGGAAGAAGCTGCGGAAGAGAGGAGTTCAGACTCTGACTCTGAGGCTGAAGCATAGGCTGGAGGGGAGAGTAGCCAGGAAGCAGAGTGGCGACAGGGTGCTGAAGAATATAGGGTGTCTCCCCCTACTGCAACCAGCTCCCCTCTCCTTCAGTCCTGGCTACTGCTTCATCGGGCAAGATCTCTCCTGGAAAGAGTTGCTGAGACCACTAAGCCTGAGCTGAGTTTTGCTTCCTCGAATCAAGAATTAACTGCACTGGTCTCAGGTGACTTATTGTTTTCGTTGCTGACCTGACTCCAACCATGACACTCGCTTACCTTCATGTAAGTGAAGGCTCTGAGCTGGTCAAACTCAAACTCCATCTCGACGAAGCCCTTGGGGAAAGAGCTGTTCCTCCAGCCTACGTAGTCGTACCCTGGCCAGACGCGCAGCTCTTTGTTGTGGGTGAAATCGTCCAAGCCAACCACCCCATCGGTCAGCTGGCCAAGGCCCCCAAAATGCAAGCTGTGGTTAGAATGGAATAGAATAGAGTTGCAAGGGAGTCACTACGGGGGGAAAGAAAACACTGGGCACTTGGGACGAACCAAGGCGCCCCTTAAACGTCACAGTAGTGTGAAGGAGAGTGCATTTCTACGTATTCGTTCTAAATATTGACATAGAATTTAAAGACCTGCAACCATATGGCCAATGCCATGATCAGCAACACAGAGATCTAGCAGGTGGAGATATAAGATACAGACAAGATTCAGCCTGTTTCCTGGGTGCAGGGAAGGAGCTGTCAGTGCTTAATTATCTGGAGCCCACCTCGCTGGCTGGAAGACACAGCAGCCCTTCCACCATCCTCTGATCAGAGAACGAGTCCCCTGAGTGTCTCCAGCTTCCCAGCCTTGCAGAAGTCAAAGACTGCAAAATAAGCAAGGGCTCCTTTAACAGCCCAGTCGGTTCCTCCAGAGCTGAATGCAGTCTGGGTCCTGGCAGCCTACATGAGGCTCTGGCTGGCTCTAGCTCCCTGCTGAGACAACATCTTCTATGGCAGGCTCACAGGAAGGCAAGTCACAAAGGAGAAAGCAGATGAGAACGGTACCTCGGACAGCTCCAAGGGGGACTCTGCTGGCCAAAGTATAATCCTAAAGCAGATAACAAGAGGAAGATGCTTCAGCCAGTATGGTTTACCTGGAGCTGCCCAAGGTCCTTATCTATGCTCTCGCTCTCCTCTGATGTGTTTCTGACTTGCTACCTGCTTTCCCTGTGAGACTCAAGCTCCTCCAGAACTGGACAAGTGAAGCTGGTTATGTAGAAGAGAAAAGGCCCCATGCCATGGAAAAGACCCACACAGCTGTGCCTTCCTCATGGCTACAGGTCTTTCGATGCTACAGATACACTACAAGATCAAGAACACAGAAAACTTGGCTGCCGCAGCACAGCTATAGTGTTTAGAAGGTTCCTCAATATTTTCAGAATTTGGCTGGTGTGGCAGAAGGTGTAATAAGGCAGGTGGCCAATATGAAGCTAATAAGTTTTAGACACCTTTATTTAGTTTTCTTCTCTCATTCAGCCCCTATCTCCTCTTCTTTCCTTTTTCTCATGCAGTTATCTATCGCTATGGGTCACCCACCTAACGCTGGGCCCTCCTTCTGTTAATGTTCTTGTTGTTCATGTCTGCATTTTTCCCCAGCACAAATCCTGTCATAGTCCTATCTCACCTCCGTTTTATAAAAAAGGCAACCCGGGCTAAGAATGTGATTTGCTCCAGATGACACCCTGAGCTTCCGGCTGTTTGAACTCCACAACTATTAAACAATGAGAAACTCTCTTTGGGTGGAGTCACACAATCGGCTTGCAGCCCCTTTCACAAGATGACCAAACAGAAGTTCCCTTCCTGTTTTCTCAGGAGATGAACCAAACGTCTGAACACATTTTGAAGTGCAACTCCATAATCCCGGGCCATTGGCCACGCTAGTAAGGGCTGATGGGAGTTGTAGTCAAAAACATCTGAAGACCACCAGGCTGACGGAAAGCTGGTCGGTCTAACATAACCCAGTGAACTGACAGGTGATGAAATCTTCAGATAACCAGACGCATCATGTGATGTCTGCAGCTGTCATGTGACTAACCTAGTCATCTGAACCCACCCTTTGAAGCTGAAGTTTCAGGCTGGGATTGCCGTGCTTTTAGGGCCACCCAAGCACAGAATTCAACAACAGGGGGGCGGGGATGTTCACTCACTCACTTGCTGACGCTGTGCCCATCGTAAGTGGAGTCATTCAGGTAGACTGGTTCTGGAACTAGAGGCATGACCTGGCCGAGAGGAGCCGTGTACGACTGAAGTCCATCTGGTGGAAGAAAACAAACACACTCAGAAGAAGACCTTAAGCTGATGAAAGGCCTCAGGAGGATCAAGTTTCACGTGCAGCAAAGGCTTTTGGGTATGTGGAGTAAACCACAAGAGGGGGTGAGGAAAACAGGAACATACGAAGGAGCCTTCTGTTCAGTCAGACGGTTGGTCTATCTAACCTAATACCATCAAACCTGATGCCGTCCAGGAATTTCCCTTGAACTACAACTCCCATCAGCCCCAGCAAGCCCGGTCAAAGGGTTGGGATGATGGGAGTTGTAGTCCGAAAACATCTAGCGGACTCAAGGTTGGGGAAGGTTGCTGTAACCACCACATCGCACTGGCTCTGCATATGCAGGTGAGCGCAGGAAAAGAGCTGGACCGTGTTGTTGCGTCAAGGACAAAATAAATCAGCTGGCTCACCTTTCCAGACGCAGCCATAGAGCTCCACACGCAGGCAGACACTCATGACTCGGTCCGCACGGGGGTAGAAGCGGACGTAACGGGCAATAACCGGGGGCCCCAGGTCCTTCAGCACCACTTCTTCTGTATTTTCATTACCCGAAATCACCTAAGGGGCAGGAAGTTAGTTTTCTGTCACTGCTTGGGAACCTGCGCAGGCAATGGCAATTCTGAGCTCTGGCATTTGAGTAAAGACATTGGTGGAGTTTTTAAAGCCAGAGATGGACAACCTGTGGCCTTCCGGGTGCTGCTGAACTCAGACTTCCATCAGCCCAATCCATCAGGGATGACAAAAGCTATACAGTGGTATCTCAGGTTACATATGCTTCAGGTTACAAACGCTTCAGGTTACAGACTCTGCTAACCCAGAAATATTACCTTGGGTTAAGAACCTTGCTTCAGGGAGAGAACAGAAATCGGGCTCCAGCGGCGCAGCGGCAGCAGGAGGCCCCATTAGCTAAAGTGGTGCTTCAGGTTAAGAACAGTTTCAGGTTAAGAACAGACCTCCGGAACGAATTAAGTACTTAACCCGAGGTACCACTGTAGTCCAGAAACAACTGGAGGGAGTCACACTAGCCATCTCTGGTGTAGGCAGCGCACAGTGCATTGTCAGGACTATAACTGGGAAGTAGTGCATAAGCAAAAAGATCGGCCTACCATACTAGGAAAGGTCCTCTCTCGGGTTAAGTACTTAATTCGTTCCGGAGGTCCGTACTTAACCTGAAACTGTTCTTAACCTGAAGTACCACTTTAGCTAATGGGGCCTCCCGCTGCTGCCGTGCCGCCGGAGCACAATTTCTGTTCTCATCCTGAAGCAAAGTTCTTAACCTGAAGCACTATTTCTGGGTTCGCGGAGTCTGTAACCTGAAGCGTATGTAACCTAAAGCGTATGTAACCCGAGGTACCACTGTATTAGACACAGAGCCAGTCCTCAAAGAGATGTAAACCTGTTTCTGGGCTCTCCCACTTCAGAGAGCGAAAAACTCCATCTAAACAGAAAACTACAGGTCATCAAGAACGGTTCTTGCCCAGCCTTCTCCCTGACATGCTGTCTTCACATGTGGAGGATTCCCTTTTTGTGGAGAGGCTGGCTGCAAAACTGGTTTCTAGTCCTGTCCCCCTCCGGAATGCAGGTGGAGTGGGGGTTCCCATGATGAAATACACCTTTCTCAGTAGCGGGCAGCGTAGGTGAGACGTTGCAGCTCAACTGACCTCCAGTCAGTTGGATCGCTTCTCCCTACCAGGAGGCGGAGAGGTAGGGGCAAGGCAGAGGTGAGGTTGGTCCAGTGCAAACACACCAGCAGGAGGGCCAGATTGGCTCTGCAGGTGTGTTTGCACAGGGACGACCGTGCACCACTGTCTCACCTTGCCCCCTTGAATTCCAGCGATGCAACTGATGGGGGGGGTGAAGTAAGCAGCAACACCACACCTGATGTTAGCAATTTCACTCCTCCTGGGAAAGGAAGAGAGTCTTATCTCTTCTGCTGCAGGTACTATTACACTATACTTTCGCTTTTATTTATTTCTTTTTGTTCTCTCGGAGCTGGAGAGAACGGACGCCATTATGCTTTTGTCTGTACATAAAGGTAAAGGTAAAGGGACCCTGACCATTAGGTCCAGTTGCGGACGACTCTGGGGTTGTGGTGCTCATCTCGCTTTATTGGCCGAGGGAGCTGGCGTCCAGCTTCCGGGTCATGTGGCCAGCATGACTAAGCCGCTTCTGGCGAACCAGAGCAGCGGACAGAAACGCTGTTTACCTTCCCTCCGGAGCGGCACCTATTTATCTACTTCCACTTTGACGTGCTTTCGAACTGCTAGGTGGGCAGGAGCAGGGACCGAGCAACGGGAGCTCACCCCGTCGTGGGGATTCTAACCGCCGACCTTCTGATCGGCAAGTCCTAGGCTCTGTGGTTTATCCCACAGCGCCACCCACGTCCCTTGTCTGTACATAGTGTGTCACTAAATAGTAGATTAGCTCTACGATGTCTCACTCTTCTTGCTGTGTTATGCCAGAAGATTAGTGTGCATACACCAGCTGGTATATGTCACTAGGAGGCGCACTAGAAGAAAAGGGAGGTGCCTTTTCCAGAGCTGCGCATACCGAAGGATGCTCAGAGTTTCGGGGGCTTGCGGCCCCCCCCCCCGGGCATTTTCCCAACATCTGTGCTATCTGCTGAGAAAAGGCACACTCCACCTGTAGTCTGAAGCAGGGCAGAACAGAAACAGGTTTTCCACCTGAGTAAGAAAAAGACTTTGCTACAGATTTCCAAAGGGCTCTATAAGCCTTGAAAGCAAGCCCAGATAAAAACCTTTGACACAACCTGCTCCATTCCCATCAAACACCTGGAACCTCCCTTCGCTTGGCAACTACTTTAAGTGCATCTCTAAACGTTTCAAACTCTGCCCTGAAACAACAGTAAGGTTGCCTGGCAATTAAGATTATTTTATGAAAATCTATCTAATTTTGATCATTGAAAAATGAAATCTTTACCTGCTAAAGATTTTTTTAAAAAATACAGAATAATAGGTAAAGGTAAAGGGACCCCTGACCATTAGGTCCAGTCGTGGCAGACTCTGGGGTTGCGGCTCTCATCTCGCTTTACTGGCCAAGGGAGCCGGTGTACAGCTTCCGGGTCATGCGGCCAGCATGACTAAGCCGCTTCTGGCGAACCAGAGCAGCACACGGAAACGCGGTTTACCTTCCCGCGGGAGCGGTGCCTATTTATCTACTTGCACTTTGATGTGCTTTCGAACTGCTAGGTTGGCAGGAGCAGGGACCGAGCAACGGGAGCTCACCCCATCACGGGGATTCGAACCGCCGACCTTCTGATCATCAAGTTCTAGGCTCTGTGGTTTAACCCACAGCGCCACCCGCATCCCTAATGAATAATAAAGCCTCTGCCATAATAAAGCCTCTGAAATTCACCAAATTTACGCCATCATACAAATTTACCCCATATATGCGATTCCACATTTTGTAGCCGTCCACTAATATTTCTTTAAGCGATGACATTGCAACTTAGCCTAACATTTGATCACACGAGCGGTGAATGCCACGCCTTCCGCTAGCCCCACCTCCCCGCCTCCCATTGGCTGCCTTCACCTGCGCTCACTTCAGCTCTGCCCCTCGCTTACCTCGTTGCCCCACCGGTCCCGCCAAGGCATCCAGCGGTGCCCGTCCCGGCTGTAGTGTAGCCGGTAGGAGCGGGCAAACTCTTTGCCGTGACCGCTCGCATGGCGACCCTGCGTGCCCACCAAGGTTAAGAAGTGCAGCCGCCGCAGGTCTATCTCCAAGTACTCCGCATCGTTAGGGTAGACGGGTCCTGCAGGGCACCAGGCTCCATCTCCCTCGCTCAGCGCCAACCTGGAGAGCAGGAAAAGGGAGAAGACAGAAAGGTAGATATGTTAACGAACCTGTATTTGGGCAGGGGTAGATTTCACAAATCACATTTAAGTCGCCCTAGCACCTCTTGCAAGGGATGCGGGTGGCGCTGTGGGTTAAACCACAGAGCCTAGGACTTGCCGATCAGAAGGTCGGCGGTTCGAATCCCCATGACGGTGTGAGCGCCCGTTGCTCGGTCCCTGCTCCTGCCAACCTAGCAGTTCAAAAGCACGTCAAAGTGCAAGTAGATAAACAGGTACCGCTCCCGTGGGAAAGTAAACGGCGTTTCCGTGCGCTGCTCTGGTTTGCCAGAAGTGGCTTAGTCATGCTGGCCGCATGACCCGGAAGCTGTACGCCAGCTCCCTCGGCCAGTAAAGCGAGATGAGCGCCACAACCCCAGTCAGTCACGACTGGACCTAATGGTCAGGGGTCCCTTTATCTTTACCTAGCACCTCTTGCATGCTATTTTTCTCACACGCCAGGTTGAGCAGACCACCCCATCCCTCCTTGGATGGATGTCCACAACGTTGAGCTGAAGGAATAAGAGGGCAACAGGAAGACTACCCCAAAGAGAGTTGGGGTAAGAACACGGCCCTATTTCACACTGCTCTTTATAGGGAAGGGGTCCAAGAACGACAGTCGTACTGGACGGTGCCGCACTTGTTCACGTGGAAGACATGTGGGAGGCCTAAACGGCCTCAGTCCAGTACACCTGAAGGAGCGTCTCCACCCCCATCGTTCTGCCCGGACACTGAGGTCCAGCGCCGAGGACCTTCTGGCGGTTCCCTCATTGCGAGAAGCAAAGCTACAGGGAACCAGGCAGAGGGCCTTCTCGGTAGTGGCGCCCGCCCTGTGGAACGCCCTCCCAGCAGATGTCAAAGAGATAAACAACTACCTGACATTTAGAAGACATCTCAAGGCAGCCCTGTTCAGGGAAGCTTTTAATGTGTGACATTTTAATGTATTTTTAATCTTTGTTGGAAGCCGCCCAGAGTGGCTGGGGAAACTCAGCCAGATGGGCGGGGTACAAACAAATTATTATTATTATTATTATTATTATTATCATCATCATCATCATCATGGAGCTTGGGGCGGGCATCCTATCTTATTGAACAGCATGAACCGTCCTTTCCAGCTGACCTGGTCAAAAGACCTTAGTCAGGTCTACGAGGGTACAACTGTGTACAACTGCGATGTATTTTACAACTGCAAGGGGGAAAAACAAGCTACAACTTTAAATTTCAAAGGCCATCGTCACCTGCTGTGTTTGGCGGCCGTCGAGTCGGACCACGAGCTGGAGGCTGAGAGGGCCTCATCCGGGATGGTGCGATCCTGCATGCCCAATGCATAGCGACACTTAGCTGCAAAGGGGGAAGGAAGCGAGAGAATGAAGAGCAAAGATGACCCCTTTGCATTATACACACCCCTCTGCAAAAATTATGAGCTATTAATACTGGCCTGATCCGCATAACATCAATTATAGTATGTCACATTGAAACCAATGGGTTGCAAGTTAACCTAGGATGGGATGCTTTTAATGAGACTTGAGAACATAAAAAGAACTCTGCCAGATCAGAACAAAGGGACCCATCTATACCAGAATCCTCCCCCCCCCCCACAGTGGATAACCAGATGACTATCACCAATGCAGCAGAGCTCCAAGCTGGTGCCCATCACTGCTAATTGTGGGAGAGAATTCCATAGCTTGACCCTGTTCTGTGTGAAGAAACACTTCCTTTTGTCTGTCCTAGAACTTCCAATATTCAGCTTCGTTGTATAGCCCCAAGCGCTAGTATTATGAGACAAGAGAAAGGAAAACCTATTCCTGTCCACTTTCTGTACACCATGCACAATCACATTCCCTTCTTCACATGTCCCCTCTTATAACCAGGCCTGACACCACCAAAAGGCAGGCTTGGGTAGATACTGATGCCCAAAGGCACTGAAGAACGCAGGCCTTGGGACTCCATTTTGAAAATGGGGGGAGGGGGCGGGAAAAGATGGCCACCACCATAAAAACATGGCAGCCACATTCTAGCACCGTCCTGTGTTGAATTAAGCTGTTCTCTATATTCTCAGTTTGTCCTGTGTATCATGGGAATATGCCCCGCCGGGAAAAAAGTGAGACTTACATCTGAGTAAACTGCCCTGTCTATCGAAAGTCATTTTGTCTGTCTGTTTGCGATCAGGCCTGTTTCAAGGTGCTTATGTTAATCCACAAAGCCCTAAACAACTTGGGCTCAAAGTACCTAAGGGACTGCCTGTTTCCGTATGCTCCATCTCAGTCACTGAGATCCTCTGAAGTGTCAAGCCTCCTGAGGTTCAGTTGGCCTTCACTAGGGATCAAGCCTTTAGTGTGGCAGGCCCTGCACTGTGCAATTCCTTTTTGAAAAATCCAAGAATCAGACAAACATAAGGCTACTGTCCTACCTGGGACACAGGGGGCGATGGTCTAAACCACTGAGCCTCTTGAGCATGGATAGGCAAACTAAGGACCGGGGACCGGATCCGGCCCAATCACCTTCTAAATCTGGCCTGCAGATAGTCTGGGAATCAGTGTGTTTTTACATGAGCAGAATGTGCCCCTTTATTTTAAAGGCATCTCTGGGTTATTTGTGGGGCCTGCCTGGTGTTTTTACAAGTGTAGAATGTGCTTTTATTTAAAATGCATCTCTGGGTTATTTGTGGGGCATAGGAATTTATTCATTTTTTTCCTTCGAAATATAGTCCAGCCCCCCACAAGGTCTGAGGGACAGTGGACTGGTCCCCTGCTGAAAAAGTTTGCAGGCCCCTGCTCTTGGGCTTGCCGATCGAAAGGTCAGCGGTTTGAATCCCCATAATGGATTCAATCCTGTTGCTCTGTCCCAGCTCCTGCCAATCTAGCAGTTAGAAAGCATGCCAGTGCAAGTAGATAAATAGGTACTGCTGTGGCAGGAAGGTAAACAGCATTTCCATGCACTCTGGGTTCTGTCTCGGTGTCCCGTTGCGCCAGAAGTTAGGCTGGCCACATGACCCGGAAAGCTGTCTGTGGACAAACACCGGCTCCCTCGGCCTGAGAGCAAGATGAGCGCCCCATAGTCCCCTTTGACTGGATTTAACCATTATGAATTATGGTGCTGGAGGGGACTCTTGAGAGTCCCATGGACTGCAAGAAGATCAAACCTCTCCATTCTGAAGGAAATCAGCCCTGAGTGCTCCCTGGAAGGACAGATCCTGAAGCTGAGGCTCCAATACTTTGGCCACCTCATGAGAAGAGAAGACTCCCTGGAAAAGACCCTGATGTTGGGAAAGATGGAGGGCACAAGGAGAAGGGGACGACAGAGGACGAGATGGTTGGACAGTGTTCTCAAAGCTTCGAACATGAGTCTGACCAAACTGCGGGAGGCGGTGGAAGACAGGAGTGCCTGGCGTGCTCTGGTCCATGGGGTCACGAAGAGTCGGACACGACTAAACGGCTAAACGACTAAACGACTAAACAACAACAACAACAAATCATCCAGGGGTCCTTTACCCTTTTTTACCTTTTTTACTGTCCTACCTACAAAAAGCAGAACACTTAGTACTGAATGTCAATGACTTCCACCAGAGGGTGCTCTAATTTCACACGCAAGAGGTGGACGCTTTAAAAAAAACCCCAAGGATGTCCTTTTCTAGAGACACGCTAAGTTTTAACATTCTGTTAATGTTCTGCAAGCTTTCAGCTCAATGTTCCGTTGTCTGGAACACTTTGTGATACTCTGGAATACAGCCAAAAGAGCAAATTCCATGCTGGGGTGATTAGGGAAGACAGAGAGAATAAAACTGCCAGCATCATAGCGCTGCCCTTCATATATTATGTATGATGCAGTCCCATTTTGGAATCCTATATGCTGTGCTGACGCTCCATTTCAAAAGGGAAATCACAGGGTTGGTGAAAGGGGCAGAAAAGGGTAAGGTAACCAAAATAATAAGGCTGGACTGAAGCACAGGGTGGCCAGCTCACAAGAGACTGCCATCTACTCACAGAGTAAATACCTGGCAGTGTTGTGTTGTTGAGCTTTTTTTAGGGAGGAGGAAAGCCTCGCTTTTGGGGGGTGCAGGCTTTTTTTTAAGGGGAGCCAAAGTTGTTTAGCTTCTTTGTGGGGAGCCAGTGATCTACCAGTGATCCATCACAGACATCCAGTGATCTACCGGTAGATCACGATCTACCTGTTGGACGTGCCTGAGCTAAAGCACTTGGGGATTTTTAGTATACCAAAAAAAAAATATTTAAAAATATGATATGTTAGAAGTTGATAATATTATGAATGGTGTGGAGAAACTGGCTAGAGGTTCTTTTTTAATTTCTTAAATCTCCTCTGATGCTAGAATTTTGGGGTACAGAATGAAACAGGTATTTTAGAACAGACAACAACAGCAAGGAGGAATTCCTTGCACAATGTAGAATCCACTGCTGCAAGATGTGATAGTGAAGCTTATTTCATGGGCAGAGAGGATGGGGAATCTTTGACCCTTCAGATGTTATTGGACTACAACTGCTGTCCATTTGCCAGGCTGGCTGGGGCCGATAGGAACTGGAGTCCAACAACATCTGGAGGGCCACAGGTTCCCCACTCCTGACCTGCAGGAAACAGATAGATGATAGATAGATAGATAGATAGATAGATAGATAGATAGATAGATGATAGATAGATGAGAGAGAGAGAGAGATTATCCTTACGAGTGGAACCTGCAGCAAAATGTTGCAGTGTGGAGTGCTCCTATTCACTGTTCTATTCGGTCAGCCATGCCCTTCTCTGAGATACTTCATTCCGTCTCCCCCCACCCCTCAACATTCCATGGCCACTGAGCGTGCTCATTCCCCATTAGGCTACTTCCAGAGCTTTCGCCTCCCTCTTGTGTCCAAAGATGGCGCCATTTTGGTTTCATGAGCAACCAACGACTCTCACATTTGTGCATCGGTAACAAGATAGAAGCATCGGACAAAACTATCCTGGGGATTAACCAACGTAGAAGAAAGATCTGGTGATGGCAGTTTGGCAATAGCCCCCTAAAAACCTTGGCCTAAGTTCCTTTCCCCTTGCTTCGCTCTCGCATCTTATACTTGGCCTTGCCCCCCGCCCAACCTCCATATCTCCATCACTTCTGCCCAATAAAATCCCGTCAGCTCGGTGCTCCTTCCGCACCACATTTCAGCACCTCACCAAGGAACCCTCCAGTTTCCCGCTCCTCAACCAACAGGTCACAGCCTATCTCACCTGGATCCAACTCACCTGGATCAAAGTGCTCTTCCAACTCCGAGGCACCGAGGGACGCCGAGAGCAGCAAGCAAAGCGCTGCGAGTCCCACCATGCTCTCTGGGCTCTGCGATGATTACACCGATAGTTGAGTCTTCATGCCTTGTTTGCAAAAAAAGTAGATAACAGCAGTTAACCACATGCGGGTCTCGCACAGAGTACAACACCAAGGTGACTCAACATGAATGGAAAACCCTCCTCTTCCGGGGGTCAGACACTTTCTCTGTGCTAGTGAATAGCACACATTCCATGCTCAGGAGTCACCAGCATCCTGCCATTGTCCTGGCTTCCCTATTCAGGCCAGAAGTGGACTGGCGCTGACACACTGACAGCAGCAAAACACGTGATTATCGCAGGCAGAAAGGCCAGATGCCAAATTTGTGGTTGAGCGAACTCGGTGCATTTGGGAGATCCCAAGGCTGATTTACAGGAATGAGTGTTTGACCAGACTAAAAAAAAAAAAAAAGTAACTCAGTTGGTGACTAGGTCAGCTATTGAGGAGACATGTTCCAGTGGGGTCAAACAATGCCACTATTTATTAGAACTGGCCATTGCTCATTGTGAATGAGCAGTACGCTACCCAATCGCTCCTGTTTCACTCTGCAAGAGAAACAAAACGAGAAGCCACAATTAAGCTTGGCTTTGTGTGATGTCCAAATCCAGACTCATCGGGTGGCACTCAACTGAGTTTCCCTTAGAGGAGACCCACTGAAATGAATGAACCTAACTTAGCTATAACCGTTAATTTCAATGAGCCTGCTCTAAGTAAAGGTAAAGGACCCCTGGAGTCCAATCAAAGGCGACTATGGGGTTGAGGTGCTCATCTCGCTTTCAGGCCGAGGGAGCCGGCATTTGTCCACAGACAGCTTTCTGGGTCAAGTAGCCAGCAAGACTAAACTGCTACTGGTGCAACGAGATACCGTGACAGAAACCAGAGCGCACAGAAACGCTGTTTACCTCCCTGCCACAGCGGTACCTATTTATCTACTTGCACTGGCGTGCTTTCAAACTCATAGGTTGGCAGAAGCTGGGACAGAGCAACAGGAGCTCACCCCATCGTGGGATTCAAACCGCCGACCTTCTGATCGGCAAGCCCAAGAGGCTCAGCGGTTTAGACCACAGAGCCACCCGTGTAAAACTTAGCTGAATGTACCTAGCAAGCCATAATTCATAAGCCAATGACGAAGCATGGTTTAAGGCAGGGTTGGCTGGTGCCCATTGGGACAGGTAAAGTGGCTAGAGGACAGGCAGAAGCCAACTAATTCTAGGTGTGTCCCTGCTGAGTTCTACAAATGCAACACTGAGACTACAGAGGAGGAAGCTGGCAGCTAGTGCCACCCCCTGGAGGAGTTGTAAGTAAAAAGGCAAGCAAGTGGGGGACTGGCTGAGGTCAGAGTGATATTGGTTATTATCTTGGAGCTTCCAGGGCAGACCAAGGAGACACGTTTTTAATAATAATAATAATAAGTTATTTATATTCCGCCCTCCCCATCCGAAGCCTGGGAGGTATAATTACAGAAATGAAACATGCAAAATAGCGGCTATAAAATGGCAAAGGGCCAAAGCAGGTATTGCAAGCAAATGAATAATTTTAAGTCCCAATTGTTGCTTTGATTATGAAAAGCAATTCTGGGGAGAAGGCAGCACTTAGCTCTGTCTCCACCTGCCATTTTCCCCACTCTGTATTTGCAAGGGTAAGTATATACCTGGAACCCAAGATGAGAGGAAGTGTTTCGTGAGGCAACTGGGTTTTTTCTTTTTCTTTAACTGCATTTATATACTGCCTTTCTCCCATTTCCCAAGTCAGCCTTGGGCTCCCAGGTGGATATTCACCCAGGTACTGGCTAGGCCCAGACCTGTACTTAGCTTCAGCAAGGCTTCCACACAATGTGTCTTTTTCAGACCATGCGCAGGAAGAAGGAAATGGCCCTCAGGCCTCTCCCCAGCCAACACTCCCTTCTCCAGACCACAAACCCCTCTGCCTCCCCACTCCCCATCCTCATCTCTGCTCTAAACAGGTCCTTCCCCCACCCTCAGCCAGCAACAAAGCTATTTTCCCATAAACGAAGCTGTCATTGGGATTCAGAAACACACCTTTTTGCTAGTAATATCTAGTTTTGTGCTAATAGTGCAGAGCAAGAGGAACCTGCAGAAAACTGGAGAGGAAAGAGCCCCCCCATGTGCTGTCAGATGCAATTAAGCAATGAAATGAAAACACTGAACCAGTATCTACCTGACAGCAGCCTCAGATTATTTGATAATAGTTGACCGTGGTCATTAAAGGACAGTCAATTGACAACATTTGATTCATCAACTGCTGGGCACCCCAACCCTATTGATTTACGTCATGAGCAGTTTAAAGGTTCTTAGAGTAATACAACTGGACCTTTGCCAGAGGCCCTGATCAAGCCGTTTCAACGTGAGAGTGATGACAAGCAAAACAAAATGAGGCAAAGCAGGGAACTCCAGTTCAGGGTACCAGCCAGTCAGCCAGGCCCCATTCCAGGATACTTCATTCCATTCCCATTCCACTGGGTTATCTGTCTTTTTCTTCTTCTTATCAATGACTTTCTGAGGACACTTAGCATGCTCAGTCTTCAATGGTCTGAGGGTCCCATCCTGAGGTAGCTTCTTTCTCCCTAAATATTTCTTGTACTTCTTGGGGTCTGTTTCTACACCTCCCCACGCCATCACTGCACTCTATAATCTATCTATCTATCTATCTATCTATCTATCTATCTGAATCAAAATTCAAATATATCTGAGTAGGCATTTCTGGGCTCTGTGCACCTCAGCCCCCAGAGGGCAGTTCGAAACACTTGCTTCAGAACCAATATTTCTACACAATTTGTATGACATTTTCATCTGACTAGCCTAGTCATGCATTTGGGTGCAGGCCAGGTAATTCCCACAAAATGGGAACCTTCTTTCTCAGGAAAAGAATCACCTCTGGAGGGAGAAGGATCCAGATTGCAAAAGGTTTGAGGCAAAGAATTAACACACACACACACACACACACATTTTACCACCCCTGGTCATTATTTTTTAAAGTAATCACCCCCTCAATTTTAAGTCCTCAGCGCTGTGGCATCCATTCAGGCCTGAGGCTGTCATTGTTTCGAATTACAGACTTAGCAGATTCCGGTTGTGCAATTATGGCTGACTGGGAGCTCTCAAGCAATAAACCCACCCACCCAAAATACAGACTTTTCGCAATAAGGGGAAGGGGAAAGGCAGCGAGACACACGGCCCATTGACACTTGCTCTGATGCAACATCATCTAAGCACCCCACAAAAAAATAAATAAATCAGAACGAATGTTCGTTAAATAGCGAACAGTTGTCTAATCTCTTCCTGCAAATGAATCAGGAAGAATGCTCAATAAACAAACCATCCTGAAGCACCATCAGTACCTCTGTTTCTGGAAACGCATTCTCTCCAAAATGTGTGGGCAACTGGCTCAAAGGCAGAGGCCAAAACATTTCCAGTTAATGAGTGACTCAAATTGCTTAATAATCAAGAGTATGCATACTCTACAAGACACAGGGCATTTCAAAGAACGTTCCTTCATAAGACGTTCTCATATTGTGAGGGGGAAATGTTCCAAATAAACACTCCACTAACTCGGTGCAGCTTCCCTAAGAAACAGTCGCAGAAATCCAAATCTGTTTCCTAGGAACCCTGGCCACACTCCCCTCCTGCTGTTTCTTGACCAGTAGGTTGGGGGTGGTGGGTGAAGTGGGGGTGGGTGGGGGTGAAAGGGCTGTAGGCCAGCTGCTCCCACAATCCTTTGCTGGAATGTCCCAACAGCTGCCTTGATCTAAGGCTAGTAAACAGCAGCTGACAGGCCGTAGGGCAAGGGGGTGCCAAAGCGAAAGGAAAAAGGGGGATGAATCAAGGCATTGATCAGGGACACCCCCCTTCGGATGGAGGAGGCGGCAGAATCCCATATCTAGTAGAAGAGTCAGAGAAACTGCCACACTCCAGGGCCGGGAAATTTTCAGACCTTCAATGACGAATGCCCCCTCTAAAAGATGGACCTATTATAGTACACAGTAGGGCAGATATTTGCATGCAGAAGGTCTCAGACCTGGGGGGGAAAGATCCTGCCCCAAACCCTGGAGAGCAAATACCAGTCAATATAGACAAATCTGGGTTAGTAAGGCAAATAGTTTGAACTGGTTGGACCAGATGAGCTTCAGGGATCCTTCCAGCTCTACAATTCTATGGGATGTCTCCCATGGTATGGATCAGGAGGGGGTTGAGGGGCTATGGGAAATTTGGGGTGCCACCCAGCCAAGAAGCCACCCACACGTTCTGTTTCCCTCGGGTTAAACTGACATCTGCCATTCTTGTTGTTTTTAATGCAGCCCTGTGTGTTTTTCGTTCGGATGCCGCCTTGCAACATTTTATATGGAAATGTGGTTTATAAACATTAGTGTTCCCATATTTCAAAAAGTGAAAATCCGGACACAAAAGTTGTTGAGGTTTTTTTCTTTCTGGCCAAAGTTGTTAAGCTTCTCATTTTTATTTTTATTTTGCAAAATCTCTAATAATAATAATAATAATAATAATAATAAAGTTTTTGAGCAATTTTCAAGGAACCTCGGCAAAATCTAGACTTCTGACATGGGCTGCCATATGTCCGGATTTCCCCCAGACATTTCAGCAATTTCTGCCTGGACACTGCTTCCGACTGCCATACTCAGACTATGTCCAGGAAATTCTGGGCATATGACGACCCTAATAAGCATGCAAACAAATAACAAATAATCCCGGGTATGCAATGGTATCAAGTAGTGAGGGAGATGCGCTCATCCCATGTACAAAAAATGCTTTCCTTTAGTGTTGTTTGGGTCTGTTTAAAGCAGGGGTGTATTGCTGGACTTCAGCTTCCATCGTCCTTTACTATGTTGGCTGGAGCTGATGGGAGCTGGAAGCAAACATCTGGGAGCCACAGGTTCTCCACTCCAGATTTCAGAGGAAGCAGGAGGCAGAACACTGTCCTTAATGTGATTCTTCTCTGGAGAACCTATAACACTGAAAGCTGTAAGTCAGCAACCCCAACAAAGACCTTTAAAAATCCTGTGTCAGCTCTGAAGCTCACTGGTTGAAGTTTGGGCTAGAAACTATCACTGTGCCCAACCTAATCTACCTCACAGGGTTGTTGTGAGGATAAATTGCAAGGGTGAGGGAGAGAAAATCTGGACTTATACGTATCCTAAATGAAAGGTAGGAAAGAAATATGAATAATACAGTCGTACCTTGGTTTTCGAATTTAATCCGTTCCAGGAGTCTATTTGACTCCCGGAACAGTTCAAAAACCAAGGCGCAGCTTATGATTGGCTGCAGGAGCAGCCGCGCCAGATGTTCAGCTTCCGAAAATTGTTTGGAAACCGGAACAATCACTTTCGGGTTTCAATCGCTCAGGAACTGAAACGTCCAAGTTCAAAGGTGTTCGGCTTCTGAGGTTCCAGAAGGTTCTGAGGTAGTAATATTAATAATGTTTTTAAAACAGTGTAAAAGCTGTGAATATGTCCAAGAGCAGGTTGGAGAAGAGGTAGAACACTGTTGTTGTTGTTGTTGATGATGATTCTATTATATCATAATCATTATTACTGATAAGGAGGGGGAAATTGAACCGTGCAGAGAAACCACAAATACCATATTTTTTGCTCTATAGGACGCACCGGACCATAGGAGGGGGAGAACGGGGGGGGGGATTCTCCCCCTCTCTGCTCAGCACCCCTTCAGCGAAGCGGCAGGAGAAACGGAGCCCCTTCCATTTCTCCTCCCGTTCACTGAAGGGGCGCTGCGCAGAGAGGGAAAACTGTGCAGCGCCTCTCCAGCGAAGCGAAGCCTGGAGAGCAAGAGGGATCGGTGTGCACCAACCCCTCCCGCTCTCCAGGCTTCAGGCGGCTATCCGCAAGCCTTCTGAGCGCAGCGCGAACTCTCGCTGCGCTCCAAAGGCTTGCGGATAGCTGCCTGAAGCCCCTTGAGCGCAGCGGCAGTTCGCGCTGTGCTGCAGGGGCTTCAGGTTTCAGGCTTCTCCTTTTTAGCCGCAGGGCACAAGCTTCCCCCGACCCCAGCCCCCAGAACAGGTCAGGGAGCGGCGGTCCCTTCTCCCTCCTGGGGAAAAGCCCGCAAGAGCCGTGCGAAGCTTGTGTGCAGCTCTTGGGGGCTTTTCCTGCCTGCCTCCCCCCTGCATTCGCTCCATAGGACGCACAGGCTTTTCCGCTTAGTTTTTAAGAGGGAAAAAGTGCGTCTTATGGAGCGCAAAATACGGTATATACCCAAGAGCAGGCCACTGAACTTTTGCTATGAGTCTCCCACCAACCCGCCACTGAAATGTACTTAAACCTGAAATGGTGGCCTTGGGCTGAACTCTAAACATTAAAAACATGTTATGGGGCTAAACTCTGGCTCATATTAAGCCTCAGAGGGATTAAAGGGTAACCCCTGCAGGGACGTCCGTCAGATAACAAATTGGGGTGCTGCTGCTGTCTCTTGCCCCCCCCCACTCCACCCCCAGCTCCTGTCAGCAGCTGAGGGTGTCCTCATGTCGCCCAGCTGGTTTTTAACCCCCTGCAACCCAGATATCTCCCAGGGCCTCCTGGAGAAAGAAAGAAAGAAAAAACCGCAAAATGCGCTGAAGGGGTAAGGAAGGCAAGGAATCCCAGCTATGTAGGCAAGAATGCCCGGCAGCTGGGATCCCAGTGCCAGCCCAGCTTAACTGGCCTGCTGTGGAAAGCTGCAAAGCTCTGTGGATGCCCTACAGTCCTGACTCCCTGCCAGCAGAGAATTAACCATTATATTAAACAGGCTATAGGGCTGGACGTCATCGTGGGTCCCTGCTCAAGGGAAACGATCGAAGGCTGCGACAGAGGCCGAGATCCTTTAACCTCTGGTTTTATTTATTAAATTTATGTCCCACTCTTCCGCCTTCCATGCTCCCCCACCCACCTCAAAAAGGCTGCCTGTCTCTTTCTTAGGGATGGGGGAGAGATTTGATTCAGCTTGCACGTCCCTAGGCGTTCGTAGACCAAACACAAAGGTACCTCTGGTTATGAACTTAATTCGTTCCAGAGGTCTGTTCTTAACCTGAAACCGTTCTTAACCTGAGGTACTACTTTAGCTAATGGGGCCTCCCGGTGCCGCCACACAATTTCTGTTCTCATCCTGAGGTAAAGTTCTTAACCCGAGGCACTACTGCCGGGTTAGTGGAGTCTGTAACCCGAAGAGTTTGTAACCTGAGGGGTTTGTAACCCGAGGTACCACTGTACTTTAAAACTGGCACTTCCCTGAATTACCCGGAATTATTATTATTCTTTTATTTACACCCCACCCATCTGGCTGCACTGCCCCACCAAGTACAGTCTCCAGCTGCATTAACATGTAGAAAAATGCATACACTGTACTATTTATTTCTACTGTACTATTTATTTGTTTGTTCACTCGTTTTCAGAAGGCCTTTAAAGAAAGAATTCCGCAAACCGGTGTGGAATTTTCACAAGGCCTTAAAAAAACATATTGCAAACCGATGTGGAAGTGCGGTAAGCTAAACACTGGAAAAACGAGAAGCTGAGAAGAACCAAAATTGACAGAACCACCCATCCCTCCTCCTCCTCCTCCTCCTCCTTCCTCCAGAGCACCAACTTTCCAAATCGTCTCAGAGTCACACGTGCTAAGGGTGAGAGTGAGCAAAACTGTCTCCGGACCCCAGCTTGGGCAGAATGTGACTTGCATTCCAAGGAAGTTTTAAATGCAGACCAGCTGAATGGTCCATTCAGCAAGCCCTTATTGTTCCACATCCACGGCCAGGCTATTAAAAAGTATGGGGGGGGGGATCCTTTCATTTTGAACAATGGAGTGGTCGGCTGGGGGACAATCAGCTTTCCCTACCATGTTTTTCAGTCTGGACTGATGACAGTGGTACCTTGGTTCTCAAACTAAATCTGTTCCGGAAGTCGGTTCCAAAACCAAAGCGTTACAAAACCAGGGCGCGCTTTTCCATAGAAAGTAATGCAAAACGGATTAATCCGTTCCAGACTTTTAAAAACAACCCCTAAAACAGCAATTTAACATGAATTTTACTATCTAACGATACCATTGATCCATAAATGAAAGCAATAAACAATGTACTGCAGTCACACAATCAATCAGTCGGTAGCTGAACTGGGTTCACACAGCCAAAAAAACAAAACAAAGAGCCACAAAAGCAAAAACGCAAAATAAACAGCAAAATCAGACAGACCTCAGCGTAACACTCAAAACGGAGCACATTCGGCTTCTGAAAAAAGTTCGCAAACCAGAACACGTACTTCCGAGTTTTCAGTGTTTGGGTTCCACGTTGTTTGAGAACCAAGGCGTTTGAGAACCAAGGTACCACTGTATGTCCATTCTAGAGACTGCTGGTCCAAGAAAGAAGGCAGTTTCGCACTCCTCCAAACCAAACTCTTTACATATATTTTTTTGCCAAGTTCTTAGATATGCTGAACTTGCTGAGAGAATGAAAATGCTTGTCTCCTCTCCAATATTCACACACAAAAACCTCCACTTAACATAACTCACCACTCCCTTTCTAGACTTTTGCCCTTCAGCTTTCACACATACAGAGAGAAGCCAATCTCTAGCAACAGGCTTAACTGCATAAGCAAACAACATTCCCCAGAAGGAAAACAAGGATGGATGAAAGAATTAAGCAAGGCTATGAAAATACCTCTTATAGCAAAAAGGTCAGATCATTTTCTAGCAAAAATGAATCAGGAAGGGGTGCATTCAGAAGGACAGATGCAAGCCACACATTTCAGAAGCTCGCAACTGCTGGAATGTCAAGTCACGTGCAATTCCCAGCTGCAAAGTTCAGATTCCATTGTGGGATTTCGCATTTACCATGAAACACAAAGTCAGGTATTGTGAACAGCTCAGATTTCCGTTCCTAAAACCACAGATTTGCACCCAGAAACTTGAAGCACCCAGGACTCACGACAATTCACCTACATTTCAATTTTTAATTCACCCATTTATTTGAAGGCGGGGAAAGCTGTTCCTTTCAAATTTCAAAATTTGCTAGCTTTGATATCATCAGCAAATGCAGCCAGGTTATGGCTCGCAGGTAACAAATGTGATGCTCTGCAGATGTTTCCAGACTCCAGCCATCAGCCCCAGACAACATAGCTAATGTTCAGAGATTATGAGAGTTGTGGTCCACACCAGCAGAGGATACCATGTCTGTTATCCCTAATTTCACCATTTATAAACATGTGAAAAAGCATTAGTTCCAATATAGATGCTTGGAGAACCCCCTCCCTCCCCCATAATTCTATTGTGAAACTGATAATAATGATAAATAAGAATAATATACAGGTTAGTGTTCAAGTCACAGGAGACGGGCCTGTACGAAAGTTGTCAATCTTAACTGCTATATGGTACTTCAAGACTGTCACTATCTTCCAGTGAGATTCAGCCACATCCTGGCAAATTCAGGTTGCAAAATTATAATTGATTGGGAGGCCTCACATAACAAACCCGCTTGCCCCAAAGAACGGACTTTTTGCAATAAGGAAAGTGGCGGGGGGAAGTGTGAGATAACACCTGCTTTGATGCAATGTCATCTAACCTCCCTGCAAGCAAATCAGAATAAATCTGGAGGTGCTCTTCAATACTAACCCCCCCCCCAATGCCTGTCCCAGGACACTTTTTGGTAGTCTCCTTCTGTTCCTTGCAGTGCAGCAAGGTCAACCAGGATTCAGCCAGTGAATACTTAAAAAAAAAACTGAGCTGGAAGTGAATTGGAAATTATGACATGATATCTCATGATCCAGCCTCATGAAAGCATCCGCCAATCAGCATTTAGATGCTCATATGTATCATCTGTTTAATTAGATCGCCCTTTCCATCCAATTCTTTCATCTTCTCTTCATTTGGTTTGATAAATGCTCCTAAGAACTTGGCTCACGGCGCAAATTGTAAAACCCAGAGGAGAAGCAATCCATTTCATTCCAATATATGGGGTCTGAGCCAGCTACACTTGAGCAGTACAAATTATACTGCAGTGCAGTAAGTCCCATTTGCTGTTTGAAATGTTCTTGACGTTAAAATGTATTGGTGGCTCTTTCTGCTTTATTAGCAGGGACGCGGGTGGTGATGTTGGCTAAACCGCTGAGCCTCTTGGGCTTGCCGATCGGAAGGTCGGCGGTTTGAATCCCCGTGAAGGGGTGAGCTCCCATTGCTGTCCCAGCTCCTGCCAACCTAGCAGTTTGAAAGCACGCCAGTGCAAGTAGATAAATAGGTACTGCGGCGGCAGGAAGCTAAATGGCATTTCCGTGCGCTCTGGCTTCCGTCACGGTCTCTCGTTGTGCTAGAAGCGGTTTAGTCATGTGTGCCACATGACCCGGAAAGCTGTCTGTGGACAAATGCCAGTTCCCTCGGCCTGAAAGCGAGATGAGCACCGCAACCCCATAGTTGCCTTTGATTGGACTTAACCGGCCTGGGGTCCTTTTTTTATCTTTATCTTAGTTGCCCAATGCTATCATACTATTGCTGTCTGGAGAAGCCAAATCACAATAAAAGCAGGACAACTAAAATAAAAACCCACAGCATTTGCGGTATGAATAGTGGCAGGATTTCAGCAGGAAGCTACAGGACATGCACTGACTGGAAATGAAGCCATGAGACCACCCCAACTTTTAACACCTGCTGAAAACTTTTCTATCGGTCTTATACAGGCAATTAAGAACACATCCACCGTAGCTATGTCATTTCTCTGATTTTAACTTACTGATAAGTTAACTTACTGGTTTTGTATTGTACGGTTTCGTGTACAGTTGTCATGAACCGCTTTGACAGTTTGTTTGTGAATTAGTGGTGTGTAAATTTTTTAAAAAGAAATAAATAAAACGTTTGCAGGCGCAAATAATACTGGACGAGGGGTCATGTATAACCACCCTGACAGCATCGAGTGCACAAATCACAATAAAAAGGAGGAGCTCAAATCTAGAATACTGGGTTGAATGGGCCAATAATCTAACTCTGTATCAGATTGTTCCCCTGTGGTCAGTTTCCATTCGAGATCCTATGCCTTTTCAATGGCGGTTAGTAACAGTAGCACATCATGCACAGAAGAAGAAGAAGAAGAAGAAGAAGAAGAAGAAGAAGAAGAAGAAGAGGAGTTTGGATTTGATATACCGCTTTATCAGTACCCTAGGGAGTCTCAAAGCGGCTAACATTCTCCTTTCCCTTCCTCCCCCACTACAAACACTCTGTGAGGTGAGTGAGGCTGAGAGACTTCAGAGAAGTGTGACTGGCCCAAGGTCACCCAGCAGCTGCACGTGGAGGAGCGGGGAAGCGAACCCGGTTCCCCAGACTACGAGTCTATCGCTCTTAACCACTACACCACACTGGCTCTCAATCAGGGAGGATTGCTTGCTGAGGGTCTGAAGGACCTTGCCTCTTTCCGCCTGGCTTGCAGCTGCATTTAAATTGTTTTTAAATTTTCCTCTGTGTTGTTTTAAATGAGACCATCTCGGCTGTGAGCCCTGGAAGACCTGCACTCTGCCTTGCTGGCCTTTTCCCATCTGGCCTGGGAGAGTGGAGTGCTGACTGACTCCCGCTACAAAAGCTGAGGGTGTTGAACAGATTCTTGGGCTGGAGTATTGTTTTGGGGAGAGGTTGTTGCTGTTACTGATATTATTGTTGTATTTTTAGTTTTAGCTCTTATGGTGTACATGGAAATTGTTTCCATTTGGTTGTGTGCTTTTTGATGTGTTTTATTTATTGTTTACAACTTCTGTTATGTTTGTAATTATGTACAGTGGTAACTTGGGTTGCAAACACCTTGGGTTACAAACACTTCAGGTTACAGACTCCGCTAACACAGAAGTAGTACCTCGGGTTAAGAACTTTACCTCAGGATGAGAACGGAAAATGCGCAGCGGCAGCGGGAGGCCCCATTAGCTAAAGTGGTACCTCAGGTTAAGAACAGTTTCAGGTTAAGAACGGACCTCCGGAACGAATTAAGTTCGTAACCAGAGGTATCTTGTCATGTTTTAAATATGGAAAGGCGGCATACAAACAAAATGATGATGAGGCTGATGAGAACCTAAGAGCCCTGCAGGATCACGCGAGGGACTCATCTTGTCCAGCATTCTGTTCTCACACTGGCCAACCAGATGCCTGTGGGAAACCAGCAAGTAGGATTCGAACACAAGACCATTCTCCCCTCCTGTGGTTTCCAGCAACTTGTATTCAGAAGCATCACTGCCTCCAACTGTGGGCGCAGAGCGCAGCCATCATGGCTGGTAGCCATTGACAGTCCTCCATGAATTTGTCTAATCCTCTTTAAATAAGATTTTATTAAGACTTCCCATAATCCACTTTTTAATTCACCTAGGTTGGCGGCTCTCACCGCATCCTGTAGCAGCGAGTTCCATAGCTCAACTACGTGCTGCATAAAGACGCCCCCGTGTATAAGACTCCGTTTTTGGGGACTCCAAATTAAGAAAACAGGGAAAATTAAGGTTCTTTCTGTTTTGGTAAGGGTGCTGAGAGTTGTTAGGAGACTGCCGTCCTGCTTTGGTTATCAGAATGGCTGAACAACCAGTCCCTTTTCACAGGGAACTCTGGGCCTCATAACAAGTCTCTTAGCAAACTACAGATCCCAGAATTCTTAGGGGGGAATGTCATGACTCTTTCAAGTGCTTTAAATGCATTGGTGTGAATGCGGCCTCAGTTTCTGGAGCGACACATCCATAAATAATTTTGTGTTCTTGAAACGTGACATTGGTAGCATCGTTTCCGTCTCGTGTAAACAGCAACAGAGAGTGCTGCGTCCAACAAAGTTCCATTCAGAGCAACACACCCTCCAATATCCCGCGGATCAAAATCGGGACGCCTCGGGCAAGAGCACGAAACCCCCCAAAAAACCTGAGGGCCTTTTGTTCTGGCGCTCCGGCCAGCTGAATCGCGCCAAAGTGCCAGACCAAAAAACGGGACATGACTGGTTAGACGCAGGGTGGGTAAAAATCAATGATTTTTTAAAAAAAAAATCTAAAAAATCAGATTTTTTAAATTTAAATTGGATTATTTGGATTTAAATTGGATTTAAAAGGTAAAGGGACCGCTGACTGTTAAGTCCAGTCACGGACAACTCTGGGGTTGCGGCGCTCTTCTCGCTTTACTGGCCGAGGGAGCCGACGTTTGTCCGCAGACAGTTTTTCCAGGTCATGTGGCCAGCATGACTAAGCCGCTTCTGGAGAACCATAGCAGTGCGCGGAAATGCCGTTTACCTTCCTGCTGGAGTAGTACCTATTTATCTACTTGCACTGGCGTGCTTTCAAACTGCTAGGTTGGCAGGAGCTGGGACAGAGCAATAGGAGCTCACCCTATCGCAGGGATTCAAACCACCGACCTTCCGATCGGCAAGCCCTAGGCTCAGTGGTTTAGACCACAGCGCCACCCGCATCCCATTTAAATTAGATTATTTTTATTTAAATTTGATTTTTAAAAGAAAATGCTTCTGGAGGAAAAAATCTTCTAAAGATAGTTTTCTGTTTAAGTTACATTATAGTCCAAAGGCTATTCATCGGGAAATCCTATAAGGATTTGTTTTAAGTTTTTCATGTGTGTTAAAACTCAGTCTAAGTTTTGTTTTTGTTTTTTTAAGTTTAACCACATCAGTTAACAAACATGGATACATATGCTATAATGTTATTGCTTTAGTTAAATAAATTGTTATTAAGGAAATGATTATTTTTCTCCTTCCAATAAAGTACAGCAGAAAAGTTGTCCAAATATAAACAGTTAACTTATTAAACCTCACAATAATTTCATAATTATCTGTCTATGTATTTCCAATAGTATAACCAAATCAGTAATTTTTGATATAACTGTAAAAACTACTCTGAAAATTTATTATTCCAAAAATGAAACCTTCATCTGGTTGTAAATATTAAGATTATACAGTGGTACCTCTGGTTAAGAACTTAATTCGTTCCGGAGGTCCGTTCTTAACCTGAAACTGTTCTTAACCTGAAGCACCACTTTAGCTAATGGGGCCTCCTGCTGCCGCCGCGCAATTTCTATTCTCATCCTGAAACAAAGTTCTTAACCCGAGGTACTATTTCTGGGTTAGCAGAGTCTGTAACCTGAAGCGTCTGTAACCAGAGGTACCACTGTACCAGCAAGAATGAGTCTTTCTGTTAAATAAAAAAAAAAAATTTAAATCAAGTCTTACCGACTAGTGAATTAAATCGTGATTTAAATCGTGATTTAAATTGATTTGATTTAAATCAAATCCACCCTGGTTAGACCCAGTGCAATTAATGGGCCTACGTTAGTTGTGTTCATTACTTTCAATGGGTCTACTCTTGGGTACGACTAACACCACTGCTGTTCCCTGGAGATCAGTTTTAGAAAAGAAAAGCAATTCGGAATAAGGGGCTCCATGTGGGATTACGTGACTTCTGCGTCACCGCCAAGCAATGCTCCCTTCTAATTATAGGGTGGCCTTTGCTGCCCTATAGCGAAGGTAGCCCCAGCATCCTGTTTATTAGTAACTCCCTTTCTGGACTGCCCAGAATTTCACACTGTGACGCTGTCTAGCTTCAAATAGGGGAAGGGGTCGGATTAGGGGCCTAGATGTGGAGTCACGCCATCAATAAAGCTTGAGAGATAAAGCCCACAGGAAACAATTCCTTCCCCCCATGGATCTCTCCACCTGTTCGCCTTGACATATCCCTGTCGAGAATTTGAAACGTAAGTCATGCAACAAGAGAAAGCAAAAGCCCCCACTAGCCCTGCACAAAATACCCACATTTTGCAGCTGAATGTTAACAGCGAGTGGGGAATAATAGTACAGTGGTACCTCGGGTTACAGACGCTTCAGGTTACAGACTCCGCTAACCCAGAAATAGTACCTTGGGTTAAGAACTTTGCTTCAGGATGAGAACAGAAATTGCGTGGCGGTGGCAGGAGGCCCCATTAGCTAAAGTGGTGCTTCAGGTTAAGAACAGTTTCAGGTTAAGAACAGACCTCTGGAACGAATTAAGTACTTAACCCGAGGTACCACTGTACAATTATTTAGGATTGCTCAAAGCACTTCACATATCTCAGGGCTCAGCTAGACACAATGGCGGGAACCGTATTTGCTTGCTCACTTGACAGCCCTGCTCATGTTTTCAAAGCAGGTGGGTGGGTCTAATTTTAGCATCTATAAGGGCACGCAAGCGAGGGGAACTAAACCCTTCCCTCCCTCGCTTTACCTCACCAAAATCCTCTGCCTGAACTCTTTCCCCTCCTGCTTTTTTGCCAGTCTACCTCTCGTACTGGAAGTGAGCTGAAAAGGGAAATTAAGGCTGCGGGAGGAAAGTTTAGCTCCCCCTTTACCCGTTCATCCCTTTCAATGCTAAAATCCGACCCTCGCAACTCTGCCTTTTACAAAGCAAATGGCAACTGCCGTCCTGTCTGGTGGCCTTCCCTAAGCCCTGCAACAGCCACTGTAGGGTAGTGGTTAGAGCAGGGGTCAGCAAACTTTTTCAGCAGAAGGCCGGTCCACTGTCCCTCGGACCTTGTGAGGGGCTGGACTATAGTCTGAAAAGGGGAAAAAATGAACGAATTCCTATGCCCCACAAATAACCCAGAGATGCATTTTAAATAAAAGGGCACATTCTGCTCATGTAAAAACACACTGATTCCCGGACCGTCCACGGGCCGGATTTAGAAGGTGATTGGGCCAAATCTGGCCCCCAGGCCTTAGTTTGCCTACCCATGGGTTAGGGCCTGGGTTCAAATCTCCCACCCAGCCATGAAGCTCACTGGGTGGCACTAGTCCCCATCTCTCAGCCGAACCTAACTCATAAGACTGTTGTGAGGAGTCGAAGACTCTTGTACACCACCTTCAGCTGTTTGGGGGAAAACGTTCAGAAACCAAGGCACGGTTGGAAGGGTAGAGAAAGGGTTAAGCACCCATATACTCCGCTTCTCCCTTGCAAATGCCAGCACAGGATTCGGGCATCTAATAAAGAGAATATTTTAAAATTGCAGACGTTTACATAGAATACGAATCCTCAATATTTCAAACACATACTTCAGGAGGGGGAGTTACTGCATTGTGCTGACCCATACAAATTCTTGATGTTATTGCCAGATACATACTGGCTGCTTTCAAATGCAAAATTAAATCATATGTCAACATTATGCGCAGAGGGCAGTCATAAGCCCAGGGCCTATGCACTGCTTCCTCGCCTTCCTTCATCTGTAAGGGGAAATCAGGAGCTTTTACGGTCATACCTTGGTTCTCAAATGGAATCCATTCCGGAAGTCCGTTTGACTTCCGAAAACATTCGAAAACCAAGGCACAGCTTCCGATTGGCTGCAGGAACTTCTTGCAGCCAATCGGAACCCGCGTCGGACACTCAGGTTCCGAAGAACGTTCGCAAACCGGAACATTCACTTCCGGCTTTGCGACGTTCGGGAGTCAAAACATTCAAGTCACAAGGCATTTGAGAACCAAGGTACGACTGTAGTTGCATTTGACCGCTAGTCAGAGCTCGCCATTGTGCCTGAACCCAGCAAACTGTGGTTTGCACTCAAACAGCAAACTGATCTCAGTTGGAAGCTTCTAATTTCCTCTCCCCAGGAGTGAAGGAAGGAGAGGAGGGAGAGCAAAGACTCTTGGCAGCTCATCCCCATGACCATAGCTGTCAAGCGTCCCTTATTTAGCGGGACAGTCCCTTATCCCAGCGCCATTTCCTGCTGCTGTCCGTTATTGATGATGTCCCTTAAATAAGCTACTGAAGGTAATGGGGTCCTTTCTATGTCCAGCTGTCCTTTGTCAACAACAAATTGTTGCTGTTTTTTTGTGTTGAATATATGCTATATGGTAATTTATGGACCTAATAGGTATCTAAAGCCATTTGCATGCAACAAAATATGTATTTTATCAAAGTAATTGTTGATCCCTTATTTTGGCTGCTGATCCCTTATTTTCGAGGCTGCTGGTCCCTTATTTTCAAATCTGTAAGTTGACAGCTATGCCCATGACAATAAACTCTGGTTTAGCATTATTTCTGAATGCAGTCACAGCATTTGAATGGGTCAGCACTGCTGTGCTACAGGTAGCATTGGCTGTTTCTCATCAGAGGCCAGTGTTTGCGTTTTGAGATACTGGGTAGTACACGTTAAAATGGCAACTTTGCTTTCTATTTTCCGCAAAACATTGCAATGCGCAGGGTAGAGTCTGCGATATAAATGGACCTTACATTAATTCTTGCACGGTTACATTTAGGCAATTGTCAATTACATCACCCTTTCTTTTTTAGTGTTTTTGGTGTTCGCATATTCTCCACTGCACCTTTTTGGCAAGAGTCCAGCTCTCTTGCTAGGACGAGGCCCCTCGTGCCAAGACCCGAACTCAAGCCCCCCTCCTCCTCCCATCATGCACGGCTCCAGCCAGTGCGTCTACATGATTCATAAATTTGGAAAGGAGGGATTATCTGCACCAGCCTCCTCCGAAAGCAGGATTCCCTAAACTTAAGCCATAACCACTTAGAGATCCCCCTCCAAACACGCTTTTTATTAGCTCGTTTCCTTTTAATGGCTTTAATACTTTCTTTCTCGTGGGCTAGGCATTGGTTAGATTTCTGGTTTTTTGTTGTGGTTTTTTTAAAGGATGCATATGCTGTCCCTTCAGTGGAGCGTAGAATTGGAAGGGACCCAAGGGTCATCTAGTCCAACCCCCTGCAATGCAGGAATCACAACTAAAGAATCCCCGGGGGAAAAATGGCTATCCAACCTCTACTTAAAAACATCCAATGAATAAGAGTCTGCCACCTTCTGAGGGATCCTGTTCCACTGACAAATTGCTTTTAACGTCAGGAAGTCCTTCCTAATGTTGAGTCGGAATCTCCTTCCTTGTAATTTGAACGGTTTGGGTCCTACCCTTCAGAGCAGGAGAAAACAAGCTTGCTCCAGACTTCCAGGTGACAGCCCTTCAGATGATTTGAAGATGATTGTCATTTCATCTCTCGATCTTCTCTTCTCCAACTCCCTCAACTGTTCCTCCGTAAGGCTATGTTTCCAGAACCCTGATAATCTTGGTTGCCTTCCTCTGCACATGTTCCAGCTTGCCAATATCCTTCTTAAATGCTGGCATCAGAACGGGACACAGTATTCCAGATGTGGTCTGACCAAGGCAGAATAGAGCGGGACTATTCTTTGATCTGACACGGGTGGCGCTGTGGGTTAAACCACAGAGCCTAGGACTTGCCGATCAGAAGTCGGCGGTTCGAATCCCCGTGACGGGGTGAACTCCCGTTGCTCGGTCCCTGCTCCTGCCAACCTAGCAGTTCGAAAGCACGTCAAAGTGCAAGTAGATAAATAGGTACCGCTCCGGCGGGAAGGTAACGGCGTTTCCGTGCGCTGCTCTGGTTCACCAGAAGCGGCTTAGTCATGCTGGCCACATGACCCGGAAGCTGTACGCCGGCTCCCTCGGCCAATAAAGCGAGATGAGCGCCGCAACCCCAGAGTCAGTCACGACTGGACCTAATGGTCAGGGGTCCCTTTACCTTTTTATTGTTTGATCTGGACACTATATTCCTGTTGACGTAGCCTAGAATAGCATTAGCTTCTTTTGCTGCTGCATCACACTGTTGACTCATGTTAAGTTTGTGGTCTACTATGACCCCTAGATCCTTTTCACATGTAGTGCAGTCAACCCATCCTGTATTTGTGCATCTGATTATTCCTGCCTAAGTACAGAACTTTACTTTTGTCCCGATCAAAATTCAGATTTCTCCAATCTGGGCAGTTACCAAGAGGGCAAACTTTCAGAATAGATTTTTTTGAAAAACACTGAAGAGCATTATGCTCTTTAATTGTGCCAGATCAACAGAACTTCAGAAAGATGCATCAATCTCGTACAACTATATCCATGCCAAAAGGTGCAAAGCCCTCTTAGTAAAAAAGGACACATCCATTGTGGGAATCATCTTAAAACAGGGGAGGAAATTTTGACAATGAATGAATAGCCTTTTAATAATTATAGTTTCAAAGGGGCGGGGGGAGGAAACTACCTCTGACTGAAAGGACAGGTGCTTGGGAACTCAGGGCCCCAAACTACAGTGCTGCGCAAACTTCACCTGAAAGCAAATCCTGAAAACTGGTTTTTAAGCAAATAAAGTGAAAAAGGCTGGGAGGGGAGTGAAGGCCGAAACACATGGCGTTTTCATGTTTCTTAAGTTTAACATTGTTTCCTTGACTATACAGTAACCGGAAGTTTTGGGGCCAGGCACACTAAACAAATCAACTACAGTGGTACCTCAGGTTACATACGCTTCAGGTTACATACGCTTCAGGTTACAGACTCCGCTAACCCAGAAATATTACCTCAGGTAAAGAACTTCGCTTCAGGATGAGACCAGAAATCGGGTTCGGGCGGTGCGGCCACAGCAGGAGGCCCCATTAGCTAAAGTGGTGCTTCAGGTTAAGAACAGTTTCAGGTTAAGAACGGACCTCCGGAACGAATTAAGTTCTTAACCCAAGGTACCACTGTACTTGCTTGTTGAGCCCATGAGTATCATTTTTCTACAGCGCCTCTCCACAGCATTTTTACTAAGCAAAAATACTTTCCGGTCCCTTACTAAATTTTACTTCCATCACGTAAGATTGTGAGACAAGACACAATGTGAGTAAGGTGGCCTTTTTCTGCAGGCATCAGGCCAACATTCAACAGGTGCAGTAGTTCCTTGCACGAGCATGCAGCAGTGGGGGAAGCTGCACCTGAATTTCTGCCCGCTACACAGTCCTTAAGGGCACAGGACCCCGGCCAAAGAGTGAAAAGAGAGAAGTATGTTCACTCATGGTGTATTCCCATGACATTGCCTCCAGCTACTCAGGGAAGACTCACTGAAACTAAGGAAGATGTTTTAGGCATATCTAATAACTTCAGTAAGGGACGCGGGTGGCGCTGTGGGTTAAAACACAGAGCCTAGGACTTGCCAATCAGAAGGTCGGCGGTTCGAATCCCCGTGACGGGGTGAGCTCCCGTTGCTCGGTCCCTGCTCCTGCCAACCTAACAGTTTGAAAGCACGTCAAAGTGCAAGTAGATAAATAGGTACCGCTCCGGCAGGAAGGTAAACGGCGTTTCCGTGCGCTGCTCTGGTTCGCCAGAAGCGGTTTAGTCATGCTGGCCACGTGACCCGGAAGCTGTACTCCGGCTCCCTCGGCCTGTAAAGCGAGATGAGCGCCGCAACCCCAGAGTCGGCCACGACTGGACCTAATGGTCAGGGGTACCTATACCTTTACCTTTAGTAACTTCAGTAGGTCTACTCTGAGTAGGACTAGCATGGAATACCACCCACTTATGCCAAAATAAATGTCCTCTGATAATAAAAATGAGATGGGGTGGGTGGGAGAAGAGAGAATTCTGGGGCCTTTTGCTGAAAATCAAGCGTTGCTTGGAGAGAGGGTGAGATTCATCAAGCCCTTTTCTGTTGCAAAGTCTACTTTGGCATATTCAGAAGTAGATTTACTCTGAAACTGGAGGTTCTATCTAGCCATCAGTTGACCAATGTCTTTCTTTTTCCATATCCAGACGCAGTCCACCTCTCCGAATACGCCGAAGGAGACAAACGGCAGAACTGGATGCAACCCGTGATTTCCCAAGACGCCAAACAAGTCCCATCTCTTTCTTAAAAATGGCCCAACGAAACAACCCAGCAATATCCCTTGCAGACCAAACCCACAGCATGTGACAAAACCCAACCCACGCACAGCACAACAGCTGTAGTAATGAAAAGAATGCCACATGGCGTGAGGAGTTGCGAAGGAAGGCACAGCAGCCCCTGGGTATTTAACTTAATTGCAAAAGAAAGAATCTCAGCAAGCGAAGGTGGTCATGCAGGGGTTATGAGAAAAGGAGGGGAAAGCTGCCTTTACTCTTCCACATTACTCTTCAGGGCACAGCAACCACCCCAGCTGATAACGTGGTACCACAACTGGTCAGGGATGATGGGAGTCGTGTTTGGCAGCAACACCCGGAGGGCTACAAATTCATAGCTGTCAACCTTCCCTTTTTTTGTGGGAAATTCCCTTATTCCAGCGCCGTTTCCTGCCGCTTCCCACTGCTATCCCGGATTGTTAGATATTCCGTAGACTGTCCCCGGGACAGGTGAGGCTGCTGATCCCTTATTTTCAAAACTGAAAGTTGACAGCTATAGACAAATTCCCCAGCCCAGCATGGAACTATGAACTGCCTTAGCAAATCTAAGAAAAGACAGATAACAGGCCAGCACACCTGCCAAAGCAGCAACGCTATCCAGGAAGCTACTTTTGCCTGGCACTGTCCACTCTTGACTGGCAGCTGCTCTCCAATGGTCTCTGACAGAGAAAGGTCTTTCCCATCACCTGCTAGCCTAAGATGTGAGGCTTTGAGCCTACGACTTTCCATATGTACAGTGGTACCTCGGGTTACAGACGCTTCAGGTTACAGACGCTTCAGGTTACAGACTCCGCTAAACCAGAAATAGTAACTTGGGTTAAGAACTTTGCTTCAGGATGAGAACAGAAATCGTGCTCCAGCAGCACGGCAGCAGCGGGAGGCCCCATTAGCTAAAGTGGTGCTTCAGGTTAAGAACAGTTTCAGGTTAAGAATGGACCTCCGGAATGAATTAAGTTCTTAACCTGAGGTACCACTGTACTTTGCAGATGGCCTGAGCTTTATTGGGGCAGGGAGTGACTGTGTTCAGCTGATGATTGTGTCCAGGGTAATATAATAACCAGCATTCTGTCCTCAGGCCAAAGCCTTCTCAAAATACACTGAGCCTCAGTTTCCTCCCCAAGAACATGAGGATTGCCGTGCTAGGTCAAGCCAAGAGTCCACTAATCTCAAATGTTTTATCAGCTGACAGTGGCCAGCCAGATGGAAGGTCACACGCAGGGCACCATGAGGATATACTTCCCATTCCTTAAAAAAAAAAATCCTTAACATCTGGTGGCCAGAGGTAGACCATCTCAGAACATGGAGGATGGATTTTTGTGATCCTTCACAGGTGCATTCTTTAAAAGCTATTTAGACTGCAACCCTATTCCCATTTAGCTCAGAGTAATTCCCACTGAACTCAAATAGTTCACAGAGCAGCAACCCGAAAATGGGCATTTTCCACCATCACCCTTGGGCCATATGAGAAGCAACATCCATCAGTTGTTTCCAAACATCTTGTACAGACATCTTGTTCTGCCCAGGCTTTCGCTGACTATTACTGAATGGTTTTTTTTAAATCTCTTTTTCAGGATGCTGCTTTCCTCCTTTTACGTTTGTTATCTCTTGTTTTTATTATACTGATTTATTGGGTGGTTTCCAAGTAGCACATTCCATTAGCACAAGGACTTCTGCCTTTGCAACAGAGCTCCTCAACCTTCTCCCCAAATCTGTTCTGGGGCTCACCCACCCTCTGGAGCAGGGGAGGGCACAGGATGTGCACACGGAGGAAAGTAGGGGGGGAGTTCCGTTACACAAGTGAAAATCCTTGCGTTGGTGGGACGACAAGTTAGCTAGATGCCACCCATTGCATTTATGAATAATTTTTATTAATCAACCAATCACATCAAATCAAACCAAATTACATAAATTCCAAATTACACAGCCGAATTTTAAATTTTTGTTGGGGGTACCCATATTTCAAGTTCCGAAGGGATCCAATCAACTTCTTGCTTCTTACTGCTGTTTTAATGTCCACAAATCTAACCTTATGATGTTCACAGTACTATCCAGTCCTTTCTTATTATTTTTCCACATCTCTTGTTGTTATTTTCATATATTTTTCCTTTCTCTTTGTGACCTCTGATAGTCTCCGCAAGCTGGTTAGAACAGTTTGTAATCCTGCGTGGATATTATTTTTTTTATCCAGTAGCCATATCCAGATGTTTTCCATATAACATCACTTCCATACATCAAAACAGTCTTAGCGTCATTAATCTTCACCAATCTGCCTCCTTTCTCAAAACCTCTGAGGAGATTCACTAGGAATGCTGTCTGAAAACAAATCCGTTCTTCCTCCCGGCTATAAATCCTTTGGCAAGATGGCGACTCTGAATTAATTGCTGCACCATTCCCAAAAGCTCTTATTGCTTCTCAGTCTCCATAAAGCATACTTTTGGTTAAAGTTTATCTCCACACAGACCTTAATCATCCTGCTTGGGTCAGTTCAACCGACGATTCTAATGAGGAGGGGTTCTTGTAAATCACATAGAAGGAAAGTAAAAAAGGTTTTCCCCCCTCATTCAGCCCCGTTGTCAACATACCCCGCCTTTGGTGTATCTTCATCGTAAAATATTCCTGTTTCTCCAGCCCGTCGTCTTCTTTCGCAGAGGTCACTTAAATTAACAGACTTCACTCCCCTTCTTCACTTGAAATATGTGCATTTGCTTCTTCTGTAATTAATTATTCCAAATTGCTGCAACTAGTGCGCGATCAGAGACAGCGTCCAGGAGAGCCGAGGTCCACACGGGGGCATTCTGCCTAGGGCCCTCACCCCCTTCTTTCAAATTAGAGGGTGATTTATGGGCACAGCAGGCAAGGGCAGTGTTCCCCATTTCCTTGGGGCAACAAGGGAGGCTGCCTACTCCCATAACAGCCTCTTAATTACCCCGTGTGGGTCGGAGAGATGGTATTGTCGGCCATCTTCCAATGCGCCCCCTAGTGGCCCCCCACCTATTGCATTTATGTTGGGTTTCTCTGTGCCGCTTAAAGGTAAAGGTAAAGGGACCCCTGACCATTAGGTCCAGTCATGGCCGACTCTGGGGCTGCGGCGCTCATCTCGCTTTATTGGCCGAGGGAGCCGGCGTACAGCTTCCAGGTCATGTGGCCAGCATGACTAAGCTGCTTCTGGCGAACCAGAGCAGCACACGGAAATGCCGTTTACCTTCCCGCCGGAGCGGTACCTATTGATCTACTTGCACCTTGACGTGCTTTCAAACTGCTAGGTTGGCAGGAGCAGGGAGCGAGCAATGGGAGCTCACTCTGTCGCGGGGATTCGAACTGCCAACCTTCTGATCAGCAAGCCCTAGGCTCTGTGGTTTAACCCACAGCGCTACCCACGCTGTGCCACTCAGAGATCTTTTCAGTACTAAGTGGTTTAGAAATGCTAATAAGCAAACAAATATGGTCGTACCTTGGAAGTCGATCTGTTCCGGAAGTCCGTTCGACTTCCAAAACCAAAGCGCGGCTTCTGATTGGCTGAAGGAAGCTCCTGCAGCTAATTGGAAGCCGCGGAAGACCTGTAGGGCATTCCGATTCCAAAAGAACGTTCGAAAACTGGAAGTCACTTCCGGGTTTCAATCATTCGGGAGCCAAAACATTCGAGAACTAGGGTGTTCGACTTCCAAGGTACGACTGTAGTTCTGCATTGAGATGTATAGGACTCCAGAGTTAATGTGGTAACTGCCACCATTCGTGGGAAGTTACTATAGGGGCATTCTGGTCTCCTACAAATACAGTACAGCTTTCTTTCTTTCTTTGTAAAGGCTTGCTGCTTGCTCTTTTATATCGCGAAGATTCTTGATTAGGCCAACCTACGCTCACTTATCTAGAAACATAAATCTACTGAGCTCAAAAACACAGGATCAAGTTGCTTATTTTGCTCTTCCAGATCATGGAGAGGCGCATACCGAAGCCATCCTACTGCCTGCCTTCCCTCTGGGCCCCACTCCCAAGCTTGTCTTCTTAACCATGTTAAGGACTAGAAACTTGCATGGCAAGCCACTTAAAGAGTCTCAGTTCTGCAGCAGAAAAACTGCAGCAGCACAGAACTGCTTGTGTTCAAACCTGAATCCTTCCTGAAGCAACCACAGACCGACGGGGGATAAGCTTGCGCTAAGGGTTGATTAATGTGCCCCGACGGACATGAGAATATTGGGTTGTCAGAGAACGCTCTTAATGTCCTTTTGCCGTGTTCATCATTTTACCCTGCCCCAGACAACTTCACCTCAGCTCCCTACAGGTTTCCATCTAAGAGACTGCTGATTCAGCCACAGCATCCCGCAAGGAGTGATTATTGGCAGAGGCGCCTGAATGTGTGGAATGCTCCATCAATGATATGTTGCCTTTATTAACATGTCGGCTTAGTTAACTATTGAATATTACAGTTACCGAGAGAGATACCCCATAATGGTGCAGCAAGGAGCAAAACACCCAGGAATGTTGGAAATCAACTTGTTGCCTTGTCCTCTACCTTTCTTCTTAGGCAATTTCCCCCTCCTTTCATGTTCCCAATCTCCCCATGGTCCAGACGCAGATTGTAAACTCCTTGGGGCAGGGGACTTTTCACTTTGATTAAATAACAAACAATAACAATACTGACAGTGAATCAAAAAGGAACAAAGGCTGCAGCAAAGGGAGATACAGAAAGCGGCGGCTGTTCCACTGTTTTTGCTGAGAGACAAGCGCCAACATCTCCTCCGCTCCAGCAGATCAATTATAATTACAGTGGTACCTCGGGTTAAGTACTTAATTCATTCCGGAGGTCCATTCTTAACCTGAAACTGTTCTTAACCTGAAGCACCAACTTTAGCTAATGGGACCTCCTGCTGCCACCGCGCTGCCGGAGCACGATTTCTGTTCTCATCCTGAAGCAAAGTTCTTAACCTGAGGTACTATTTCTGGGTTAACGGAGTCTGTAACCTGAAGTGTATGTAACCCAAGGTACCACTGTACTAGCTTAACTGGTGGTTGTGTTTGCTTGTTTTCCTTTTCCCTCCCCATCCCCATTTCCTTTTGTGTCGTGCCTTTTAGATTCTGAGGGCATAGACTGTCTTCTTTGTTGCTCTGGGAGCCTTTTTTGACTGGACATATGAGAATTTAATGTGTGGGTAGACCAAAAAAATGTTTGCAGACGAGTATTTACAGGTGCAATTGTCAGGGAACTGGTATCGGCCGCATCTCTCTACTAATGAGTGTGCATGTGAGAGTCAGGCGGTCAGAGAGCATCGCTAATGCCATTTCGCCTTGTTCGTTTACACATGTAGCGTGCGGCCTTCGACAAATTGCAGCCTCAGCTACTTATCTGCAAATCTCCCTAAGCAGAAACCAGAACTGAAGGCTCCACCGCTGGTGCGATCACGAAACAAGAGCTGGGAGGATTATCGCTAATAGCGAGCTCACTCTCCAAGGGCTGGTCCTTATGTAGCCAAAAACAGCTCTATCCTAGGCACAAGAGCAAGCTTGCTGAAGTCCCTAGATTTGCAAAAGTACACAGAAATCTACAGGAAGTTGGGGGGAGAAGGAATAAAAGGCAAGGAGGCCCCCAAAACAGCCCAATGCAAACTGAGCATGCTCAGTGGACACAGAATGCTGAGTGGCTGCTGGACAAGATCCAGGAAATGGAGATAAATGGAGTGTCCTGGAAATGGGCACTTGCGGTTAGCCGGAACCCTGAACAGGAAGCACACGACACTGCAACATTTTCTTCCCCGTCCCGTTTATTTATTCCCAGCATCCTCGAACCCAGAGTTATCTGGGAATTCTAATAAACCAAAAAACCCAGGGTTCGGAAAGCTTCCGTCCGCCATCTTGATTCAAAATGGTGCCCAACCGTATCCAAGCACAGAAGCAAACCCACTCCTCGTTCTCAGGAGCCATCGTGCAAAACGTGGTTAAGATGTTTTTAAAAGAGACGTCCCTACAAATAGCAAACAGGCAACTTTCCAAAATATATAGAAGATGGTGATTATGAATATTATTATATTCTGCCTTTCTTGGAAGGAGTTCAGGGCAAAACACAAGGTGCTTTGCTTCAACCACTTTTATCCTCCCAATAAGCCTGTGGGGTAGGCTATCTAGAGACAGACTGACTGATTCATGGCCTCTCAGTGAACCTCCTAGCTTAGTGGGAATTTGAGCCTGAGGCCTTGTCTGCGGAATGATCTCCAAACTGAAGGGTGTCTTGCCCTAACTTTAGATTCTACTATTTATTTACTTATTTTGTTTGTTTGTCCCCTTCTTAGAAGGCAACTCAAAGCAACTTGCACCAAAATAAGATAAAAAGCAACAATGAAACCTAAAAACACAACAATTCAAATAGAAGCCTGAAAACAAAGTTAACAAGAAGAAGAAGAAGAAGAAGCAGCCAGGACTACAGATCCCATCCCATGAAAAGAAGTCAGAGTGCTACTCTCCAAATTAAGGGCCAAAAGCTCAGAGGAACAAGAAAATACACTAGGTTAAAAACACACCATCTCACAAACACACACACACCTTTTCCACTGGTTTTTTAAGAAGCTGATGGGTTAAAGTCATTTCTGGGATGTTGTTAATTATGTACCTCATGAGAATTATTTTAAGCTTTCTGTTTTATGATATACAGTGGTACCTTGGGTTAAGAACTTAATTCGTTCCAGAGATCCGTTCTTAACCTGAAACTGTTCTTAACCTAAGGTACCACTTTAGCTAATGGGGCCTCTTGCTGCTGCCATGCGATTTCTGTTCTCATCCTGAGGTAAAGTTCTTAACCCGAGGTACTATTTCTGGGTTAGTGGAGTCTGTAACCCAAAGTGTTTGTCACGTGAGGTGTTTGTAACCCGAGATACCACTGTATTCTCCAATCAGAGTGGCTGGGGAAACCCAGCCAGATGGGTAGAGTATAAATGATAAAAGTTTTGTTTATTTATTTTATTGATGATGATGATGATGATGATGGACTGCCTGGTGACCACCTCTGGGGAAGGGCAGTCCAGATATAGATATACCGGTAGATATAGTGGTACCTCAGGTTACATACTCTTCAGGTTACAGACTCCGCTAACCCTGAAATAGTGCTTCAGGTTAAGAACTTTGCTTCAGGATGAGAACAGAAATCGGGCTCCGGCGGCATGGCAGCAGCAGAAGGCCCCATTAGCTAAAGTGGTGCTTCAGGTTAAGAACAGTTTCAGGTTAAGACGGACCTCCAGAACGAATTAAGTACTTAACCCAAGGTACCACTGTATAGAGATAGAGATAGAGATAGAGATAGAGATAGAGATAGAGATAGAGATAGAGATAGAGATAGAGATAGAGATATATGGAAAACCACCACAAAACAACCAGCAACATCACACTTAGTATGCATTGGGTTGTTTCCACCCCCTTCCCCCGTTCAAAATAAAGATTTATTGTACTTCTACAAACCTCAGGGTTCCCCCGGGTCTCCAACTGACACCCCCTTTGCGCTTGGGTGGTGTTGTTTTGGCTGTGTAAGCCACGGCCCTCACTGGCTGGTGCCATTCAGACAGGTAAGGTGGGATGCTGGGAGCCCACACAGGATGTGCAGCTGCAGCCAACGGCATCCAAGGAATCCTGGCTTTGCCCCAATCCTCCTCCCTGCTGAGGACCAGAGGGAGGAAGAAGCTGGCAGGCAGTTTCATTCACCCCCCTGGATGTAGGTGACGGAGACTTAAAGAGGACTTGAGGTTGGTGGGACAGCGACCCGTTTGCCCTCCTGGAAAAGCCTCCACCAGCCCGAACGCTGGATGCAGATGGCCGGAGGGAACTTGCGCACTTGTGGCAGTGCTGCTGCCTCCTTGTCCTATGTTGCGTTCTTTCCCAAAGGCATCCAACTGTCCACTGCGAGAACCATTGGGGGCCAGAGCCTGATCCAGCAAGGAAAGCTTCTATTGAGTCTACTCTGACTGGCAGTGGAAGCTCCCCAGGATCTCCCCAGTCCTACCAGAAGTGTTAGGAATTGAACCCGCAACCATGAGCCAAGAAAGCACTCTGCCATGGATCCCCAATCCTTCTCTGAGATTCTTGTCCTTTGGCTAATTAAATACTGTTTGCAACACGCTCATGTCCCCTTTTACCCCGAATTAATCCATCTCAAAGAATGACCGCTCTCTGCTTCTGCACACACAGACATAACTAAGTTTTACCCTGAAATGAATGCACCCAAAGTTGCTCTTCACTATTCATGTTATTCATGTTACTTCCCTGCCAGTGTTAGATCTTCAGATTTATGCTAATCGCCAAATGGCACCTTAAACCACGGTTAGGGTCGCCACCAGAGAATGTCTACGCACCATCTTCTTTCTGAATGAAATTGCCAGTATTAGCATTCATTTTATTTCTATAGCGCTTTATATTTTAAAGAAAAAATCTCAAAGCAGTTTACAACACATTAAAAACATCAAATGAAACCACCCAGAATAACACAAATTCAAGCTTCAAAGGAAATATTTCAGATCCTTCTCTAAGTGACGTTTTCCTTTCCCCATATTTATTTACCTGCTTAATTTATATAGTTGCCCATAATGGAAATACTCTAGGAAGCCAGTGTCGTGTAGTGGTGAAAGTGTCAAACTAGGACCTGGGAGGGTGACCTAAGACAGGTGAACTAATGCCAGTGTACTGGAAGAAGCAAAGATCACCAGTTTCGAAGCAAACATTCTTCAGCATCAACTTCGTTGGACTGGTCATGTTGTGCGGATGCCTGATTATCGTCTTCCAAAGCAACTACAGCGGTACCTCGGGTTACATACGCTTCAGGTTACAGACGCGTCACTCTGCTAACCCAGAAATAGTACCTCGGGTTAAGAACTTTGCTTCAGGATTAAAACAGAAATTGTGCAGCGGCAGCAGCAGGAGGCCCCATTAGCTAAAGTGGTGCTTCAGGTTAAGAACAGTTTCAGGTTAAGAACGGACCTCCGGAACGAATTAAGTACTTAACCTGAGGTACCACTGTATTCCGAACTTAAAAATGGAAAGCGTAATATTGGTTGTCAACAAAAGAGGTTTAAAGACTGTCTCAAGGCACATCTTAAAAAATGTAGTATAAACACTGACAACTGGGAAACACTGGCCTGCGAGCGCTCCAGTTGGAGAACAGCCTTTACCAAAAGTGTCATGGGCTTTGAAGACACTCGAACTCAGAACGCAAGGGAAAAACGTGCTAAGAGGAAGGCATGCTTGGCAAATCCACACCGTGATGAACTCCCGCCGGAAACCAATGTCCCCACTGTGGAAGGACGTGTGGATCCAGAATTGGCCTCCACAGTCACTTACGGACTTACTACTAAAACCGTGTTTATGGAAGACAATCTTACTCGGCTACGAGTGATCGCCAAAGAAAGAAGAAGAGAGTGTCAAACTAGGACCCAGGAGGGTGACCTCAGTGGGTGACCTTGGTCCGCTCACAGCCTCTTAACCTACCTCAAGGGGTTGTTGTAGGGATTAACCAAGATTGGGGGTGGGGTTTGAATCATGTGCTCCTTGGAGGAAAAGGTGGAATATAAACTAAGCTACTCTGCTTGCCTGCTTAAGAAAACTGGAGGGGCCAGCCAGATGGAGATGCCCATCGCCAGCCTGGTATCCACAAATCTCCATGCAGTTGCAATTGGACCCGTGCCACTTGCAAAACGTGCCTGGCAAATTTCGAACACTGAGTATGACAAACGTTGGATACAAGCCAATATCCCCACTGGCGGTTTGAACCCCCTTGTGAACCATGTGGGGCTTCTGGCTACTGCTGCTGCCGCATTAAACATGGTGATTACAGGACAAGGTGGTTTAAAAACATCAGAAATCTGCCTTGTTGTGACGAACCCCAACCCTGTTAATAAAAATAATAATGCTTGTCTCTATGCACAGTGCTCTTCTCAAGAGCGCTCTCCCTGAATAATCACCATAATAAATCTCTAGCATTGCAGCCCTGGTGCATTATAGTAACAGTCTTGATTTCTAAACTCAAGTCCACGGTTGCTGTATTAAAACGCCAAGGAATTATTTGTTGCTGTTAGAATCCTGGCATTTCTCGGACGCCCAAACCTAAAGAGAGCCACTTCTTTTCCCCTGCTTGGAACCAGAGGGAAAGGTTAAGAGCTGTTCATCCATCGGCAAGCAGAAGGAAATCTCAAAACCCACCTGCCTTTCGAAAAGCAGCTGGCGTCACGGCTGAAAAATGGGAAATGAAGGGCAACTTTGCACATGCTGGAGTTTCAGGCCCCTGGCCGTAAAGCCTCTTGGTCAGAAAAGCCAGATGAAAGGGGTGGGGAAGAGGGAAATCAATCAAAGGGTGGAATCTGATCTCGGTTTTTACAAGATGCACATTGTGGGAAACACAGATCAGAAATGACACCACGTCTCAGATAAAGGGTACTGGGCAGGGGGTGTTTGGAAACCTATTTCCCCCTAATCCCAGAAAACCGGGGGGGGGGGCAGGGGGAAGAGAAGCTAGCTGGGGTTGCCTTGGGATGTTTCACAGGTAATAATAATAATAATAATAAACCCTTCCATACAGAAAGCAGTCACATCCACAAACTAGCGTGCAATCTCTGAATCATCTGTGGTTAGATGTAAATACAGTGGTACCTTGGGTTACATACGCTTCAGGTTACATACGCTTCAGGTTACAGACTCCACTAACCCAGAAATAGTGCTTCAGGTTAAGAACTTTGCTTCAGGATGAGAACAGAAATTGTGCTCCAGCGGCACGGTGGCAGCAGGAGGCCCCATTAGCTAAAGGTTAAGAACAGTTTCAGGTTAAGTACAGACCTCCGGAACGAATGAAGTACTTAACCCGAGGTACCACTGTATATATCTGTACACTAATGCCAGCAGCGATTTCAGTATGTATTACTACATTTCTCTCCCACCTTTTCTTCAAGGCTGCGAACATGGTTCTCCTCTCTCCATGTCATCCGTACAACAACCCTGTGAGGTAGGTGGACTCAAACCCTGGTTCCCCAAGTCCAAGACCAACACTCTAACCACTCCAACACACCGGCTCTCTTTGTGCAAATCCCCCAACGACATGAACAGGTGCAGCCCAGAGCCCAGTCCCACACTCTAACCACTACACCACACTGCCGACTCTTTTCCGAAAGAGCTCAAGAGCAGTGTACAACTGAAAGCGGGGGAACGTATTATACATGTGCGAGTCACTGCGCATTCAGCGGTGCACACAATTGCGGGTAGGACGAGTTGGGTTGCATGCTAATTGCCACACAAAAGCGCAGCCCATTCGCGATGTCTGTCGCAGCCCTTAACGGTGAGGGAAAGGCACTCTGCCCACGATCAGGGACACTCTCTTCTTCGCACGTTCCAAGGGTTAAACCGGACGCCGAGGAGCTTCTGTTGCTAAGAGATGGGGAGCCCCAACGCAGCCTAAGCTCAAGAGTCCAGAGGACACCCCGCTACGCCCCGAATCCACTTCTCTTGACACGTATGTATACAAAGCAAGCAGGCGGCAGGTGATAATGGCTTGAAGCCAAGCCCAGACCAGGAACTGGGAAGAAGCCCCAGTTTGTTTTCATTGCTTTATGGACTCCTCCTGCCTCGCCCGGGTTCGTCTCACTTTCAACGCTGGCTCAAGGTTACAAAAGGAAGGAAAAGGAAAAGGCGCACGGGAGTGGAGAGGTGGGGGGGTTACCTTTTCTGGGTTCTCCTCTTCAAACTCAAACAGTGCTTAAATCCACCTAGTTACAGAACAGGGTAAAATGCGGCGGAAAGAAAAGAGAGAATTAACTCCGCCAAGACAGAAAGATAGAAATTCCAGCTCCGGAGCTCACTCGGTAAGAGGAATAATCCAGCCGGGAACCAGGGCGCAGAGAGAAGGCGCGTCTGCCGTGCGCAAAAGCGCGAGCCGGAGCCGAGCCGCTTTGCAACTGGCGAGGGAAAAAGAGTCCTGCTCCGAAGTTGCACAGCCAGTTGCTCCCGGCTGATCTCATCCAGCCCGATTTGCATAGTTCGCTCTCTCTCTTCCCCTCCCCGCCTTGGCCGTCCTTGGCGGGGCGGGGACTCGGCTGCTGCCCGCGGCCGGCTGGCGCAGGAGCGTTGCAACGCGCGCGCTTCCCTCCCTCCCTCCTCTTTCCTTTCCTTTCTTACACCCACCTCTCCAGCCCGGCCCCCTCTCGCTTCGCATCGCCAGCGCGCCAGCCTCTCTGAAATTAACTCGCGCCTTTTTTGCTCAGCTGTTGGCGGCCAGTTTCTCTCTTTCTCTCTCTCTCTCCCAAGAGAGGCCCCCCTCGCCTAGTTTGGTGGCGCTTGGATTGCGCCTGCAAGAGAGGAGAGGGAGAGAGAAGGGGGGTGGAGGCAGCGGCGGCTCCTCCTGGGCTGCTGTACCCCAAGGCGAAGCTGAGCTCCGAAAGTCGTCGGGCAAAGGTCTCTCCTCCCTCCGGCTTTCTGTCTGGACAGAAAAGGGCAACCTCGGAAGGATCTCTCTGTGATTTCTTTGTGAGAGATAAGATAAAGCCAAGTGTTCTTAAAGCGCTACTTCTCCAGCCTGCTCAGGAGGGAGAGGAAAGTTTCTCTGCAGCAATCAGTGTTCCAGATCTTTTTCTTTTATTGTAGCTGTTTGCTATGCCATGGCATGCGTGGCGCTGTAAAAATAATAATAAAAACAACAAGAGGATGGAGGTGCTTTTATAGAATCATAGAATTGGAAAGTCGGAAGGGATCCCCCAGGGTCCTGTAGCCCAACCCTCTATTATGCAGGAATAAATCTAGAATTTGAGACGGTGGGAAACGGAGGAAGAAAATGAAAACAGGGGCAGAGATAAACAGTGGCAGAATACATGTATGTGTGTGGTTGTTTAAACCACAGGTGATTTGTTGTGGGATCATTATTATTTAGTAATGTGTAATGAACTTTGTATAATAGAATGATAGTTATTTCCTTTGAGTAAACAACACTGTCCTTCCTCCAAGGAGCTCAGGCTACCCCAATTTTAACCTCACAACAATCTTTCGAGACAGGCTAGGCTGAGGGAGGGGACGCGGGTGGCGCTGTGGTCTAAACCACAGAGCCTAGGGCTTGCTGATCAGTTCGAATCCCCGCGACGGGGTGAGCTCCCGTTGCTGGGTCCCTGCTCCTGCCAACCTAGCAGTTCAAAAGCACGTCAAAGTGCAAGTAGATCAATAGGTACCGCGCCGGCAGGAACATAAATGGCGTTTCCGTGCGCTGCTCTGGTTTCGCCAGAAGCGGCTTAGTCATGCTGGCCACATGACCCGGAAGCTGTATGCCGGCTCCCTCGGCCAATAAAGCGAGATGAGCGTGCAACCCCAGAGTCGTCCGCGACTGGACCTAATGGTCAGGGGTACTTTTACCTTTACCTTTTTAGGCTGAGGGAGAGTGGCAACTCAAGGTCACTCATCAAGATCCTGAAGAACTGTGATACCACGGCGCTCTCGCTTTCTAACATGGCACAACAGTGTGCAGAGGTGGCACTTACCAGCCTCCCCTCCCCCCCAAAAAAATATTTTATTCAAGTTGCCACCCCAGACAGTGTGGGGTAAGTTTAAAGAGGAAGGGGGCACAGCGGGTATCAGCAGCGAACCTTGATGGTGGGTCAGGAGAGGAACCCACAAGTTCCCACAGGTGCCCTATCCTTGCACAGCTGGCTTGCAACCTGATCTAAGGTAAGTTGCAATAGCAACATTATCACTGTGCAAATATACGGAGGAGGCGGAAGAAGAAGACGAAGACGAAGAAGGTCCCCAAATGGATCACAGTAGGTTGGATCTGAAAAAGTCAAGATTACTGAGCAGGGAAGAGTGAGAAGAGTTCTAAATATCACACCACCGGGATTTGTTTTGAGAAAGATATGTGACACTACAGAGGCCATCGAAGGTATTTGATAGTGTCCACAACTTTCCTGGACATTGCAGTGGCGTGTGTGTGTTTGTGAATCATGCCATTATCAAACCCAGGATTTCCTGGCTTCAGGAATGACTTAGATCCTGCTTCTGTGCTGCCTGTGGGCATTCCACAACGCATCTCCTCTCTCCGGACTGGAAATTAAAGAATTGCTGAGAGTGAAAGCTAAGCTGGCACAAGGGCAAAGCGTGACAATAGAAAACCATTTCCCAGCAGCAAAGGTTTCCCCTTTGATTATGGACGAGCCAGAATGAGAAACTGATTAATACACGTGGAAGTGACTTATTTCATTTTATCGGGGGGGGGACGGGGACATTTTGCAGAACTTAGGAGCCAGCCAGGTTTTCCAAGGAAAACCTGCAGGGGAGACCCAAATGCCAAGGCATGGAAGGTTCCTGCTCTTAATTGGTGGGTGCTGATCTCCTCCCCCTCTTCACCTCCATATTCTCACAGCCGCTCTTATTACGACCAGAAGGGTAGCCGCGTTCGTCTGTTACAACAAAACACACACACACACACCAGAGGAGAGAGAGGGAGAAAGGGCTGTGGCGTCTTAAAAACGAACAGATTTATTGTGACAGATGCTTTTGCACATCAGATGAAGTGGGATCTAGTCTACAAACGTTTATGCCTTAATAAATCTGTAAATCTATAAGGTGCCACAGAACTTTCTCCCCTGTGCGCGGTTGCAATTAAGTCACGTCTTTTAGAGCTGTGCCCTAGCACTGAGAGAAGTTCTACAGATGTGGCCCAAGAAGCCCTGGTTCAAATTAGGGAAGAGGGTTTAAAAATAGATATATATGGCTGCTTCCATGGGTGCTTATTGAGCATGCATCCTGATTAGCTGGCAGAGAAGTTGGCTGCAGCAGGCAATGCATTCCTTGGCATTTCTTGGAGGCAGGAACTGCTGCCCCTTCAGATCCTGCTGCCCGAGGCAGTTACCTGACCTTGCCTTATGGGTGGGCTGGCTCTGAAGTCTGGTATACATTGGGGGAATAAAACCCTTTGGCTCACAATTTGGATAGCCATAATAGGAGAGAGATCCTCATAATGCAGCGAGAGATACCCAAATGCCCTTGACTGCACCACTGCTATCTGACCTTGACATAAGAAGATGAGAAGAGCCTTCTGAATCAAGCCAGAGACCCATCTAGACCAGCATCCTATGAGAAGCCGGCGAGCTGGGCCCGAGCTCAAGAGCCGTCTTCCCCTCTGGCATTCAGAAACTAGGACTGCCATATGTCCAGATTTCCCTGAACATTACCGGGATTTCAAAGGTGCAATTGACCTCCGGGGGTAATTTCTGAAAGGCGGTGCTTTGTCTTGGATCTTAGAGGCAAGTCAATCGATAAAACACAGGTTTGGGGGGGGTGCATTTTTGTAAAAACAACTTTCAGGGTGTCCTCGTTTTTACTGTTTGATACAGTGGTACCTCAGGTTAAGAACTTAATTCGTTCCGGAGGTCCGTTCTTAACCTGAAACTGTTCTTAACCTGAAGCACCACTTTAGCTGATGGGGCCTCCCACTGCGCTGCCGGAGCACGATTTTTGTTCTCATCCTGAAGCAAAGTTCTTAACCTGAGGTAATATTTCTGGGTTAGCGGAGTCTGTAACCTGAAGCGTCTGTAACCTGAAGCGTCTGTAAGCCGAGGTATCACTGTATTTGGGAATCCTACAGAAGCTCACTGCCTCTAGCGTAACCATCATGGCTGTTAGTCATCGATAGCCTTTGCCTCCATGATGTTGTCTAATCTTCTTTTAAGAACTTATGAAGAGCCTGACATACAGATGATCTCAGTAAGAGGGACCAGCAGAATGACTTACTATGGCACAAGGCCTCCCTCATGGGAATTGAGGTAGTCTTATTTTTGCTTTCCTGCTGCTTGCTGGATGCTTTTACTGCTTTTTTTTTACCGCTGACTATTTATTGCATTTCATGACGACTTGAGATGTATGATCTATTGATTATTTTTACGATCCTGTTTGCATGGTTTTATGCTCTGACTTGCTTTGAGAGCTCTTAAGGGGCAGAAGGGAGGTTTCTGCCAGGGTGCTCCAGGAATTTCTAGCAGGGAATGCTAGTACAGTGGTACCTCGGGTTAAGAACTTAATTTGTTCTGGAGGGCCGTTCTTAACCTGAAACTGTTCTTAACCTGAGGTACCACTTTATCTACAGGATGCAGTGAGAGCCGCCAACCTAGGTGAATTAAAAAGTGGATTATGGGAAGCCTTAATAAAATCTTATTTAAAGAGGATTAGACAAATTGATGGAGGAGAGGACTGTCAATGGCTACCAGGCATGATGGCTGCGCTCTGCGCCCACAGTTGGAGGCAGTGATTCTTCTGAATACCAGTTGCTGGAAACCACAGGAGGAGAGAATGCTCTTGTGGTCGAATCCTGCTTGCTGGTTTCCCAAAGGCATCTGGTTGGCCACTGTGAGAACAGAATGCTGGACAAGATGAGTCCCTCGCCTGATCCTGCAGGGCTCTTAGGTTCTTATCATCATCATCATCATCATCATCATTTTATTTGTATGCCGCCTTTCCATACTTGAAACATGACAAGATTTACAGTGGTACCTCTGGTTACGAACTTAATTCGTTCCGGAGGTCCATTCTCAACCTGAAACTGTTCTTAACCTGAGGTACCACTTTAGCTAATGGGGCTTTCTGCTGCTGCCGCGCGATTTCTGTTCTCATCCTGAGGCAAAGTTCTTAACCTGAGGTACTATTTCTGGGTTAGTGGAGTCTGTAACCCGAGGTACCACTGTACCGCATAAAGGAAGGGAGCGGTTTGTGTCTCCGAATACCCAGTAACTGTTTGCTGTCCACTTCAAAGCCTGCCCCAATGTGCGCAGGGTTCAGAGCACTCAGGACACTTCCATAGAACCAGTTTATCTGAGGATTCACCCTGATCTCTTTCCACAAAGTTTGCAGGAGCTTAGACGGCACTGGTTATTTACTGCACACTTGCCCTGACAGTTTTGCAGGGAGGTTATAGGATGTTGTGTTGAGCAATTGCCGTCCCATGCTTTCTAGTAATAATAATCATAGAATCATAGGACTGTAGAGCTGGAAAGGACCCTGAGGGTCGTCTAGTCCAACTGCCTGCAATGCAGGCATATGCAGCAGTCCCATACGGGGATCGAACCTGCAGCCTTGGTGTTATCAGCACCAATTCTTACTAACCGAGCTATCCAGCCCGTCTGATTGGGTTGCCCCAGCCACTCTGAGCAGCTTCCAACAGAATTTACAAAAACACACCAGAACACCAAATATTAAAAAACCTCTGGTGCATTTTGCCATTACTTTCTCTATTGCAAAAAGTTCAGTTTGGGGGGCAAAATGGGTTTGTTGTGCAAGGCAGAGCACTCAAAATCCACTTTAATTGCACTGCCTCAATTTGCATCTGGTTGGCTACTGTGCGAACAGGATGCTGGACTAGATGGGGCCTGATCCAGCCAGCTCTCCTTATGTGCTTTTGCTGGTATGCTTGAGTCAATTCCCCAAGATTTGGGTAAGATGAAGGGAGCAGTTAGCATTTCAGCAAGGTCTGTGCTTTTCTCTGCTGCTCAGCTACTCTTAAATTAAAGAGCAGGCAAGAGAGAGGTCCTGTCTGCACAGATCTCCTGTGTCATGTCTAATTTGGCCCTTAAAAAACCGGAAAAGATTCGGAGGAGAGCAACATAGATGATTGCTGGTTTGGAATGCATGATTAACGCCGGAGGAAAAGCTGAAGGAACGGGGCAGGTGTAGCCCCGCGTGAAGGAGGATTAAGGAGAACATGGGCAGTGGTTTTCCAAGAATCAGAAAGACTGTTGTAAACAAGAAGACGACCACGACCTTGAGGGATGGGTCAAGAAGCAAGGCAAGGGTTTTCTGTGCTGATGGGCAGGTTCAGGTTGGGCAACACCAAGAATCACCGGGACACAGAAAAGGGCCCTTCCAGACTAGGGGTTCTCTTCGCGGCTGCATTTTGCCACATTTCATCATCATCAATTTACGGTATTTTTCGCTCTATAAGACGCACCAGGCCACGAGACGCACCTAGTTTTTGGAGGAGGAAAACAAGGGAAAAAATATTCTGAATCCCAGAAGCCAGAAGAGCAAGAGGGATCGCTGCGCAGCGAAAGCAGCGATCCCTCTTGCTGTTCTGGCTTCCGGGATAGCTGTGCAGCCTGCATTCGCTCCATAAGACGCACACACATTTCCCCTTACTTTTTGGGAGGGAAAAAGTGAGTCTTATAGAGCAAAAAATACGGTATTTATACCCTGCCCATCTGGCTGGGTTTCCCCAGCCACTCTGGGCGGCTCCCAACAGGATATTAAAAACACAATAAAAGATCAAACATTAAAAACTTCCTTAAACAGGGCTGCCTTCAGATGTCTTCTAAAAGTCAGATATTCCTTCCAGATTTATTTCTTTGACATCTGGTGGGAGGGCGTTCCACAGGGTGGGCGCCACTACCGAGAAGGCCCTCTGCCTGGTTCCCTGTAACCTCACTTCTCGCAATGAGGGGAGCTGGACCTCAGTGATGCAATAAAAGTGCATTAGAAGTGGAGTTAGGCTGAAGCATATATGCTTCGTTCTGTTTTCTTCCGCAGTTCTTCTCCAGTGTTACCACATTATCGGTCGAAGGAGAGGGAGACATTTTTGCATATTGTATGTTGCTGGAAACCAAAGGAAGGGAGAGTTGCTCTTCATTTCAGTCCCGTATTAGGCAACGTGATCTCAACTTTCCCATATAGCTCAGTGCCATGCTGTAAGCCGCCCAGAGTGGCTGGGGAAACCCAGTCAGATGGGTGGGGTATTATTATTATTATTCCAGCTGGTGCTGAGCCCTCCTGCTAGTGTTCTGCAGTCTTCCTCCACCACCAAACAGCATTTAGGTGCTAGCAGCGCACCAGGGAAGGCTCCATGGGCTGAATCAGGTCCACAGACCACTAATATAGCCCTTACCTCCTAGTGGTAGCAGCAAGAAAACACCTAGAATGTTTGCAAAGCTAAGCAGAGTCTGGTATGGTTCCAAATTGGATGGGAGACTGGGTGTTGAGATTCCTGCATTGCAATTGGTTGGACTACACTGGACTAGATGAACACCCATGGCTTCCCCCAAAGCATCATGGGAACTGTACTTTGTTAAGCAGGGGCGGAGGAAGGGGAGTGCGGGGTGTGTGGGTCGCCACTGAGGGGGGTGACAAAATGCCAGGCAGCACTCACTGCAGGGCCTGCAGCGCGCCTGAGCCACGCGTCTCTCCGTGCTGCCCAAATGGTCTGCCCGCTGCCCCCCCCCAGTTGTAGGGTGGCTGAGTGGGAGGAGGCAAGCAGACTCTGGAGGCCCCACGGTGCGCCCCATCCTCACACCGCCCCTGAGCGCGCCACTCCAGGAGCCTGAGCAGCTTCCTCCTCCCCTGTTGTTAAGGGTACTGAGAGCTGCTTGGAGACACCTATTCCCCTCACAGAGCTGCAGTTACCAGAGTGTTTTATGGAATCATAGAATTGTATAGTTGGAAGGGACCATGAGAGTTCAACTCATCCAACCCCCTACAATGCAAGAATCTTTTGCCCAATGTGGGGATCGAACCCACAACCCTGAGATCAAAAGCCTCACGCTCTACTGACTGAGCTATCAATCCCTCTTCCCAGGGAACTCTGGGAACTGTAGTTCTCTCCCAACAATTCTCTGTGCCCTTAACAAACTATAGTTCCCAGGAAGCCACAACTGTTTAAAGTGGTATCATACCGCTTCAAACGTATAGTGCAGATGGAACCAGTGTCTCATACCATCTGCAGCTAAGACCAGTTTTGTGTTTGTCATAATTTAAATTGGAGAAAAGAGCAGGTGCAAAGGGTTAACTGAATTCTTCTTCCACATTACAGCCCTGATCCAACCTGCCCTCCCCACTGGGATGCTTTTAAACAAAGGCAAAACCTGTCCCGGTGATGCAATCCTGGATCTACCATGTGACACATCTAGGTATGGCCTTCGAATAATAGGCTCTCAAGGAGAGATTTTGAGCTCCTCCAGGTCCTTTTCAGATTGCCTGCCTGCCTGCCACCCAGGCACTGGCTGCTGCAGGCCCGGGCAGGTAAAACATCAACCCTAAACAGCTTGCTTAATAGCGGCAAAGGCTTGAGCAGGGCAGGTCTAGACGTCTCCTGCTGGATTAGCTGAAATGACTCAGAGAGCAGCTGGGAGGGGAGAGGGAGACACGCGGAAGCTGGAATTTCATGTGGGTTACGCAGCGGGTTGGGGGGGGAGAGGCAGGGAGGCAGAACCCCCCTGGGTTCCCAAGGGTGGAATCCAGCAAGTGGGAGAAGGCCAGGGTGACTCTCTTTCTGGGCCTGAATATTCAAGGAAGAGCGTGGGGTCAGCCGTGGAAGGTAGCTGACGGGTTTTCTGAGAGGGGAGTTGGAGCCCAGCTGGGGCAACACAGCCCCTAGGGACTGGGGAGAGGAAATAGAGCTGTCTGCCTGTCTACACACATAGTTCAGGAAGCCAGCATGGGATTCTGGAAGCAGGATTCTCCCGTTCTCTGGGAGGCGGCGGCGAACGGAATGTGCCGGCCCTGTCATGAGGCAAGTGGAGGAGGCTGCCTCAAGCCACGTTTTTTAGGAAGGGCCGTAGCTCAGTGGAAGATCTCTCACTTTGCAGACAGGAGGTTCAAAGTTCAGTTCTTGGTACCTCCAGGTCGGGCTGGGAGAGACACACACCCCTGGAATCCTGGAGAGCCCCTGAGCTACATGGACCAGCACTGAATCAGCATAAGGCAGCTTCCTATGTTCCAAAGCATTTCTCTGTGACATGTTAGTTTAAGGGAAGGGCTGTAGCTCAGTGGCAAAGTGGGAATCTAGAGCAGTAATAAAGCACACAGCACAAGAGAACTCTTTCTTCTAGGGAAGAAGGCCAACTCAGGAGGCCAGGCCTAGTGGGCACATCAACTCGTCCTGGTAAAACTTGCCCCTATGAGGCAGTTGCCGGGACTGAAGGTCCCTGCCCTCCCACAACTGCCTAAGGCTCCTCCTGTCCTGGGGCCTTCCCAAGCAATCTGAGACTACGCCGGTGTGTATGCCTTTGCTCCAGCCTGCTTCATACCTCTATTGGTTCTGGGAGGTCAGTGGGGAGGGCAGCTGGTCACAGCAGGAGGGGGAGACCGCCTGGCTTCTTCAGCAGCCTGACTCATCTCTGTCTCTTTACCCCTCTCCTCTCCAGCTGCCACTTCTGGACTGCCCTCCGCCGCCACCTCTTCCTGCTCACTAAGCCTCTGTCAGCTTCTGACTCCTCCTCCCAGTCTACTCCTTCTTCTCCCTCTGATCACTCGTCGTCCCCACCCCCAATCTCCTGGCTCTGAGGCTTCTTCCCTTGGGGTTTCCCCAACTGGTGCCTCCCACTGCTCCTCTGCCCCCAGCCAGTCTATGACAAGAGAGTTGCCTATCTGAAACCCCGGAGAACTGCTGCAAGTCAGCCAAGAGAGAACACTGGGGTTTATGGTCCAGTGACCTGACTTGGTAGAACGCAGCTTCCTAGATCAGATAATAATAATAATAATAATAATAATAATAATAATAATAATACTTTATTTATTTATATCCCGCCTTCCCCAGCCGAAGCCGGGCTCAGGGCGGCTAACAACAATAAAATAATACAACATTCTAAAATCATTTCATTATAAAATTAATTCAAATCAAATTAATGGCAACCATTGGGCTAGAGTTCTGTGAAGATTGCCAAAGGAGGGAGCCAGGCTGTGCCCTGGCCAAAGGCCTGATGGAACAGCTCCGTCTTGCAGGCCCTGCGGAAAGATGTCAAGTCCCGCAGGGCCCTAGTCTCTTGTGACAGAGTGTTCCACCAGATCGGAGCCACAGCTGAAAAAGCCCTGGCTCTGGTTGAGGCCAGCCTAACCTCCCTGTGGCCTGGGACCTCCAAGGTGTTTTTGTTTGAAGACCGTAAGTTCCTCTGTGGGACATACCAGGAGAGGCGGTCCCGTAGGTACGAGGGTCCTAGGCCGTATAGTGCACCTTAAACCTGATCCTGTACTCCACCAGGAGCCATTGCAGCTGGTATAGTACTGGGTGAATGTGATCCCGCAGCGAGGACCCCGTAAGGAGTCTCGCCGCGGCATTCTGCACCCTCTGGAGTTTCTGGGTCAGTCTCAAGGGCAGCCCCACGAAGAGCGAGTTACAATAATCCAGTCTGGAGGTGACTGTCGCGTGGATCACAGTGGCTAGGTCAGGGCGAGAGTGGTAAGATGTCATTAAGGACAGCAGAGCGTGTTTCAAATATAGCTCCGGGCCACACAGAGCACAGGTCATCCTCTTGCACAGCAAGACACACTGGAAAGGGCAGGAGCTGCATGAGAACACATGGTGTGGGTGGCACTTTGTGAGTAGGAGGAGTGCAATTTGGGTTTCCTGCCCCAGGCCCTGATTAAAATACCGGTGCAGAAGTTCAGATATGTTTCTCAGGTTGAGAAACATTAAGGCATGCCCTGAGGGTCAAATCAAAGCTGCCACCAAGTCCAGCCTCTGGTTTCTGAGAGCGGACAACTCAACGTTTGTGGCAAGCCCGTGTAACCAGACAGCATAGAGAAAGGTGGATCCAAGTGCAGGTTGTTGCTGGTTCAAAGCAGATTTGCAGGACCCAGCCTCTTCCAAGTGGGCCAGTTCAGGTGAACTGAGAAGCAGCCCTATCTGATTATCCAACAACAGTAAATCTAATCCCCTTTGGGGAGAGACCATTGCTCGGGAGCTCAGTAGTTTTGTACATGTCCGAGGTTCTTATCTTGACATCTCTTGTTAAAAGGTTTCAGGTAGCAATTGATGGGAAATATCTCTGCCTGAGATGCTGGAGAGACAACGCACCATTAGACAAACAAGCAGTCTGATAATGAAAGGTTCCCAAAGTCAAGAATCATATGGATTAAGCCCTGAATGGAAAAACTGTGGCCTTTTAGATGTTGTTGCACTGCCCAGCTGCCATCATCCCTGACCTCTGAGCATGCTGCTGGGTCTGATGAGCAGGGCCGTCTTTACCTGGGGGTGCAAGGGGTGTGGGGCACCTGGGCGCCGAATTCTGGGGGGTGCCAGGCGCCCACCACTGAAGCCGCCTAAGCTCTTAACTATCTTGTTGTTGTTTAGTCCTTTAGTCGTGTCCGACTCTTCGTGACCCCATGGACCAGAGCACGTCAGGCACTCCTGTCTTCCACTGCCTCCTGCAGTTTGGTCAAACTCATGTTTGTAGCTTCGAGAACACTGTCCAACCATCTCGTCCTCTGTCGTCCCCTTCTCCTCGTGCCCTCCATCTTTCCCAACATCAGGGTCTTTTCCAGGGAGTCTTCTCTTCTCATGAGGTGGCCAAACTATTGGAGCCTCAGCTTCAGGATCTGTCCTTCCAGTGAGCACTCAGGGCTGATTTCCTTCAGAATGGAGAGGTTTGATCTTCTTGCAGTCCATGGGACTCTCAAGAGTCTCCTCCAGCACCATAATTCAAAAGCATAAATTCTTCATCAATCAGCCTTCTTTATGGTCCAGCTCTCACTTCCATACATCACTACTGGGAAAACCACAGCTTTAACTATATGCTTAACTATCTACCTGTTATGAAATAATAAATAATTTTGATCAAGCTAGAAAAACAAAATACATATATACCTAGGTATTGCCAAAATGTATACCTACTGTTCCAGTAAAAGACTTTTGACTTTGTGCGCTCGTTTACCAAAGACACATCGTGGACAGCTTCCGTGGGGCCAGCGCCCCTCTCCTCGTCCCCCTCCTGGTCCTGCTCCAGGGTCCCCAGACCCACAAAGATGAGAAACTCCTTGAGGCGCCCCCCTCCCAGCCCGGGACCCTCCTTCTCTCGCTCCCCCTACACCACGCTCCGAGGAGCAGGCTTAAGCGCCGACAGAGAGCCGCACCGGGGAAAGGGAAACGTGCCCTGCTGCCTGCCCTTCCTGGACCCTGAGACAGAGCGGAACAGGCTGTCTCTTGACTGGCTTTGGGGCTGGCGAGCTGAGGGTCACTTCTGCTCACCAGCATGGCAAAAAAAAGGGGGTTTTTTCACTTTGGCGAACTCCTCTGCCCTAAGGCATAAGCGTGGTGTCTGACATAAGCATAATAAGAGTTAATTTGGGGGCTAAACTAAATTTGGGGGTGCTGGGTGGATCTTTGCACCCCGGCGACGCATATGCTAAAGACAGCCCTGCTGGTGAGAGTTGGGAGTCCAACAGCGCATGGAGGGCCACAGATTCCCTATCCCTGGACTACGGTCTGGGTTAAAATTAGGTGGCGGTGGTTGTGAGGAATGGTAGCTGTCCCAGCACCCTGGTATTTCTGACTCATCCTTCCAAATGAACAAAACATTCTGAGCCTGCCTGGTTCAAGAGAGATTGCAGGAGAAAGGCGAGAGCAATGATTTGTCTTATAAAATCCCAATTGGACTTCTGATCTCCCTAGTTAAAGGATCTTGGGAGGATGTGCTCTTTCTGAAAATATCTTTGTCTGTGGTTTTAAGAGGGATGCTGCCTGCAAGTGGAGTCAAAAGATCAGCTGTCTTGCAGCAAAAGAACAGCAACAAACTTCAGGAGGTTATGTACAGATAGGAATGGACAGAACAGCCAGGCTTGGCTCTCTC